CTCCTCAGGCTGCGTATAACGTGAAGAAGTCGTTCCCTTCTTTTACCCTCGCACACCCCTCCGAATCTCCATCACTGCTTTCCCTTCCGACTAAGAACCTCCTTCGTCTACTTCATCCTTAAGAGGGCAGTTTGACTGACCTTTGTCTCACCATTGCGATACCCTTCTCGCTTGCCTGGATGACCTTGCCTTAACAACGGTTCTTCAAAAGACGACTTGCTCCGCTACCTAACGCAGCTCCATCACACACGACCTCCTCACTCTCTTTTCTTCTATTTGATATTGCCTAACCAGTCTGACCAAGTCACTCTTTACTTGTAATCGACAAGATATCGATTTGCCATTCGTTCATACATTCAAGATTTGAAGTTTTACAGAACCTGACCCTGACTTACACGCGGGTCTGGATTCTCATTCCAATCATTACCACCAACTCACCTGTTACATTCCTGAAGAGAAGCCAGTGATGGAGAACATGGGTTCATACCACCACCAACCCCAGTGGTCTGGCTGGGGCTACCAGGGCGCTGTCCACCAGTACCCCAGATACTCTCAACAACTACCAAGCTATGCCGCTTACCTCCCTGAATCGATGGAGCTTTACAATGCTCATCAGGGACATCTCCTACATCATCACCAAATGTCTAGAACAACTGAGACAAAGCCTCGACTCTCTAAAGAGGAGGTCGAGATCCTCGAAGCCGAGTTTCAGAAGAACCACAAGCCCAACAGCACTACCAAGAAGGCACTGGCAGAGTCTATGAGGGTAGATAATTCTCGTATTAATGTCGGTGTTCGATTTCGAGAAACTTATACCGCAATTACTAACAAACTCGCAGAACTGGTTCCAGAACCGACGAGCACGGGAGAAGAAGGAGAAGAACATCCGCGATTACGCGGCGAAGCAGAGAATGGACAAAGACACAAGTGCCAATGAATCTGGTGTTCACTCGGACGATGACCATCTTTCTGATCGGGTCGTTTCCAGCGCTCCATTTCCAGCGCCTCGCCCTCTCGAAATCCGGTCGACAGACATATCAAGTCCAGAGCATGAAAGCGAGAATGATGCCACCCAATCCGATTTTGGTGCCGGCTCATCCCCGAATCTCTCTTCTCAACCTACACCAGAACCTATGTCCGCATCTACCAACGCATCCTTGCCCTCTTACGGTCAGTATCCTCAGCTGATTGTGCCAAACGAGGAGGAGGAGCCTACTCCTTCTCTAACTCAGCAGTGCTTCCCTCGCCTGTCCACATCGCCTATCCAGGAGCAATATGTGTACTCCAGCAACAACCTTGCTGTGGACCAGACCAGTCAGTCCTCCATGGGTTTGAAACCCTCCCCTTCAATGGATATTGCCTCTCGTCGAAACAGACGTCCACCTCAACTTGCCATCAACGCCTCGCGCAGCTACTCAGCAAGTGGCCCCAGAACTGGATTCGACATGGGGAGAAGGGCAGATGTTGGCCACTCAATGCGTCGTGTTGCTTCCGCGACTGGTGTTGGTCGTATCAGCAAATCCTTTGGCGGCCCCCGAAGCCCGTATTTTGAGAGAAATCCCGAGGTTCTATTGCAGCTCAACCGCTCCCCTAACTTCCAGACTGCCGCAACAATCGCGCCCCCCACCCCCAACACACCTGTCGTGGTAAACCAGCAAGGCTTGTGCGAGGCCACTCCGGCTAGCACAGTAGCTTACGAAGAGAAGTACCCAATGGATCTTGCCATTCACGACCCAACCCTGCGTACTCCACCTACTACACCAGGTGTCATGGATCAATTGTACAGCAACGAATCTGTATATCAGGTTGCCGTGGCGGACGAACCTCTGGTGACACCGGGACTGGCGCACTACCCCAATGAGTTCGAGGTTCCTGGTACCTCGAGCCAAGTACCTAACTATATTTCCCACGGATGCTCTAGCCAGCCCCAGACCCCATCTTATGGTGCCCCAATGGGGCCTACCTACTTTGGCTTCGCTGGTGGCAATGCTGAGTACAACTGGTCTGATGACGCCTCCTTATCAGCACATTCATCACCTGGACAAAGCCAGCAGAGTGTCAACTTTATGAACATGACGCCCTCAAGCTTCACATACTCGGACAAGTAAATGTCCACACATAACCCAAAAATGCGTCATTACGCACCGCTATTAGCAACCAACGGCCTCTTGCAACTTGTATATAACAGCGATTTCTTTTCTATTTCATCAAGGACATTGTACAGTATAGACACAATGCCTTCACAGCAGCAGAAAATTGGCAAACGTCAAAGCTAGCGACCATTGTTTGTTTCTCTTTTGTCCCTGTCTTTTCGGTACTTTATGAATGAATACAACGGCATCATACCCTAATGTAATGGGAGGACGGCACTGGCTGGCGCTCAGGCATGTACACAGGGAGCGGAGTTTATTATCACCATGGAGGGTCAGCTACAACAGAATCGGCGCAAGGTCTTGGCCAGGAGAATATTATTCACGGAAGGTACCACATTGGGACACAATCTATGCCATGACCGCTGGAAAAGGTTGAAAGCACGTGGAGAAGCAATAGGGAAAAGGCAGAAATATACTTGAATCAACAACTCAATTAAACTCATCTTTACATCGTATGGTTGTCTCGTTCAAAATGGTATAGTGTGTTGCACAGTTGGGGATTATGAAGTGGCAAGGCCGACATGGGCTAGACGCAGTCACTTTGTTGGAATAAGAGGACGGGCCATAGGTATAAGACTGGTCTATGAAACTGAACTTCAAGTAGTGAGTATCCAACTCGTTTACGGACAGTCAACAGACAGAGAAATCACAGCGCACACCCCTGACGATGACATGTTGTTTTAGGCCCTCAGGTCGTGAAGCTAAAAGCGTTGTGGTGGTGTCCCACATTCCTGTCCTGTAAACTGGTGGTCCCAAAAGCAGTAACAGATCGAGTTTCGGTTGGATGGCGCTATCTAGAAACCTTGTTCTTGACTTAAACGAACAATAGAGGTGTCTTTGGCTCGCCTGTTCCTGTGTCTGGTCACATTAGCCCAAACCCGAGAACCGGGTCACACCCCGGACGGGCCAGTCCGAAGAGAAGCCCCGGGCCGCCGGAATCTGGACCTATGACGGAAGAGCCCAACCAATCAAATGTTTCTATTCAAGATCAGATCAAAAACCCTTGCGTCCATCAGCCCCGCACTAGGCGGTACGTACAGTACAGCATCTGCTCCAAGGCAATGGGTTGGTGCGGGGGATCGACACTGCAAGTGCTGAGTTTGTGCAACGAGATCGATTCGACGGCCAATCGAGTATGAGGTGGATGAAATATGGGGTAGGTCGACTTCGAATCACTTCTTTATCCTGATAACTTCATTACCGGGCTTGTATTACTCGCAAAGTCTTCCAAGTCCAAAAAAGTCAAAAGTTACACGCAAGTCCTTCACGTAGTCTGCCACTTGACAGAAGTCGCCTATAGTACCTTGCTCAAGTAGTTGGTCAGCCCAAACACGAAAGATAAACGGCACAGTTGGGGGTGGCTATCAAACGTCTGCTCGCTTGCCAGATTACGCTTTAGAGGCTTGCCGGCTTTTAAGTAAGTTAAAAAGGATCTCCATCATCCAATGCAGCCTGACTTGACTAACGTAAGGGACAACGATCTTGAGAAATGTTTGCCTCTTGTTCCTTGCAGTAATGAGTGGGGCGAGCAGTGGCCAACCAGATTCAAGAATAAAGAGTCGTGGCTATAGAGTATCGACTAAGATTCTGATAACTGAACGTGACTCTACAGCCACTAGAAAATGACAAAGTTGACGTTTACGAGCCTGGATGGAGTAAGGTCCTTGTGTTCATGATTGCTCAGAGTTGAATAAGTGGCTGTTTGTGGTTGTCCGACATCGCATGCGCCATCATGTAGTCTAAGAGTCTTGGCATTCATGCTGTTAACGTCAACTTCCGCCAAGTCGCGGACGAGATACTTCGTATACAAGACAATTTCTACTCGCATACGAGTCTGTAGTGATGAAAAAAAAAATTATCAAAGAACCCCTACAGCCGAGGCATCTTAAGTGATAAGGAGATGCGATGATGTGAGTTAAATCGTTAAGAAGGATGGATTGGCGTCCTAGCTGGGCATATCACTCATTTTTTCTCTCCATTGCTTTCAACCTTGTAAGAGGCCATCCAGCTTTTTAGCTTTTTTATCAATAACTTAAAGAGAACTCTATAGCAGGCCATCATAACAGAAGTCAATATCAGATAAGGTTTATCTGCCTCAATGACGCGATTACTGCCTTAACCAAGCAGTACAAATACCAGCTGCAGATCTCTATCACTCATTTATATGGATGTATTGAAAATATAATCTAACATTTCCAGTGTGCCTTGTTTCCTCCTCAGAAACATGTATGATCGAAAGACTATAATTTCATACAAAGATATCTTGAACTTGTTGACTCGATATTAAGGTTATTGTGTTTTTTGGCGTAGTGTATGACGCCTTATATTGTGTTGTGTTGAAAAACCAACACTATTATTGTGTTACTTTATCTGGCATTACTTCTCTCTTCATCCAATGAAGAGTAGCAAATGACTTCGATGTCATAACAACCGCTATTCACAGATAAGGGCAGCAAGTTGATGGCTATATCCAACGGATCCATCCTCCATAAAATGCGTCCAGGAGTTAGAATGGTGAGGTGCTGTCCAGTTCTGTAGCGCGTTCAGCGGCTTTCAGGTAGCCAACGTAGCCAAGTCCACTAAAATCAAGACGCGACGCGACCTATCGAATACGTCAGATCCAATCCAAGCCAATGGAGACAATGCACCTAGACTATACTGGAGCTCCTGTGCACGCGCCCTCGTCAAAACCACTTTAGCACATAAAATACATGCTACTTGAGCACTTCATATCATAACAATAACAGTTTTTTGCAGCCTTGTCGCTATATCCTAATTCAATTCTTTTTGTACCTGTATTTGAATATTTTCAAATGGATCCCGTTGCATGATCATTCTTCCGTTTCAATGTCCTCTTCCGCCGTTGCTGGCATAGACGCGACGCGTCCAGCGCGGTTAAGGATTTTGACACCAAGCTCTGAAGGGAGCTCAAATCACAAAGATGAGTTGCGTTCTCCAGAGAGACACAAGAGGAAGAGGGCCGACTCAATAGCCATGGAGCATCTCTTGAAGCCTTCGATTGCTATCAAGGTTTGCGATTACGAATCCGGTTCTGTTGGATGCTTCAACTAATTCGTGATCATGTAGCCTCATCCTCCGAAACTCAATGTCCAACCTCGTATCCTCTATCCGTTGATGGTCCTCCCCCGCGAACGTCTGCCTCTCTCTTGTATCGACTTCCACGCTACCAATATCGATCTTGCTTCCTATCGATTCTTCGAGTCTCATGTCAAAATCCTTGACTTGGAGAGTCGCATGGGCTCTGGCCCCGTGGTACTTCTGGCCAGAAAGGAAGCAAGCCGCGCCGTGTACGCTCTCGAGCGACAACCAAATGGAGTATATGTTGTATGCAGGTTAGGGCCCTGGGCAGACTTGGAGGCTTTGGCAGAAGACGCATCCGCTGTCTCTCGAGAGCGCCTACACCCAACTGCCAGAACCGAGTCTCAAAGCCAACACAGGCCCTCCGTAATTACCACCCCGCACATCCATAAGGAAGAAAAGATCAAACGAGCCGCCATCGAAGCTATTCAAACTCTGGTTCGCAAAAGGCCTAGGTCGCAGTCTGTTTCAACATTGGCCGAGTCTGTGAAACAAGAATCAGCCCCCGAAGCTGCTATACCCACGGATTCCAAACTACCATCGCCAACCTTCAAACCAGGGGGGCTGACACAAACCCCAAGCGAGCAGCAGACCCAGGCATCACGTTCCACAAGTGCAATCTCAACCTCTGGCAACACCGAGGAGCCTTCGCAGCAGCTGACTACGGAAAGCATATTCGAAATTTTGAGAACCCAGTACTTCGAGATGCTATACAAGTCCATGGTAAGACCTTTAAGCCTGGCTTTCACTGCCATAGCTAACCAGCACAGGGATCGCTCGCCTATTTCGCCAAAGGGCCACTCTCTCGCGCTCGTTCTACTTTCCATCTCGACCTTGAAGCTAATCTAGATATTGGTGATCTCATCGAGTTCTTGAAAGGACTCGTTCTTACCACTGTCCAAATCGACAAAAAGTATCGAGAGACTGTTCCAGCTCTCATAGCCCAGATGAAAACAGTGGTGGACAGTTCAGATGAAGGCCCAAAGAGAAAGCGCCGAGCCAAGAAGATGAAGATCGGAAAGGATGGGCTCTATCCACATGAAGAAGCTCATATCAGAAAGTGGTGGGCCACCAATAAGCCTGAACTGAAAGAAGACGAGACCGACGTTTCCACTCAACAAATTCGATCACTTACCTCTATGCTTCGCACGAGAGAAACCCAGCTTCAGATGATTATTATATTGGAGATCCTGGCATTGACTCCTCTGAAGCCCGCCGACGATGCGGAAGATAGTCAGCTCCCGCCATTACCTGGTGCTGCTGAATCCCAAGGGGATGCGGTGGTTCCGTCGGCCAAGAAGCGGAGCAAGCATAATCTTCCTGTTCTTGTAGACGTCCATGCTGATAGGTTGACTATCTGGCAATCCACTGCTTCCGACGAGCAGCTGCTTTTAGAAGATTCCCAAATCACTCAAGCGCCGGATGGTCAATCTCAGCAGAAGGCGTCATCGGAGCCTCTGAAAGACTTTTGTGTGGACATTATTGTACCATTGTAAGCCTCATATTTCCCTGTCATCTCCTGATAACGACTGACTCGCTTCATTAGCTTCTCCCACAGGCTCCCAGAGCTATGTGATTCGATCAACCGCAAATTGGGAGGGCCTGTCATTGTGAAACCTTCAAGGCCGAAGGTTCTAAAACGGCCATCAAGCAAGCGTTCGCCAAAGCCAGGGGCAGTTGCTAAACGCTCCTTATCAGGTCAGCCTACAAGGACATTACAAAGAGCTCTTTCGACAGAACAACAGTCGCGGCGAAGTGTTTCTAGGGGCCCCAGTAACATGATTGCCCTCATGCGCTCTGCAACATCCACTTCTCTGCCAGGAATCAAGCGAGAAGCCAGTGATTCATCTCTGATTAAGTCGGTCCTGAACGCTGAGCCCGATCTAATGAATAGGAAGAGCGGGCCGTTATCTCGGAGCAGCAGTGTATCCAACCTACAAGACGCAAAATCTAACAAGAAGGCTCAGGTCGAAGCAGAGCTAAAGGAGGCTATATCTTCTTTAAGGAAACCGAACCGCGAAGTTGTCGGCAAGGCACTGGCTGAAGCGGCGGAGCGCCGAGCAACAGTGGGCTCTTCGGCCAAGAGTATGTATTCAAGTACCGAATCTTGCGAATCCTCTAGCTAACATTAACTTTTAGAAGTGAGAAAACCAGGTAGAAGCTCTCTAGGCGCATCTGTTGTGAAAGCAACGCCAGCAAACGCTCGTTTCAGAGATGTATTTGCGAAACCACACGTGGCAGATACACCTATTAGGAGTACTGAAGATGTCATTCCTCCTTCAAGCCTTCCCTCTATGGTTCCCTCTACTGGTTTCCGAGGAGCACAGCGGGATGGCTTCCGTCAGAGTCCAACTCCTGACATTGAGAGGATCGGCAGCACGCCTACAAAGGCCGGATCGAGTTTCATCCGTCGGCCTGAGAACGATGAAGACATTTTGCCATTTCCGCCTTCTTCGCCGTCTCTAGAACGACGAACTACGTCCGCTGCGGACCTGTTCAACCCGGGTGGGATCACGAATCGAAAAAGAAAGGTCAGTTTCACTTTTTCTCGTAATGACGAGGTTTTGGCAACCCCCGTAAAGGGTATGAAAACAAAGACTATAGATATGGAGAACCAGACGGCTGAGCCCATGTCTGCTAAATCCGTGTCGATTTATCAGAAATTGGGATGGGATGACGACCTAGATGACCTGTTATGAGTTACTTGTCGGAACATTTGGCGGTGTTTTTATGAGGGACATGCATCATTGCAGCAGGAGTTTCAGCATTGTTAAAAGGCGTTGGGAACATTATATGAAATATTGTATCGACAATGATATTCGAGATACGATACATCATACAGATAATATGACAGCTCAACATGAATGCATCTGGCTTAAATAAAAAGATCTTATGCCGCTGCTGGCTCTACTAGCATAGTTGGCAAATCTCTGATATCAACATGTTCCTGTGACCCTAGATCAACAACACGCATGGCCTCCAGGCCCACAACGCCTTCTTGTAGCGCGAGAAATTGAAGCTCGACTACGTGACAAGCTCCTGGGGCAAGAGGACCAACACGAGTATCAGCGCTTAAACAAACAACATCAGTTGACTCAACGGACGAGTTCTTCTGTAATGCGTGGAGTACGTTTTCGTCTGTGACTGCATCTGCAACATCTTTTTCGCCATGTCGTCGACCACCCACTGAGGGAGGCCGTGTCATACGCACTTCACCTCGCCGGCGCTTGGGAATAGCAACGAGGGCGAGTTTGCGCGGAGGCGCAGGGTTCTTGTCTGTGGCACGGTTGACGATATACACGGTCCAAGAAAAGACCTGCCCCGGGTAGACGGGCTCAGAGGGACCAGTGAAGGTCATGGTTATGCCAAGTTCTGTAATAGAGGCGTCTGCATTGGATGTGGCAGCCTCGAGAGTGGGCAGGGCGTCTGGACGAATGATGGATGGCGATACCAGGGGATTTACTGCTTGACCTGTGATAGAAAGCTGCGATGGTCTATGGGCACGGACAATGCCAGTTCCAGCAGTTGCTGATCCATAGCCAGGATTAACTGGAAGAGTAAAGTCGAGCTGTGTTGTCCATGACATGTTCATGCTGGGCGTACAGTGGCCCGGGATAACCTGAGCAGTAGCGGAGATTTTGATGTCCAGTTCTCGCATGGGGTTTTTGACTGTAACGTCGTGCTGACGGGGAGCAATGCGATAGAGGAACGTAATATGATCGTGAGACACGCAGGTAAGAGGTAGCTGCATGCCTGCGTCATTGTTGAGGTTTTCGACAGTAGCGTCGAGAATTGAAAGTTCGATTTGATCTAATGATACCTCGCATTCGAAATGAGATGTAAAGTCAACTTCGAGCAGTGCGATCACGGCTGAGCTCGTTGGTGCTGTAGTCGGTCTTGAAAACCGGATTCTTGTGTGGACGACGGGGAAGATCTTGTGCTGAACCTGAGGCAGAGCTCGTATATGCTTCGTTACATCTTGTGAGCGCGTGACGGGCGTAACTCTTGATACTCGCAGCGCAGACAATCGAGGCTTTACTCCGCCGAGTGCAGCATCGCTTCCAAAAGACTCGAGTAGATTAAAGCCAGAGGGCACGCCGCTCTGAAGGTAACCACTCCCCTTTCCAATGAGATCAGTTGAAACCTCAGGCTTCATGCTCGCGGATGCCGTGAAGATGATGGCTGGTGCTGAGATTCGTGTACGAGGTCGACTCAAAAAGACGGGTAGCTTCCATACAGCAAAAACACTTTGGTTTAGGTTGGCATCGTCACCACTTTCTTCACTATCGTCACTGTCCTCTTCTACTTCTTCTTCCTCCTCCCCATCGACGATGATGAAAGGGTCATCAATGTCTGGGACTGTGCCTGAGAAGATGGTATCTGCTGTGGAATTCTCCTTGCCATGGGCTTTGCTGTTGACGATCTGGGCTTCGACTGATATTACTAGCCGGTTGAGGTGAGTGCGGAGTGATGCTTCATCTTTCCAGGGGCTTCTGAGAAGTAAAAGAACATTTACTGTCTCGTCTGAAGATTGTGAGCAACAGAGTGACACGAAAGATTGTGCGTTGCTTACCGAAGAATAATGTATCCCTGCGTTTGATTGAATCAAGTATTGACTTCCCAGGCTCAACATCCTTAAAAGCTGCTTCCAAATCTAAATTCGTACTCTCTGGTATTAGGTAGGATAAGTGTGATTGCTCAGCGAATTCAGTCGTAGGGTCGGTAATAAACAGGCTTCTTTTGAGCTGAGTGAGAGATTCAGGCTCATGTTGAGTAGCCTCCGGGGGTATAGACTCCCTGTCTGTGGTATTGCCAGAGTCTGACATTTCAGTAAAAGGATTAAACCGAGCCTGTTATAAATAAAACTGATAAACTGAGTAGAATAGGATCTTTTAAGTCGCGCGCTTAAAGGGTCTCGTCTTTTTAATTATTATTGATTTGTTAGATTACCCGTGTAAGTCGGAATGCAGCTCATGCCCCTTAGCAACGTGGTCCCTATGATAGATATCGATGCCTTAGGTAATCACGCATTTAGTTGTCGCGACGGGAAATGGTCCGTGCGCAAAAAGTTAGTGCTGCCAAAATCGACAATCTACCTTTACCTCCGTGTTGGCTGATCCTTCTCACGACATCGCCCATCATTTTATCACGACCTAGAATCTCGCCACGACTTAAAAGCGGGCGATTTGTGTCGCGTACATCAGCTGCGCGAGGTGACAGTACTTTCAAGATGAACGGATTCGGCTCTCCTTACGGCCAGCCTGTTACGGCTTGGCAGGAGCATCATACGCCCGATGGAAGAGCATACTATTACAATCCGACTACCAAGGCCACGCAATGGACGAAGCCCGAGGAGATGATGAGCTCAGCTGAGGTCGGTATTCAGTGCCCTTAATTGATGTGTACGTTATATGCTAACAAGTCACAGCGCGCTCTCGCGAACCAGCCATGGAAGGAATACACTGCTGAGGGAGGCCGAAAGTATTGGTATAATACTGAGACGAAACAGAGCTCCTGGGAGATGCCCGATGTTTACAAGACCGCCCTCGGCACAACAAGCAAGCCCGCAACCCCTGCTTCTGCAACCCCCTATACGCCTCCCGCCAGCGCAGGCGGCTACAACCAAGCACCATACGACCAATATCGCGACCAACGCGACACTTATCCTGAATCTCGTCAGATCACGTATGGAAACGACCCCAAAGTCCAGGCTTTTGTACCCGCGACGAACGACCCCGAATACGCCACCGCTGAAGAGGCTGAAGCTGCCTTTGCTAAGCTCCTTCGACGAAGCGGAGTCCAGCCGGACTGGACTTGGGAACAGACCATTCGAGCAACTGCGCGAGACCCGCAATTTCGTGCCATCAAGGATCCTAAGGATCGTAAGGCTGCTTTCGATAAGTATTGTCAGGATGTTGTTGTCCAGGACAAGGAGCGAGCTAAGGAAAGACTGGCTAAACTCCGTGCTGACTTCGAGACTATGCTGAAAAGGCATCCTGAGATCACCCATTATACCCGTTGGAAGACCGCACGTCCCATTATTGAAGGCGAGACCATTTTCCGCTCTACCAACAATGAGAGTGAGCGTCGACAGCTCTTTGAAGAGTATATCATCAGCCTGAAGAAGGCACACGCTGAGCAGCAGACGACTCTCAGGAAGAACGCTATGGACGGTCTCATCGATTTGCTTCCCAAGCTCAACTTGGAGCCGTACACTCGATGGGCTGATGCTCAAGGTATCATTTCATCTACCCCGCCTTTCCAGAATGACGAAAAGTACCAGGCTCTCACCAAGTTTGACATTTTGACTGCTTTCCAAAACCATATGAAGGCCCTGGAGCGCAGGTTCAACGACACAAAGCAGGAGGAGAAGAACAGAAAGTTCAGAAAGGAACGCAAGGCTCGTGACGCTTTCAAGTCTCTCCTTACTGAACTTCGCCGCAATGGAAAAATTAATGCCGGAACCAAATGGAGCCAGATCGTTCCCCTCATCGAGAATGACAATCGCTACACCGACGCCGTCGGCCAAAGTGGCTCGACCCCCCAAGAACTTTTCTGGGATGTTATTGAAGAGGAAGAGCGTGGGCTGCGTGGACCGAGGAACGAGGTTCTGGATGTCCTCGAAGTAAGTTGTTGCTTCTGATGAAATTTTGTAATTGGTTGGTAACAATTTGCAGGACAAGCGGTTTGATCTTACGCCTACGAGCGATTTTGAAGAGTTCCTCTCCATCATGAAGGATGATCGACGGACTGCTAACATTGAACCTGATATTCTCAAGCTCATCTTTGATCGAGTAAGTTGGCCTAATTGATGTTGAATCGTGTCTTGATGCTGACAACTTACCAGCTTCGCGAAAAACGCTCGTCTAAGCGAGGAGACGACGATCGACAGTCTGAACGCCAACAACGCAGAGCTATTGACGATTTACGTGCTTACATGAAGCGCTTGGAGCCCCCTATCGCCTTGAGTGATACATATGACAAGGTACGATCTCGACTTTTGAAATCAGACGAATTCCAGGCCGTTGCATCCGAAGATGCACGACGAAATGCTTTCGACAAGCACATTCGCCGGCTGCGAGAGAAGGAAGATGAAGCGGATCGAAACTACAGGCGACGTGATCGTATGTCTAGCGAAAGAGACATGCATCGCCGTGAGCGGGAACGATCTAGAGGTGAGCGATCTCATCGTAGTGGTGGACGTGGTTCTCGACGAAGTCGCAGTCCGGAGCCCGATGCCTACGAAGCGGACCGACGCAAGGCTATCGCTGAGCGGGAGCGTAATCACCGTAAATCCACCATGGCCGAGGGTCTTCTGGGTGCAGACAGAAGCCGTATATCACCACCTCGTCGTGAGCGAGAAAGAGACCGTGATCGCGAGCGCGAGCGGGAAAGAGACTATGATCGTCCCTCTCGCTCACGACGTGATGATGACAGCTACTACGATCGCGAAAGAAGAGATCGAGAAGATGAACGCGAGAGACTGTATCGCCGTCGCGTCGACCGGGGATCACATGACGAACTTAACTATGGGGATGAGCGTCCATCCGGCTCTCGACGTCGTCGTCCAGACGATGAAGACGAATACGCTCGTCGTGATTCGCGCGATACCAAGGTACGAATATAAAACCACCCTCAATCGTACTAGAGAAAGCATAACTAATAACTTGGCATAGAGAATCAAGAGGGAACGGTCTCGAGAGCGTACACCGCCTCGTGCTGAAGAACGTCCTCGTAAGAAAACCCCTCCACCTGCAACCAAGGATGTTCACTCCGGCAGCGAAGAGGGCGAGATTGAGGAGGATTAGAAACTGGAACAGTATGTCGAAAGCTATGGTTAAAGCATTTGGCTGCACTCTTTCTCAGTACGTACTGGCATTGTCAAAACCCCTGACAACGTCCGTCCGGCGAGATGACACATGAGTACAGGCTTGCGGCTCCTTGTCGCCACGGCCGCCCAGCACCACAACGGTGGAGACATGGCGACTACATTGCTCCCAGAAGCAGTCTTTTGACCAGTATGTGTCTTTCCCGCCTCTTATCTTAGCCTAGGTTTATTGCTTGTGAATTTTTTGAGATGGGTAGTCAAGTTCCTCCAAATGGGTGTAGATAAGGTTTAGATAGTAAGGATTATTGAACCCGTTTTAATGTTCTAATTCATTACTTTTGTTATACGATCCAACGTCTTTGTAATTGAAACTATTGCAAGACTAACTAACGGCCGTTCTAATAATGTCAGTTGTTTCCCGCGAGGTTGGAAACTTTAGACGACAGAGATCATGTTACATCAATTGTCCCTCAATCTACGAATCATGCCATTTGCCGTTGATATAGAAGTTCTCGAGAATTCCAAACACCTCGAGTGCCCGGCAAGACAGAAAACCAGATAAAACAAAAGCTTCGTAGGACCAGACAAGAGGAGACACTCTGCCGTCGCCGTCGTTATTCATCTGGGTCGTCATCCTCGCTGACGCTGCGGTCATCATCTATTCCCAAGACTCGTTGCTTTTGCCCATTTCCATTTTGAACGCCCCAAACGCCGTGAGATGCACCATCAAGAGAAGGGAAAATCTCGTTATGGACGCCTTTAGCTCTTATCAGGGGTCTCCTCCAAGAAGAACTGCATAAATGTGTTAGTGGATAATCATCTTGTGCAACTACAGAGTTTGAACTTACGAAGTTGCCACTCATCTTCTGCTCTTGATCGAGCTGAGATCCGCTCTTATTGATACGGGGGCGGTAGTTGGTGGGATCACGACGGAAAGTGACGTCGAGGTTCTTCAAGAAAGTGTTGCAGCCGGTGAGGAGAGATTCGGGCTTGTTGGCATGAGCGTCAATACCAGGCTGTCCATCAAAGACAATGACACGATCGGCAAGGTACGTGGCCATGATGAAATCGTGCTCAACAACGAAAGCAGTCTTCTTGGAGTGCATGATGAATCGCTTGATGACTCGCGAGGCAATGATACGCTGCTCGGAGTCGAGATAGGCCGATGGTTCATCGATCAGATAAATGTCCGCAGGGATACCCAGGGCAAGGACGATGGCAACACGCTGCAGTTCACCACCGGAGAGGTTCTTGACTTCCTGGTCAATGAAATCATCGAGCTTAAGAGGCTTGACGACGTCGGTCTGGAACTGCGGAGACAGGAAAGACTGCTTGATCTTCTTGAAGAAAAGCTGACGGACAGTGCCATCGAACTTGGGGGTGATAGTCTGAGGCTTCATGCTGATTCGCATCTCAGGGATACTTTTCTGGCTATCGGGCTTGAGGGCTCCAGCCAAGAGGCGGCAGAATGTGGTCTTTCCAGTACCGTTCTCGCCCATCATGACGATGATCTCGGAATCGGTGAAGTCACCAGCCTCGATGTTGAGTTTGAAGTTGCCGAGAGTCTTCTCCATCTGAGGGTAGGTGAAGGCTCGAGATTTGTCGATAGCGAAATCATCAGTAGTCTCCGCAATACGGAAGGTCAAAGACTCGTCACGGAATCGCAAGTTCTCGGTCGGGATGTGACCGTCGAGGAAGATGTTGATACCTTCACGGACGGAGTGCGGGAGGGTGACAACACCATAAACGGCGGGCTTTCCGTACAGAACACAGATATAGTCGGAAAGGTAATCCAAAACAGACAAATCGTGCTCGACAACAATGACGTAATCGTTGTCACGGAGGAGAGAGCGAATGATCAGAGCAGCACTGAGACGCTGCTTAACATCAAGGTATGAACTTGGTTCGTCAAACATGTAGATGTCAGAATTCTGGACGGCAACGGTTCCAATAGCGAAACGCTGAAGCTCACCACCAGAAAGGTGGTTGATATCTCGGTCCATGATGTGGTTCAGCTCGAGAACATTGGCGACCTGCTCCATGTTTCCAAGCGAGGCACGACTCTCGATGAGGAATCGGACACTCTTGTTGGGGCCCCTGACAGCCCTGGGGATCTGGTCCACATACTGAGGCTTGACAACTGCCTTCAGGTCATCTTCGAGAAGCTTGGTGAAATAATCTGGTTACAAGTCAGCGTCAACTCGGTTCCTCCCAAATTTGAAGCAGCTATATACTCTGAAGCTCGGAACCACGGAAGTGCTTGATAACGTCCTCCCAATCAGGAGGGTTGTCGTGTCGGCCCAAGTTGGGCTTGAGCTTTCCACTAAGAATCTTCAGAGCGGTACTCTTTCCAATACCGTTTGTTCCGACCAAACCAAGAACCTGGCCGGGTCGGGGCATGGGCAGACGGTGCAGCTTGAAACTGTTGGGTCCATATCGGTGGGTGACCTGGCTTTCGAGGTTGGTGGGCAAGTTGATGATGGTAATGGCGTCAAAGGGGCACTTCTTGGGGCAGATACCGCAACCGATACAAAGGGACTCGGAGATGAAGGCCAGCTTAGAGTCGGGCTGGACCTCAATGCAGAGTTTGCCGCTGCGGACGACTGGGCAAGACTTTTTGCACTCTTGTCGACATTTTCGAGGGCGACACTAAAAGGAGGGGTCAGAAAATGTTTGGCGGGGCAATTGTGATGCTGATGCTGATAATCATGCTAATGACGGACCTTGTCGCTGTTGACGATGGCGATACTGTTGATTGCATGTCAGCGTCTCTTCTTATTCTGTATTGTTTATATCCTCCGTGTCGATCGCACAGACGTACCGCGTGAGCTTGTCCGACATTGTTGTGGTGATGTAGCAAACGTCGCTTCAAAGGCGATTTTGGTGGGGTAAAATTTTGTTTCGTGGGTAAGAAAAGAGAGACAAAGGTCGACGACCGAGGGATCTCGAGCGCGCAAGATATAGTGAGACGCGGGCGCTCGCCGATGCTCTTGATACAGCGGAATACACGGTGAGAAAGAAAATCGGAGGGAGAAATCAAGGTTAAAAGAAGTTCCAAGGTTGGGCTTCGATTGTGCGGGTGGTAATCCAATTTTCAGGCCCTGTCATAGGTTTGGCGGGGGGCTGTGGACCTACTAAATTAAGAGGTTCGTTCGCGTGTCGAGTAAACTACTAGTTAACCTAACAGTAAATGTGAATGTGACCTTGGCCTTGCATGACGTTGTTGCTGCAGCCATCCATTGATATAGGTATTGTCAACTTTGACATACCGAGGTCAGGGTAAAACTGGTTAGGTAGTACTTGATTATTTGGTGACTCAGAGAGACATAGGTACTGAATCAGGCAGGCTTATGAGTTACCTTACGGTAGTCGTTAAAGATTTGAATCCTTGAATCTGGTGCGAAAATTAAACACCTACCTAGTAGTAGGTACTTAGCCAAAGAACCTGCTGAGTTTATCCAAAAGTTGTCTGACTATTTTTTTTATTCTTCCCTCTTGGGATCGAACTTGAGTTTTTGCCATCTCCTAACATGACTCCTACCTATGCCCTTTAGGATGTCAATCCATCAGATGAATAATTCGATGCCTTGTTTCGTAGACAGACAGGAGAACTTGAACCGGAGAGAGGAAATCTGACTCACTCACATTGCACACCACTTTTCTTTGTGCCAACAAACACGTCGTACATTTGTATTATTACACCAGAGTTGCATTCACGGTGGCTCATAGCGGGTGTCAATATATCGTATCGCACGGAATACCACCCCTTAAGAGTTCAAAGTAACAATTTTCCCATTACACATGGGCCAACCCGCTGTCTGTTTGCGTGCCACATGGCAAGCATTATCAGTAAAACACAAAGTTGCTGTAATACTGTTTCCAGTGGATAGAGTGCGTTGAAAGTCAACGACCTCGATTTTGTGTCATGTTATCTGCCTACCTATATATAATAAGTGAAGGTAAATCGGCCGTGTGATGATATGTGATCCGCCTATGTCTATTTACGTGATAGCCACTATCTTACTGGCGCGGAATAAGCACCGAGCCGAAGAGTTAAAAGAGAAGAGCACATATAAGAACAATATAAGTAGATGAATTGATAGACTCATGCATCCATTTCCTCATTATTCATGCCTTGGCCTCAGGCAATTGTTATCCATAGGTAGGCGGCAACCTACAATCAAACTCACAATAAAGAACAATAAAGGTTCTTCATTTAGATCTAGGGTAGTGGCGTTAGTCTGTCCCGTTCATTGGCTACCTACCTTACCAAGATACATGCAGCAGAAAAATAATAGAAATCGAGAAATAGATACAACTTCAACCCCAAACAATCAGAAGCGGATCTATTGATGCAAGCGGGAAAATCCCCAGGTAACGATACCCAAAGTCCTGTATACTGTGCTTAGCTACCTAGGTACCAACTATATATTAGCAGTCATTCAGGTATCCCTCTCGCGCCAGTGGATTGGTGGTTGGAGATCACGTGATATACGCTCCACCTCTCAGGTGCTCTCAGCCTCTCACCCCCCGTGCAATCAATCCAAATCTTCAGGTTCCTGCCTCTCCACCAAATTGATTCTCCCGTCCCCTACCCACGTCACTGGGCCCCCGATACCCCCAAACACTTCCCGACAGACAGCCGATACTATCTACATGTTGGCTTTCGTCTGCATGTTATACTTTAATGACTTGTGAGTTTCCCCTGCCCTTCCTGCCCCTTCTAGTCTCTACCGCGCTTCTGGCTTGCTGGCCTGTCGCCTATCGTCGATCCCGCCTCGGCCTCGGCCTTGCCCATCACGATATTGCTTCCTCAAGAGCCTTATATGTGCAATAATTCGATGCAAGTTGATGGATTCGATGCTCCACGTTCCTCTGGACCCTCCTGCGACCCGATACGCTGCACCCGAGTTGCCTGGTCCTCTCAATTGCGAGTTTTGGAGTTTCCATCAAGCGACCATCGATAACCTACACGGGATGCGACAAGTACTTCATCTCTACCGTTTTCCCAATATTTAGACATTCTAGAGGTCATTTATGGGTCGCCGGAGTCGCGTCATTCCGTTAATCCCTCAACCGCACACGTCAGACTAGAATATCAGCTAATATCGTCGCGTCTTCAGTAGGTAGCCTGTATCATCACCAACATGATGTCCACCCCTACTTTGGGGGCTCCCTCCAATGGACATTTGTCGCCGGTTGATGGAATCAGTATGTCATTCGACACAGGAGATCATGCAACCGATAGCGACTCTCACGATGCACACGATCTCACGCTCGATCAACCATCACCGACATCCTCAGACGATGCGAACAATGATTCCAACATTGTCCAGGATGATACACACATGTCAGCCAGCGAACAATCTAGTGAAGACAATGCGTCTGATGACGGAGACTTCGATATGGAGGAGAGCCTCCCATCACAGAATGAAGACGCGATAGAAGACCGCGACAGCTCTACCGACTCAAATCGAGCCTCCAAGCGCAAAGCTCCCGTCGAGGAAGACGAGTATATCAAAGCCAATCCTGAGCTCTATGGATTGAGACGAAGTGTACGTTGTGAAATTTTTTCACTCAAACTCTCTTCAAGCTTGCTGACAAGAAGACAGACGCGACCTCGAGAACAACGAAAAATTGTAGGTCACCATCGCAATCCGGTGTTAGGATGTATCGTTGACTCATGTATGCAGGTTGAATCTGATGATTCTGATTCTGAACCCCCTGTCAACCGTCGTATAGTCAAACGACGAAGAGTTGAATCCTCCCGTCCTTGTAAGTTGCCGATCTCTTCTCAACTGTATAACGCCTTCTCTCGTCATCATCACGGTCTAACACGGTCATCTCAGCATCCAAGATTGGAACTCCAACATTACGTGCCTCCACCGCCGATTCCGACTCCGACTCTGACACATATGGCGGTGCTCGCGCAAAGAGCCTGCAGAAGAAGGCTCGAATGCAACGCGAGGCACAGCCAGACCTCGCCCTTGCTGAAAAGCGCTGGTCGAGTCGTCGCGCTGCACAGGTACAACAAGGAGCATACGAAGAGAGCGACGTCGACGAGGATGATGACGACGACGAGCTCGCTCCAATGGCCTACACCGTTGACTACATCGACGATTCACCATATATAGAAAAAGTAGTCCGGCATAGGCTAAAAGATGGATTCGAAATTTCCTATGGGTTGACTAAGAACGACTTTGAATTCTTCATCAAGTGGCAAGGCAAGTCGCACTTGCATGACACTTGGGAGACATTTCAAGACATTCGAGATTATCGAGGTTATCGCAAAGTTGAGAACTACTTTAGAAAGGTGATCGTGTACGAGGTGGACATCCGCCTTGGCGATGATATTCCCCCCGAAACCAAGGAGCAATTCTTCCTTGACCGCGAGCGAGACGAGGAAGCATTCGAGGATTACACCAAGGTCGAGCGAGTGGTAGCTGTACGAGATGGTGAAGATGATACTGAGTATCTTGTCAAGTGGAAGGGTCTCACGTACGAAGAATGCACGTGGGAGGTCGCGTTAGACATCAGCGACGCGTTCCAAGACCAGATTGACCAATATCTCGACCGAGCATCACGCTCGTGGCAGTCAGACCGGAAGGAGGCGAACCTTGACACGCGATCACGGATGGTGAAGCTCGAGGAGCAACCCGATTTCATCAAAGGCGGCGAACTCCGCAACTTCCAGCTTCGGGGCCTCAACTTCCTGTGTTTGAACTGGACAAAGGGTAACAACGTGATTCTGGCCGATGAAATGGGTCTCGGAAAAACAGTCCAGACTGTATCATTCCTCAGCTGGCTCCGTAATGCTCGACGTCAGGAGGGACCATCACTTGTGGTTGCTCCTCTCAGTGTCATCCCGGCTTGGTGCGATACTTTCAATCATTGGTCCCCTGACATCAACTATGTTGTTTACCTGGGACCCGAGGATGCTCGAAAAATCATTCGTGAGCACGAGCTGCTCGTAGATGGCAACCCAAAGAAGCCCAAATTCAATGTCCTTGTCACTTCATACGAGTTCATTCTCCAGGATTGGCAATTCCTGCAGTCTATCAAATGGCAGACACTCGCTGTTGATGAGGCTCATCGTCTCAAGAACCGTGAATCACAATTGTACAACCGGCTAGTAAGCTTTGGCATTCCTTGCAAGATCCTGATTACAGGAACACCTATTCAAAACAACTTGGCCGAACTCTCTGCTCTGCTCGACTTCCTTAACCCCGGCAAAGTTGACATCGACGAAGATCTTGATTCCCTTTCTGCCAGCGATGCACAGGAGAAATTACAACAACTTCACAAGGCCATTGCGCCTTTCATTCTACGACGAACCAAGGAAACCGTCGAGTCAGATCTTCCTCCCAAGACTGAAAAGATTATCCGCGTTGAGCTTTCAGATGTCCAGCTGGAATACTACAAGAATATCCTGACCAGAAACTACACAGCCCTTTGCGACGCTACTAATGGACACAAGAACTCTCTCCTGAACATTATGATGGAACTAAAGAAGATCAGCAACCATCCTTACATGTTTCCTGGTGCTGAGGAAAAGGTTCTGGCCGGCAGCGTCCGCCGTGAAGATCAAATCAAAGGTTTGATTGCCAGTAGTGGAAAGATGATGTTACTCGATCAACTTCTTTCCAAGCTAAACAAAGATGGCCATCGAGTTCTGATTTTCAGTCAGATGGTCAAGATGCTTGATATTCTTGGTGACTACTGTTCTCTGCGAGGTTACAAGTTCCAGAGACTGGATGGCACTATTGCTGCTGGCCCCCGACGCATGGCCATCAACCACTTCAACGCCGATGACAGCGATGACTTTTGCTTCCTTCTCTCTACTCGTGCAGGTGGTCTTGGAATCAACCTTATGACAGCAGACACTGTCATCATTTTCGACTCTGACTGGAACCCTCAGGCTGATTTGCAAGCCATGGCTCGTGCACATCGAATCGGCCAGAAGCGTCCTGTAAACATCTACCGCCTAGTATCCAAGGAGACTGTCGAGGAAGAGGTTCTCGAAAGGGCTCGCAACAAGCTCCTACTGGAATACCTGACCATCCAGGCTGGTGTTACCGACGATGGCAAGGCAGCTTTCAAGGAGGAACTCAACAAGAAGGGTCTCAGAGTCGAAGGCCCCTCTTCATCTGAAGATATCCAAATGGTTCTCAAGATGCGATCATCTAAGATGTTCGAACAGAGCGGCAACCAAGAACGACTTGAACAGCTCGACATTGACTCGATTCTTGAGAACGCTGAAGTCACCAAGACCAAGGTCGACGACAAGATCAACCTAAGCAGCGGCGGCATCGACTGGGACAATTTCATGCAAATCACTGATGTGAAAGTGGATGATATCAACCTTGATTGGGATCAAATTATCCCTGCCGATAAGATCGCCGAAATCAAGGCCGAGGAAGAAAAGAAGCAGCATGAGGCTTACGTTGCCAAGGTGGCGGCCGAAAGCGCTCCACGCAAAGCGGCCATCAAGAGCCGTAACAGAGAGAGTGAGCGTGATGTTCGCCTCAAGAAACGTCAGAAGGAGCAGCAAGACAAGGAGGAGGATGAGCGACGGCCCGTGCCTCTTGATCCTAAGCGGCCTTTGAACGACAAGGAACAACGTAGTCTAATAAAGGCTTACTTCCGTTACGGCTCAATGGATGACCGTGGCGACGAAATTATCAAGGAAGCTAAGCTGAAAGAAAGGGATACAGACTACGTCAAGTCGGTCCTCGATGAATTTATCAAGGCAGCTAAGGAGGCCGTAGACGATAACTACGCTCAGATGATGGAGGAAGAAAAGAGACTCGGGAAGACTCTCACAAAGAAGGACCGCAAAGCTGTCCTGATAGACTTTGGCGATCTCAAGAAAGTCAATGCTGAAACGGCCATCGAACGGCCGAAGCAACTTCAGCTTCTCCGACAAGTCATCCGCAGCCACAATGACTGGCACACATTTCGTCTCCCTGACGCGACAAAGGCCGCCAGCTACTCTTGTGCTTGGGGCGCTAAGGAAGATGCTATGCTCCTAGTTGGCATTGACAGACATGGCTTTGGCGCTTGGCCGCAGATTCGCGACGATCCTGATCTGGACATGGCAGACAAACTCTTCCTCGAAGAACATCGCGTGGAGAAGAAAGAGGAACGTAGCAAGGGTAATGACAAGATGAAGGCTCCTGGCGCCGTTCACCTTGTTCGTCGATCAGAGTATCTGCTCTCAGTCCTGCAAGCGAAGCACTCTAATGATCGTGGTGTGCAGCGAGCAGTAGAGAATCATCACCGCAACAACAAGAAGTTACTTGCCAATGGCCACCGTGGGAGTGCCACAGCGTCTCCTGCTCCACACAACGGCAAGAAGTCTCGCGACCGCGACAGAGACCACCTCCATGGTGACCTGCACCGATCCCGTAGCCATGCGGAGGAGCGTGGTACCCCACGACCGGATTTCAAGCGGAAACATCTATCTCATGAAGATAGCCGCAGCCCTAAGCACCGCCGCATCGAGGAGCATCGCCGATCTAGTAAGCACGGAGAGGACAGGGACAGGTCAGAGAAACGGCGTCATCGGGATGACGAGGACCGTCGTGATGAGCGCCGTGATGAACGACGGGATGACCGGCGACATGATAAACATCGCCTCAGCCACAGTCATCGTGACGATCGTCGGGAAGACCGCCGAGATGACCGACGTGACGACCGCCGAGACGACCGCCGAGACGACCGCCGAGACGACCGCCGAGACGACCGCCGAGACGACCGCCGGGATGATCGTCGTGATGATCGACGACATGACCGACATCGTGAAGATCGTGAGCGTGAGCGTGAGCGTGATCGTGATCGCGAACGAGAGCGAGAACGAGCCCATGACTCGCATCCTCAGGATGAGCGCCGAGCCAAGGCTCTGCGAAGGCTGGACGAACTTCGCCGAATTGGCGACAACAAAGATAAGAGAGCTGAGGACAACGACGCCATGATCTGGTTTCTACTCAAACCGGTTCGAGAGAACTTTGAGAGGATTCTCTCCACCACCAAGGATAACGTCAAGTCAAGCAAGGAGCGGGCGTCTATCTTTGGCGTCGAGTTGGTCGTTATCGGCACTTTCCTCGACGAGAAATTGGCGGCCACTGCTGCTGACGAAGGTCTCAAGAGCAACTTCTGGTAAGTCTGATGATGGACAGCTTTTTGTGACACGCCCAACTAACACTCATGATAGGGACTTTCTGGCAGCTTTGTGGCCGGTGGATGATACAAGCAAGAGCGTCACGGGAAAGCGACTGAGCAACATGTATCGTACTCTACATTCCCGTAGCAAGGGTTCCGGTTCGACCAAAACCAATGGTGCATAGCCACCGTCACCGTCACTTTGAGAAAAGCAGCGGACGATTCCCAACCAGGAACAGAACAACACAAAACCATACCAAACACACCTACCTGTTACGAGCAGATTATACCTGATATTGTTTCATTATGACTTGAGCATCTTTTTATTCAGTTTCCCGCATAGGATCGGCGTTTGGTTGCGCATACCTCAAAAGACAAGGGCTGTCAGCATGTTGCCCCTCACTACACTTCACTGCATTTTGAGCAAGAGCAAGGTGTGGAGAGATTTGAGGTTCAGGTTCAGGTTCAGATCATACCCGGATAGCATGGTATAGGACTTGTCATAGGTGGAGTTGTCTCGTCTTGATCGACTTGGCTGTTGCCAATATTATACACACGTACGTTGGGGGGCCACGTCTTATGCATTTGAGCTGGGCTAGCGTTGCGTGTCTTTGTTGAACTTGATTTGTTATCTGGGACTCGGTGTTGGTCATTTGCTCAATACACCTCAAGAATAGGAGGTGAGGAGGCGATGCGGATACCAACACAATGCATAGAGACCCATATTGTTGTTAGATGAAGATGACTGCATGGCACGGACTGTGGATACAAAAAAAAAACGAGCAACGACTGCCAGGCGATGGCTTCTGCTTGGGTTGATAGAAGCTTTAAACTATAAAGAAAGATGAATAACTCTAAGATTCGTAGTAACCCGTCCTGTCTTGCTATGTACAACATATATAATACCTGTTTACGTAGTATAATACTGTGATTATGTAGCACATGGTGACACCTATTACAAGACTGCAAGATTGTCGCTGGTCAGCCTCCTGCAGGCTGCAGCCAACCACATTGTATGTAACTCGTCATCAGGCTTATTGGCATCGAGGTTGAACATATGACTCTAGGTAGATATCTGATAGTTGCTTTCTTTGAGATGTTTACCCAAGATTCTACGCGACTCCTTGTTCTAGTTTCAGTCACCAGATATGTCAGTGATTAACACAGAACTCGAATGTGCTCGAAACATTGCTCTTCTTTACTACCTTGGTAGGATTGGCTGCAAACATCAAAAGAACAATATTCAAGATTGTGAACCTATACGCAAATCAGACATCAGCAGGGTACTGTCTTTGCAAGATGAAAAGTTACTCACGTCAACACTGGCGTTTCTTTCGAGTATTCGAGATGATGCTCTGAAGGTCACAGCAGTTTGTGTAGAAGAGAAGAAATCTAGTGTTGTGGTGATGGTTGCGGCCAATGCGAAAGATAGTCACGCTCATCATCGTATCTTGACGCTGTCAAGGAAGGGTTTGATAGAATATTCAAATTACTCAATTGGGAGACTCCAGGTGAGCCAAGAGAAAAAGCAGTCCTCTTCTGAACTTTCTAATGGAATGATTAGTATCTTCTGAGAGCCTTCGTTATCGGATTATCAGTATCGTCACCTCTATATGTCGAAGCCGAATAATGAGCAGAGCGAGATTCATCAAGCACGGCCAAAGACAAGGCCTTGATACCATATTGAAGGCAGTCAACAAAGAGATGGCTCGATTTACATTGAATGACGATAAGAGGGAGTATATGAGACTGAGCCAAGTGCTGATTTCCAGAATACGAGAATATTGGACCGAGGATGGAACCGGACTTGTGCCGTGGCTTATTGAACACCGTCCACAAGTTGGCACACTATAAAACTTGTGCCTGGACACTCGTGAAGCTTTCGAGGAGGTATTTGATACTTGGACATACCTCTACTATCACAGTCAGACTTGATGACACGGCATTTGGGAAGCCACCAGCAGAAACTAAGGAATTTAAGTTGGAAAAGCATTTGAAGAAGCTCAAAGACGAGTACAACACCAATTGGGACTTGGACAACTTCACCCAGAGACTGGCCACGAATACGGAGAACTTCCGGAAGGAATTTTTGAGAGTGACGAATGACCCAAAGATCCACGCTGAAATTCAACTTATGTGGTACCTAGAGTGTCATCCAAGCTCGAAGCCTCCACGAGTTATCGCCTCCAACAAAGACGCGTGTTTCCTATGCAACGCCTTCATATCGTTCCATGGGAAGTATATGATACCCAAGACACATGGGAGAATCTATCCTGGATGGAGGTTGCCATCGACTGGGCTCAATGAGACCAGGAGACTGTTTGCCAAGGAACTTGAACGCATTGCTGTGGGAAAAGTCAACGTGGTGAGTCAACAGGGGTTTAAGAAGAGCATCGATCCTTTGGAGAGCACAATATCGTTGGCCGCTATTTCTGCAGCCTCCCTGAACAAATCTAGGGAAACGGCAGATATCCAACCAACGATGACGCTTCCCAATACTGGGATCAACAGCGGCGCTTTAGCTATAATAGACGAGAGAGGGCCTGCGGTATGTCTGGTGCAACCAAAGAAACCAGGACAATCCAAAGCTGGAATCAAGACAAAGCAAAAGCACTTGAACGTTGAGAGCACTGAAATCTCCTTAATGCTGAAGAACTCTCCTATAGATTCACAGGAGGCCATGGCTCTGGCGGAAGATTCAGCCAACGAAACGAAAAGAATCCAAGAACAAGCCCCTATTTCAGTTGGAGGGCCAAATGATGTCGCGTCCGAGGAGACTGAGTACCAGCTGAACAAAACCACAAGTCCAGAAACATATCAAACACACCCATCGAGCACTTCTCTTCAAGATTCGAAGCATTCCGAAAACAAGAAAAGCGATGATCGAGTGGCATGGGAACTAGTAAAGAAGGATTCAACAAAAAGAATTAAGCTCAACTCTTTCAACCTTTACATCGAGTACACATCGTCAGATCCAAACACATGGAAAGTTCTCAAAATCAAGACGAAAAGACTGTCAGTCGATGAAGCAGAAGCAGTTGCAGATGGGAAAGATCATGTTTATGATTTGGATAGTCTTTCAACACTCGGTTGCGACCTTGGAAATTGTCAACAGTTCACGATGAAGGCGAAAGGGGAAGTTTATGTCGTAGATCTTGGTGCTTTTGCTCGACATGTCATGCTGTTCATTAATAAGTGAGTTGCGGACGGTGATTGCGTTGATATGAGCTATTTGAGAGTATAGTTAAGCTGGTAAGGCTTGCGTGGTATATAATAATGTATATGCCCAGCCGTCTCTCCTATCCCAGCATCATCACATCTGCCAAAATACGCCCAAGGTGCGCCAACGAATATTCAATGATAGACTTGATGTGCCAAATTAGTATAGAGGCCTTCATAGAGCATCTGAGCAAGCGAGAGTCCATAACATGTTAGGAAAAGGTATTGATCATACTATACCTATCCTAGGGGAGGCAATAGAACTTAGGACCTCGATCCTAAATGACAGAAAGACTTGGATAAATTATTGTTAGTTTAGGTGGCTCTCGGATAAGTTTATTTTGGCATCCTTGATCAAAGTCTGAAGTTTTCTTGCTCCCTGAGGCTATCCTGCAGTTGATGGCTTGTACAAATAAATGATGGGCAAATAGATGAAAGATATGGGTTCATGCTAACCTTGATCTCTTAACTAGACATGTCGCATCTTGAACCAAAGCATAAGCACAACTCACAACACCAAATGGTCATTATTTGTTGTTGCTCATGCCTCATGCTGTGCACAAACAAATAAACGACGCTCATTGATTGCATCATGATATGCTGTGGGTGGATCCGTGGGGAATCACCAAATCACCGCCTCTTCCTCTCACTCAATCTCATGCATCACATCACCTTAATAATCGCATCATAATAAAATACTCTCCCTCTCATCAACACCAATCCTCCTACCTTCAGCAACGCTACAACGCCATCATGTCATCATACACCCGTGAACGTCAAATCGCAGAGCTCGCCGTGCTACGGGCATCAATCCTCACAAAAAGAGTCCAATCAACCGTCAGCGGCATTTCAAAAGCAGACGATTCCCCCGTCACCGCTGCTGATTTCGCCGCTCAGGCCGTTCTCATCAGCGCCCTCCGCAAGGCCTTTCCCGGCGACAACTTTGTCGGCGAGGAAGATTCCAGCGCTCTTAGAGAAGATCCCGCTCTGAAGCAGCGTGTCTGGGAACTTGCCTCTGGCGCTCGCCTTGAGAACGCAGACGATGAGGCCCTTCTTGCGAGTCCCAAAGATGCTGACGAGCTTCTTGAGGTGATCGATCTTGGAGGACGTGGTCAGGGTGGGAGAAAGGGGCGATTCTGGGTCATGGATCCTATTGATGGAACAGCTACATTCCTCAAGGGAGAACAATACGCTGTTTCTCTAGCCTTGATAGAGGATGGAAAGGAGGTTGTTGGTGTTTTGGGCTGTGCAAACCTCAAGCCTGTGAACGATAGAGTTGCAGAGTCAACCATCGACAAAGATGGCTTGGGTCTTATGCTCACCGCAGTTCGCGGTCAAGGCACCACGATTCGCAAGATGGATTTCAGCGGCCTTCAGCCAGCTCAGCCTCTTGACAGCATCGCCAAAGCTTCAAGTCCTGCTGAAGCTCAGATCATCAACTACTCGAGTGGCTCGACATCTCGTCACGACCTCATCCGCAAACTCGCAAGCTCTTTCGGTGCTAAATTCCCTAACATCGAGCTGTACTCATCGCACATCCGTTATGCAGCACTCCTCGTTGGTGGCGGTGATTTCCAGCTCCGTATCCCTTCGTCTAGCGATGTGGTCATGTACATCTGGGATCATGCCGGGGCTCAACTTATCTTGACCGAGGCCGGTGGCAAAGTAACTGATCTTGACGGCAAGGATATGGACTTCGGAGCTGGAAGGGATCTGAACCAGAACAATGGCTTGCTTGCAGCGAGACAGGGGATTCACGCTGCCGTTCTCGAGAGTATGAAGAAGATTCTTTCTGAAGATGCCTCCCATTAAGCAGTCATAAGATAAAAAGGAATATTGAAAATCTCAAAAGACAACCAAATTTGATTCAAAATGCTGGTATCTACGTCCGCATCGATATTCCATACATGCCAAACCCATATCTTACATCAAGCTGCTTCGGCCTCCAATCTCCATACTTCCTTGTCCATCTTTCATCTGGCCACTTCTACCCACAACAAATTCGGTATATATTCTTTGCAATCTGGCCTTCTCCTCAGAACTGATACTTGCTCGTGTGCTATCCAGAGCCTTTATGAGATGGCTCCATTCAATAACCACCTCCCTCTGATCGCTGCTTTGCGCCTTGGTGTCTGCGTTGGTAGCGGGAGTGCCGTGGATTTGCTTCGACTTCTTGCGAGCTATCTTGATCTCTTCAAGCTTTGCCAAAATAGACGCATTTTCAACCAGAGCAGCGGACTTGCTCTTTGGCGTCGCTTCGGTCAGAGGTTTGGCGTCTTCGCCGTAGCGGAACTGGACGAAGCTAGGTGTGGTGTTCGACTTGCCATTGGCACCGTTGGGTCGTTTAGAAGTGACTGCAGGTCCGTCAACGTCCAAGACATCGTGAATAGCCTCCAGCTGAGCATTGGACACGAGAGCCTGGAGATCGGCACCCGAGAAGCCCTCAGTTCGACGGGCAATGTCCGTCAGAGGTCCATCGGATTCGGTCAACTCGTCCGAAAGTCTGACTTTTTGGAACAGCGCCTTGATAATGTCGACACGATCCTCCAGGGAAGGCATATCGCACAGCAAAGACTTGTCCAGACGGCCGGGACGAAGAAGAGCAGGGTCGATCAAATCAGGCCGTGAAGTAGCTGCCAGCACGTAGACACCTGACAATCCCTCGGCACCATCCATTTGTGTGAGAAGCTGGTTTACCACACGATCCGTAACGCCTGTAGAGTCATGTCCTCTCTTAGGTGCAATAGAGTCAAATTCATCGAAGAAGAGTACACATGGCTTCGCAGCCTGGGCCCTGTCAAACAGATCTCGGACACTCTTCTCAGAGGCACCAATATACTTGTTCAGAATTTCAGGACCCTTAACACTGATGAAATTGAGGCCACACTCGCCGGCAACAGCGCTGGCAAGAAGCGTCTTACCGCAACCGGGATATCCGTAAAGAAGAAGGCCAGATCGAAGGCGTAGTGGACACTGCGCAAAGATTGGAGCATATTTAGTCGGGTATTGTAGCGTCTCGAGGAGCACCTGTCGTGTCTCTTGCAGCCCTCCGATGGACTTGAAGCTTGTTGACGAACTCTGCAGTGACACGTTCCTCAATGAGGCTGGCGTGAACCCCTTAAGGGCCTTATCGAAATCAGCCCTTGCTAAATGAATGGCGCCTGTCGAGTCTGGCGACTCAGCAATGGCACGAATGATAGCCTCGTTCCTCGCACGAGACACAAGCACATTGATGTCGCCGGGCATATAGCCGTCTGTAGACCCAGAAATGTCAAGAAAGTCAAGATCCGGGTCCAAGATGAAGCCGCTCGTCTTTGTCGGACGGCTCTCCTTGCTTGCATGACTAGCACCGTCCATCCAAGCACCACTGTCTTCCGTCATGCTGCCGTCGGCAGTTTGCGGTCGACTTTCGTCGCTGAACTGCGTCTGGGCTTCATCAGCCGTCATGGCATCCTGCATGACGATAGACTCCATAACTCGACGTCTTGATTCCTTGTCAGGTGCCTTGAGTTCGACGATCTCGCGCACAACATGGCCACTGACTACTACACCATTGATTGATTCCTTGCCCTCAGCTGTGGCCAGGAGAACAACACCACTGTCGCGGGTACAGTATTGTCTGACGATCGAGCACAGGATCTCACCAACTTGCCTGCTCCTTCCATTGTCATTGCCAACCTGGAGTTCTGTTTCTACAGGACAAAGCTTGTCCAGGTCATCGAGAACTACCACAGCTTTTCCGTTCAAGCGCGCACCCCAGCTGGCAGTGGCGAACAAACGGTTCAAAGTTTCCTTTATCGTTGAGATTCGTGTCTCATCATTGACTAGTTTCCGACAAGGGTAGTACAATGTATGGGATAGTGAATCTTGTCGAAGCTTTTGTGCCAAGTACCGAGCAATAGAAGATTTCCCGGATCCCATGCCACCAGTGAGAAGGACCGAAGAAAGGTGGACAAGATTAGACTGTAAATTATCCAGTAAGGAGTCGATTCCAACAAGCAGCGAATCGTGGGTTGGCTGACGCTCAAATCCATCCGTCTCAGTCAGCCAGGAGGGTCGAGGAGTTGGTGGCTGAAAGTCAATAGGCAGTTTGGTGTCGAGTCCAAGCAGCCAATTCGCAGCGTCTTTGTTCTCTTGAAAGTCACTACCAAAGGCAAATTTGATGATGCCGCCCTCCCACCCCTGAGGAGGATCGAGACCTTCGTATAAGCCCATAATGGAGCCGTCTGTCAAAGGTCCTTGAAGAAGCCCATCGGTACCTCTAGTAGCGGCATAAATCTGTCGAAACCGCTTCGCAGACTCTTCCTTCTCAGCCTTAGATTCTCCACCAAACCGCAGGCCTTCGACCGTCTTTGCACTTGTGGCGAAAGGGAAGACCTTGATGCTCTGGACCGCAGTCTTGGGGAGCTGCTGCGGAGCAGCTTGAAGCTTTACTATCCCGCCAACCATGCCAGAACACCCAAGACTTGCACAAAGGGGTGACGAAAGAGCAACTGTCTGACTGTTGGGAGGATCAATCCATGATCTAAGATGAGCGATAACTTTTGTGGCCGCAGTCGTTCCAGCAGGAATGCCGCCTTCTTCTGGTTGAGGTTGTTGCAGACCAGCTGGCCTAATAACGTCAACAGCGACATAGTTGACACCCTTGAAGGCTTCACCAGAGAGAAGGTCATGATCAACCCAAACACTTAAATCTTGAGCCAGAGGTCCTTCATCAAACCATTCTTCACATGAGCTTCGGTCAAGACCACGCAGAAACATAGTAGGTCTTCGCTCTTCCTTGGCGCTTCGCCGGCGCACCGTGCTGGTCGCGCTTCGTTTGGACTTGGAAGTGCTGGCTACGCTGCGGTGGTCGCCTGAGCTGTGCGAGCTCTTTTGCCTCGTCTTTGGCGCAACGATGACTTCGGCATCGGGAGATATCTTTGCGAATGGCAAGTCGGCTGGAGGCGCAGGATCCAGTGAAATAACTTTGATATTGGCGGTCGATGTCGGAGATAGATGTAGTGTCAATGCATGAGGCTCGACGGAGTTGTCGCCAATTTTGTATAACGGGTTCGGGAGCGCTCGGATTTGAGAGATGAGGTTCAGTTCGAGGAATGTCGCATGTAGCTCAATAATCTCCCAATCCTCCGGTGTAAGAGGTTCAATATTGATCGTATGCGCCAGCGGAGGATCGAGATGAATAGTGGCCGTGATCTTCTGCCCTTCAGAAATACCTAGTGACTTGGCTAGTGTGGCATCAAGTTCGACAAGCTGAACCTCCTGATCGCGGGATGATCGCGAGCCATTGAGTCCATCACGGGTCCCAGGAGGAACCGTCCGCCTCTTGCTGGGCATTCCTGTCCATCCTACGAATATGGAGCGCTGCTGGGAGCCGGCTCCAGTCGGTGAGGCCTCACGATAGCTGAGCTCAACGATGACATTTTGTGCAGGCTATAAGCTATGGTTAGAACATCGTCAGAGCAACAAGTCAGGGAAGAAGACAATTCCTACAGTATTGACATTGACTAGGAGCGAGACCAGCGATGTAGGAAGGTTGACCAAGCAGCTTTTGAGGTGAGATAGGGAGATTTCCGCCGAGACGGACTGCGCATTTGGTCTGGGAGGCATGATGCGCTTAGGCAATTGGGAAGACTCTCGAGTTCGATCGAGTCTACCTCTTGTGAGAAGATGCTATTACTTGTCTGGGGGAAGAAGCAGAGCACCTCAGCTCAGGTGCCGAAACAATTCCGATCTGAAGTCCGTTTCTCGTCCCGCAGCCGAGGTCCCTACACGTGCTCGGTGATCATCCCCGTCCCTTCCCCAGCTTTACGGTTTCGTGGGTGGCCCATGCTTTCCTGCGATACCGCTGTCGATATGGCTGTGGCTGTGGCTGTGACGGTGGCTGGTGTCAATTAAACTCTAGATATGGCTGTGCGTCGCGAAACGCGAAAAGACGCGCTTGATGTTCGCGCTTGGAAGGGAGGGTCCATCGCAACCACCGTTGCCCCCCTGCGACTAGCCCCAAGTCCACTCAATTTGTGCATCGCGATCGCATCTCTCCATTCGCTTTGTACTATATAGCACCGCACCGCACAACTTGACTTACAGCGCTTTTCAAATTTGAGATCTCTATAAGATTTCTTCACAATGGCGCTGCGCGAGTTCAAGGCCCCCGTCAGCTATGAGAAGCAGCAACGTCAGTATATTTCCTGCTGTTCACTGCCCTTAGCTCCCCGCATAAGCTAATCGTTGGTATAGATGCCTTTCAGGAGTTCTTGACAGGATTCAAGACATCGCCAGAGCAAACCATTACAACTGCACTAGGCAATATCACCATTGGAGAAGATGACCTCGACGACGAGTATGATTTAATGGACGAGGATGGTCAAGATGCGAACCGACAACAAGCGAAGGAGCGCCGTGCTCCCCAATACAAGTACAAGAATATGCTACAGCAACTCTCCGATCGAACGATTGACGAGGCGACGATTGATCTTGACGATTTAGCAACCGTATGATTTGAGATATCCCTTCTCCAACAAACTTCTAACAAACTTATAGTGGGAGAACCAAGCGTCCGATCATGAGGACAGTATGAGGCTTGTTGATTCCATCGAGATGAACACAAAACACTACGTCGAAATATTTTCCCGAGCTGTGGATGAGGTCATGCCTCCAATGAGTGCAGATGTGAAGTGAGTACTCAAATGTCCTAAATGTTGATGCACCGCATTAACCAGCGAATAGCTTCAAGGACGATGTTCTCGACGTGTTGATGGCTCGACGACAAACCCGAAACCGAGAACTGGACGAAGCCGCTGAGCGAGACCCTACTGCTGCAGATGACAAGTTCCCTGCCGAGCTCACTCGCAGGTACACCCTTGTCTTCAAGCCCAGGACTAGCACCTCAAGCCAACCCTCAAAAGCTCTGGCAGTTCGACAAGTGCGCGGTGAGCACTTGGGTCATCTCATTACCATTCGTGCGATCGCCACTCGAGTTTCTGATGTCAAGCCCATCGTCCAAGTCAGCGCCTACACTTGCGACAGATGTGGCTGTGAAATCTTCCAGCCTATTACTGACAAGCAATACGGCCCCTTAACTATGTGCCCCTCTGAGGACTGCAGGCAGAACCAGGCCAAGGGTCAGCTCAACCCTTCTTCAAGAGCCTCAAAATTTTTGCCTTTCCAGGAGGTCAAGGTCCAAGAGATGGCCGAGCAGGTCCCAATTGGTCAGATTCCTCGAAGTCTTACTGTCCTCTGCCATGGCACTCTTGTCCGCCAGATCAATCCTGGTGATGTTGTCGACATCTCAGGCATCTTCCTTCCCACCCCTTATACAGGTTTCAAGGCGATGAAGGCTGGCCTGCTCACCGATACTTATCTTGAGGCTCATCACGTTCTCCAACACAAAAAGGCGTACAGTGAGATGATTGTTGATCCCACACTGGTCCGGCGGATTGAAAAATACCGCCAGACCGGTCAAGTCTACGAACTTTTGGCAAAGTCGATTGCTCCCGAAATCTTCGGTCATCTCGATGTCAAGAAGGCCCTTCTTCTTCTACTTATTGGTGGCGTTACGAAGGAAATGGGAGACGGAATGAAGATCCGTGGCGATATCAACATCTGCTTGATGGGTGATCCTGGTGTGGCCAAGTCTCAGCTCCTCAAGTATATTTCAAAGGTCGCCCCTCGTGGCGTCTACACTTCAGGTCGTGGAAGCAGTGGTGTCGGTCTCACGGCCGCTGTTATGCGTGATCCCGTCACTGACGAAATGGTTCTCGAAGGTGGTGCTCTTGTCCTGGCCGATAACGGAATCTGCTGTATCGATGAGTTCGACAAGATGGACGAGACTGACCGTACTGCCATTCACGAAGTAATGGAACAGCAAACAATTTCCATTTCGAAGGCCGGAATCTCAACAACCCTCAACGCCCGCACCTCCATTCTTGCCGCCGCTAACCCTGTTTATGGACGATACAATCCTCGCATCTCCCCTGTCGAGAACATCAACCTCCCCGCTGCACTCTTGTCCCGTTTCGATATCCTTTTCCTGCTTCTTGATACCCCTACGCGCGAGACAGACGAACAGCTTGCAAAGCACGTTGCTTTTGTGCACATGAACAGCCGGCACCCCGATATCGGCACTGATAACGTTGTGTTCAGCCCTCATGAAGTGCGATCCTACATCGCTCAGGCAAGAACATACCGACCTGTTGTTCCTGAAACTGTCTCTGAGTACATGATCAAGACATACGTACGCATGCGAGATCAGCAGCAGCGCGCTGAGAAGAAGGGCAAGCAGTTTACTCACACAACCCCTCGTACCCTCCTGGGTGTTGTCCGTCTGGCTCAGGCTCTGGCCCGTCTTCGCTTCAGCAATGAGGTCACTCAAGACGATGTTGATGAGGCTCTCAGACTAGTCGAGGCTAGTAAAGAAAGTCTGAATAATGATCTTGGCACTGGTCGAGGGCGCTTAGACGCCAGCAGCAGAATTTACAATTTCGTCCAGCACCTTGCTGATGCCGGCCAATGCCGCCCTGAGGATGTCACTGGTGAGGAAGAGCTCGGCGTTGAGCTGAGTATGGCGCAATTAAAGGCACGAGTCATCGCCCAGGGCTTTACCGCCGATCAGTGGTCCAACGCTGTGCAGGAGTACACCACTCTGGATGTAAGTCTTCTCAGAGACATTCCTTCGTACGTGAACAAAAAACTAACAATCGTTAACAGATCTGGCAAACCACCAGGAACGGTGCAAGGCTGGTGTTTGTCAACAGCGACCCTGATAACGACCAAGAGGATGACATGGACTTTTGAGAACTGGGCATGTAATGAAGTGAGATATTCTATGTACAGGTCTGGCGTTTTGGCATATTAAGGTAGATGAGAATAGTCTGTTGGTAGAGCTCCGTCAATGATGAGAATTAGGCATGAAGTTTCTGTCACCACAAACACCAACCAATGAATCAGCTGTGATTCAAAGGCATAAAGCACTAATCGTTCCTGTAAGACAAATGCTTTGCAATGAAGTATTGCCTATTTTGGGTTTCAAACACCAGTATTGTACATTTCTAGAATACATTTACAGCCTCATTTGCATCAACGCTGCACGCTCCATCTCACCAACATTACCGTGGCCGCCCACGGTCCACTTCTCAGAGACTGTCCTTGAATTGAGAACATGGCGGAACAGCCCGCTGGCGCCCCAGTACTCCATCAAAGAACGAGCCTCGTCCTTTGTGATACCCTCCAGACGGAGAACCCAGCTGTTCTTGAGGGCCTCGTACACACGCTCGTCGTACTTGCGCTCGTAGGGATCAGGCTTGGGAATTTCGCGGCCAGCCTGGCCAGCCTCGAGCTGTGAGAGAACAAGCTCTTGTGAGGGGTGGTGATGGGAGTTGTTCTCTGAGGTAGCGGCGATGACAGCACCGCCATTAGGGAGAGAAGCCTTGCCAGATAGGGCGTCAATGAAGAGACGCACAAGAGTCAACTCATGGGCATGAACCTCGTTAAACCAGGGGTCCCTGTATTCACTGATCTTGTTGATGTGGGCAAGACCGTCGAGGGCAAAGAGCACAGGAGGTCGTCCAGGGAGGGTGAGCTCAGTCCATAGGGCAAGGAGGGTTGGCCATGCGTACTCGGCCTCCTTTGCGCTGAGGGCCAGATCAGCCAGGGTAGCGCCCTCCTTGAGGTTAGTGAACTTGGACCAGTCCTTCTCGATATTGAGCTTTTCAAGAACGACGCGGTTAGCTCTATAGAGACTCTGGATCATCTTGAGACAATAGATGGGTTGAGAGAATTGCATTGGCTCAGTCTCGGGAATGGGTGAGTATTCAGTGTTACCGTTGGTCAGATCCTGACCTGTTTTTGTCAGTTAGGGGCATGAAAATGTGAAGAGGTCCTTTGGAGATATGTACCTTCAGGGATATGAAACACCACCCAATTGTTAAGAAGCGCATATGCCATAGCTTGTAGTATGGCCATACTCTTTCCAGACAACTTACTACCCGTCAACACACACTTAAGAGCCTTCTTCTCCTTAGCCGATAGCTCAAGCTTCTTCATCAACTCTACTGTCTCTTTGCGCTGCAGAACGTGGGGTTTTCGGAAGAGGTTCCATGTCTGTGTCGGCTTGAAAGCCTCGAGGGCACGGAGATGATCCACCACCTGATCAGGAATGGCAAACATCTTTCCAGCACTTTCATCCTTGGTCATGTTACTGGCATCCAAATTTTCAAGGCCTGTGACAGGCAGAGCACTGTTGTTGCTGAGCTGGATGCGCTTTCGGAAGGCCTTTCGCTCGCCAGGCTGAGGTTTTCGGACAGGCGTCACATTGGCACGTTTCTTATAGGATTTCTTGACCTTCTGGGGAAGGTCTCGACGGCTCTTGATTGCCGGAGGAGCTGAGACGGCGAGAACAGCGCTTGAAGTTGAAAATGGGGCGAGGAGGACTGGTTGAATTCGTGGAGCCCTGGGAATAGTCGGCCTCATCAGGCATCGAAGCGAATTGGCGGTCGCCATTGTGTGCAATAGTACCCCAAAAATGAGGTCTGAGAGACTTTTCTTAGATATCGATGGCGAGAACGACGCCTATCGTCGAATTGACGCCAATTGAGCCGGTTCTAGGACGCTCGTCTCGAGGCCGTCGTGAGCTGAAGTTGAATGCCACTTCGAAAATCTCGGTGGATTAAACCACACACCCCCGAAGGTACAGGGGTGAGCGATAATAGAATGCTATGATTGGCTTGTACGCACTGTATCGGAAAAACTGCCGCCCACCGATCCGACATGCCTTATCTACAGAAAAAAGATAGTTTAGCAAGACCTTAGAAAAAAAGTTCCAGTAGCAGCACCAGAACAAGAGAGCGGATTGCGACAACAAATCTATTCATCTTTTGGCGAGTCTAAGACAATTTCAAAGAAACATCAGCATCAGCCTTTATAAATCTTATTTACTCACACGAATATCTCGATGGCGCTCCCAAGCTCTAAGCCAAAGCTGCCTGTCGCAGTCGAGAAGCCCACGCCCTACACCTTCGATCTCGGCCATCTTCTCGCAGAGGACCCCAACCCCGTCACTCTCGACCGCGATAACCTCGAGCAGTCCCTCGCTGAACTCGCTCGCGACGGCGCTCAGTCTATCATCAACCAGTTCCTCTCCACCTGCCCTCTCAACTCCACCGCCGAGGGCGTCCTTCTCACTCTTCCCGCCCCGAGCACCCGCCTCCCCCGCGAGAAGCCCGTTCCTCAGGCCAAGCCTCCTACTAAATGGGAGCGCTTCGCCGCCAAGAAGGGTATTAAGCCCAAGACTCGCGAGCAGCGTCGCAATCTTGCCTTCGACGAGCAGACAGGCGAATGGCAGCGCAAGTGGGGATACAAGGCTCTCAACAAGAAGGGCGAGGACTGGCCCATCGTGGAGGTTGATATGGAAGCCGAGCAGAAGCGAAAGGAGGGTACCTCGATTCGAGGCGATGGCCGAAGAGAGCGCAAGGAGAGGATTAAGCGCAACGAGCGAAAGATGCGCAAGAACCAAGCTCAAGGTACAGGAAAATAGGTTGCGACAGCTGTGGAAGGGAATGGGATTGGCCGGCAGTTTCGTGTCGGCCTTGGTCAAGACTATTGCTGTTGAGCATGGAGCGGCGTTCAGGACTTTGGCGTTTCGAATCGGCATGTAAAAGCTAGGGATCTGGGATGGTTTAGACGTTCGGCTTTGGAAGAATGAAAAACGAATCCGCTGCAGCTCTCAATCTCCTTGTTGTCTGATACTCACCAGACCGTGTCTAATTGGAGCCCGTATCCCCCAACTGCGTGTCACAGCGGGAATACAACCAAGCCTGGGGTCTTCCTAAACGTGGTGGTTGACATTGATGAAGAATATGCAATTCATAAATAAGCGATATCTGGCAGAGTATCTTTTACTAAATTTCAGGCACTATCTAGGCAGCCTCTGCCAATCTCAACTCTACTATACAGAAATCCTCTTCTCCCGGCGATTTTCCGTTGTCAGAAACAGATTTACTCAATAGCCTGGATTTCCATGCTCCTCTTTTGCTTGGCGTCGCCTTCATTTCACTGTAACATAACAGCAAAACACCAGTCTCACTAAGGTAGCTTTCCTCATCAGAGCGCCGAAGAACCAGCTACATAACCGGTTCGGGCAAAGACACAGTATGCTTGTCAATAAATCATCAACATCAGAAAACGCTGGAACTTCAAACAAGATTTCCCACTAACACGGGGTGTAACACAAACCCCCTGGACGATATTCTCCTCAAAATGCATCATGGGGTATACCAAACAACAGATAAAAGACAAAGCGCAGGTTAAGAACATCACTCGCTTGTGCGTCGTGGACAGACGGGCCTGATTTCAAAGCATTCCTTGAAAGTTTTGCTCGATTGCACATTGCCAAACCGTGAGGCCACTTTCCAGAAACGCCAGCGTTAGAAGCAACCAGACTGCGCAATCAAATCGAATGACAAGGTCATAAAGGTCGTGTCATCGTGGGTTGGCTATTGCTGAAGGATGAAGTCACAGACTCCATCGTGGTAGACGCCGTGGTTGATAGTTGAGACAGCTACCTCAGTTGAGGTAGTGGAGCGGGGAGGTGCCGAGATAGATTACCTAGGCACTTTGGTCCATTCTCGGCTCGGCCTCAAGACCTCTATTTCTTTGGGGTGTGCTCTTTCTGTCTCGACTATCCTTCTGGCCACCTCCATGGGTAGCCGGGCGTGAATATGCTTGTAGTGTTCAGCGTGTCATCAGGATGTCTCTGAACTTAAAAGCCGAGGGGAGATAAAGGCATAATGGGTGACAAAGGCCGCAATTCGCTCGAGGTTCTGCCTATCTCGCGGTCGCTGTTAATGGTCAAGGTGGTTGGGGCAGTCGATTCGTTCGAGACGACGCTTCCGTTTGAGGGGGATATCTGGAGCTGTTTCTTCTTCAGCTTTGGCTTCTGGTCGCTGGGGCTGAGGCGGCCTGACTGCTTGCTGCTCCCGGAAGAGGAGAGTTGTTGTCGGTCGTCCTCCGACTCATCTTGTGGTCTTGGCTTCGCTGGTTCAGCGAGACCTCTTGGCGGAGGTTGGTCGAAGATCAAGTATTCCTCTTCGATATACTTGGCCTCGTTCTTGCATCCTCTCCAGCAGTCGCGCCAGTCGCACACCAAGAACTTAAAGCAGAATGCGTCGATCTTCATACACGGCTGGAAGCAGATGCACAGGTTCCTAAAGTCCATCTTGTTCTTATCCGAGTGAGCCAAGAGAAGACTGAGGTGGCATGTGATGGCAAAAAGCAGATAATAGTTGAAAGGGGAGAGATTCGAGAGCTCTTCGATAAGTAGCTCAGGAACTTCCTCAGCACCTGCGCATTCCCTCGCGATTCGATCCTGTGCCGCTTTGGGGAACAGCTCGTCGGGAAGTTCTCGTAGCCAAGCCTTTAGCATCGAACCAATTATGTTGATGTCGTAAAGGTCGCGCTCGTTGAACAGGTTAACGTCGTATTCTGATCAAAGTTAGTTTGAGTTTCTTGGCGTATCAGAGAGATGAAATAAACTTACGCTCATCGAACTTCCGCTGCCATTTCTTAATCTGAGGCCCACTGCCCGGAACACGATAAAGACCCTCGACTTCACACCCCTTATAGTTTAGATAATCTATTGCTCGCCAAGGAAAGGCGGGCATCCAGAACTCCGTCTTATCCCTTGAATCCTCGAGGCGCTTTGATATTCTCGTCAATCGTGTTTGCTCAACGAGTGGTAAGTTGATAACTTTTAATTGATAGTGTTCGTCATCAAGAGCATCCTTATCCTCTCGACCACCACGCCCACTCTTGTTGAAGAAACGGTCACTCAGCATGCCAGCAGCGCGGGTACCAGAGCTCTTGAGGCCATTGAAAAAAGAGCCCCCGTTCTCGTTCAGGGAAGATGGTTGCGTCTTTGATTCCTTGTCGCGTTGTGCCCTTCTGGTAGAAGACGAATCCCTCGGCGCGCGGTCCTCGGATCGATTTCGGACTGCAGAATTCATCATGTCTCTGATAGAACGATCACCACCTTGATTCGCGGTCTTGTACGGCACAGAATTGAGGTGCAACTCAGGTTCGTTACCCTGTCGAGGAGAAGAGGCCGGTTTCAGCTCGGGGCTAGCGTCTTCTTTGTCGCGATTGGATCGGCTGCGGTTTAGTAAACCAAAAGGCTTCGATCTGCCTTTCTTTGTTGAAGACTGAGGTGATGCAGTATCGTAGTCGCCAGCGGATGATAAAGATAAGTCGCTTCGAAGAGGATCGGCGGAGACAGGTTTGTGTAGAGTGTGGTCGGTGTATGATGCACTTGGGCTTGGATCGTGTTTGTCTGCATCATGTCAGCAGTTGGTCATGGACCTGGGCTTGCGCGCGATGGCTGAAGTATAATGGATCGTCCCAACTAAGCTTGGCTCGATGTTTACATACCTCCGTGTCTTGGTCGATTGGATCCGTCACTGCCCCTCGACATTACCTGGGCTCTCGTCTCGGTGTGTTTACGATGGTGGGCATGCGGCTGAGACTGGTTTGAAGATTTGGATTGCTTATTAAAATGGAAAAACCCGTTTTTAGCACCTTTTTTTAAGTCGCTTGGGGATGGCTGCACTGCTTCAGACTGCGTGGTAGTCGCAGTTGTTGCTGGTGGATCAGGTAGATGTTCTTCAAGTGTAGAGGAGATAGAAGGATAGGTCGAGGGGTCCTCGCGCGTGTGCCGTAAAGGCTGTCTTGGTACAGACTCTTCCTTACTCCATTCGGTAGATGCTGTGGCAGTTGAGGGCCGTTGTACAGGTATTGGCACCGGTGCTGATGGTCGTGGTGGCGGCGTTGATGATGATGGCTTCCCCTCTGCAGTCACGTCTGCTAATGCTGCTGTCGTGTGCGACACTTTCCTGTGCTTTCCACCTTGGTTTCTCAAGGGTGAAAACCGACTATGGAAAGGAGAGGAGCGGGGAGACCGGGGCGATTTGGACTCGACCGGCGACACACCTGGGGAAACGGTTTCAGTAGTCGGCGAATCGTCTCTACTGCGTAAGGCAGCGCCAGATTCAGACTGGGTTTGTGCTTGGGTTTGGGCCTGAGGCGAAATCTGAGACGAAAGCGCCAGCGGCTGCGGTGCCGCCTTACGACCCATTCTGAATCCTGTCTACTCACGGCGCAGTCTCACAATCGCAGTCGCAGACGTAGACACAAACGCGGGCCCTGCTTCGCAAACTCCCACTGCCACGGTGGGCGAAACGGGAGGGGGTTCAAAGTGCGGGCCAGGGGGGGGATCGGTCTGTTGTGCCTCTGTTCTTCTGATCCGATCTTGTTGCGGGTCACAGTCGGATGAGTGTGCAAAACCAGCCTGGAAAGGCAGGACCTCAGGCCGGAGAAACAGAGATGCTCACAGGGCAATAGAGAACGGGGGAATTGACGATTGGTGGCCGTTGAGAAAGAGGTGGGCGCGTCGACGATTCTAGTGGTGGTCGTAGTGCTGTGCAGCTAGGTCAGGGGCACTCCAATGGAGCTGGAGAGCATCCAAGCTGTTCGGAGCCACAGAGGACGAAATAGATAAATAAGGCCAAAATAGAAAAGAAATAAGAGGACAGGTCCGTCTGTATTTTGAAGATGGTAGAGGAAAGTCTTGTAGCCTCGGATTGGATGCCCTCTCGTCTCTGCAGGCGGTGCTGTGTTGTGCTGTGCTGTGTTGTGTTGTGTTGTGTTGTGCTATGCTATGCAGCTAGGTGCACTGTTAGATACTTGGTAATGCCGTATTGTGTTCGGTTTTTGTCAGGCTTCAGTAATGGATCATTCAATATTATATCCGTAGTAATATCAATCCAATATTATTCGATCGTGGTAGGGCCAATACTAATGCCCGGCATTGGTGCCAAAAATGCCCGAATCCCAGCCCCCAACTGCTTAGAGAAGAGTGCCGCTGGATAACACAACAGTCGGTAGCCCCGAGTAGTTGTTCCAATCGACGAGAACGGCCTGCACACGAAGCCTACTGCTGACCGCTTTACGGAACTGTTGCGTACAGTCGAGCCAATGTCAGGTATCAGAGCAGGGCATCCTCGAAGTGCGCGTGCAGTCAGTCAGGCAGTGCAGCTGATGATGTTCAAGGGTTTGGGAGGTCCCAAAAGAAGCAAGGGACAGGATGTGGAACGTTGTACGGAGGAGGACCAGGAACAAGGGACGAACAAAGACGAAGCCTTGGCTTTTGCCGGCTTATGTTGGCACTTGCTTTGCTTTTTGCTAGGGGTTCAATCGCGAGGGGTTGCTGGGAGTAAAAGGTGGGGGCATCCAATTCAATAAAAGGCACCTGGACAGGCACAGGCACAGGCACCGTCAGCCTTCAGGTACAGTCACAGTAGCTGAGGTACTAGTAGTTTCGGGTTCCAGCTTGCGGATAATAGGTGGTCATTGTCACCAACTGGTGAGTAGATTCCATTAATAACTTCTGCAGACAACGCATCTCACAGATACAGTACAGTGCCTGTAACGAATCTTGTTATTAAAATCGAGCGTTGCGCGTCAAGTGCGTACGTGTGCCATATGTAATCAGTAATGGATACGTGTGAAGCTGAAACGGCCTACAAGAATTAGACTCTGTAACCGATGATACCGACGGGTGCTGGAAATTCGGCAACCTAAAACAGCCCGTTTCCACAGCGAATATGGTATGGATTATTATGGGTACAGAAGCTGGAACCTACAACGATAACACATGGATCCTTTGCATCCACATCAATCCGAATGATTCATTGGATCTAACGCTGAGGCCCTTTCTACCCCGCTATATGTGTTGGAAATGTCCTCGACTCAGGGGTTGATTCTTCTTCAGTCACGTCTCCATTTTCATCCCATCGTGAGGTCAGACCTCATAGTGGCTCTAGCTAGTCCTGATATCAGAGTCACGAACTGGCCACTCTCAGACAGAGAAACACAACATAAGTCCCACAGTGATTTGAAGGTGCCTGGCAGCCAAGGCGTCAGGCATCCGAAGTCTAGATGCGCCTAAAAGCCATGGAGCAGCCAGGAACGAAGGAACTCTGTTCAGGGCTGCAACCATGATATGAAACTAGATGGATATCATTCGTATTGCATTTCCTGACAACACATGAGCTGAGTCTCTGGGGACGATTCGGCTAATTTAAAAGCAGCTTTCCAATTACATATAATTCACTTGCAGCAACTATCCTGTCCCTTGCAACAACAAACTTTGACTATAGACCCTTGACGCCAACATCGCTCCGTCAAAGTCAACTGCCTCTCTTGGAATTTCTCTAGAATCGTAACCTGGCCACTGGCTCCATCATTCCGGGATAATAGGCAGTTCCTGGATGACTGGCAGAAGTGGCGTTCTTAGCCTTGGTACAGAGTGGAGGGCTCCGGCTTTTTCCAAGTACAAGCTTGAGCTCTGCCGTCTCTACTCCCAAAGTCAATTTTCAGTCAACTCCCATTTGTTTGGATGATGTATTATCAATGTTGGGGGAAACGGGATGCTGTTTTCGAAGGCGCAACACCTTCACGAGATAGCGCCACCTAAATTTGACACCTCCGCCTTGAAAAGTCGATATCATTCGTATTACATGGGGTGCGGCACATGCCAGCCGCTTACCTGTCGAAAGTGCAGATGGATCGGTTATAGAGTTGACGAGATGAGGCATCATGGATCCCACTCATGAGTTTAGTAAAATTGCATATTTCCAGCGTCGTATGTTCTCTTGTATCAATTCAAAAACACACACTTACAAAATTTGACGTCGTCAGCTTCAGCCACCACCCGCTGCCGAATTTGGATCATCTTGCTTGGTTTGACTTTGACAGATAACCCATGTAAGGATCTCCCTGTCAGTTAGAACCTGACTTTTACTGTATCTATCCATTGCCAAGAGTGCCAGCCTACATGAAACGTAACGTCCGTCACCCACAGACCGGCCACCCCCACAGACTGGCCACCTCGGCCAAAACACCAAGAACCAGATATTATAATTAATTAATTAATTACCTTAATACTACATTTTTTATATTAAATAAAAATTTGGTTAGTAAATATTTAAATAAAACTAAATATAAAGATCTTTAAGTTTTAATTTCTTAACCCTATTTACCGTTCTTTCTGGTTATAAAGTCCTCTATATCTATTTATAAGCCTTCTTTATTACTAGAATCTTTATAAACTTGGCATTTAGGTTATAAATAACCTTTTTATGCCTTTTTAGGAGATATTCCTCTCTTTTATACTACAGAATATATATTTCTCTATTCTGCTTTTCTATTTTAAAGTTCTAATTATCTAATTAACTTCTAATCTTCCTAAATAGCAGCCTAATAGTTAGATCTTAAGTAGTAGTTACTAGGATAGCCTTTAGAGCTTGCTGAAGCTATATAGATAACTGGGAAGTCTTTAGGAGACTAGAATCCTGCTCTTTGGCAGGCAAAATCGCTATAGCAGCAGGAGAAGGTATCTTAATAACCATTAGGTTTATTAAGACCTTTGCTAGATTAATAGGCTATAATCTAGTGGCCTTAAAGCCAGTAAAGGCATTTAACTTTATAATAGCTTCTTTCTGAGCTTTATTATAAGTATATAGAAATATAATCTTGCTGATATAGCTGTTATTAGTAATAGAAGTAAGATCTAAAAGAAATCGATAATATACTCTCTTTAGTAGTTTAAATATAGCAATATCTAGTAGCTATAGGATATAGGAAGCATAAGCAGGAAGAAATAATAGATATATATTATTATTATAGCATTCTTAAAGGAATTCCTTAGTTATATAACTTTTATAATTATTAAGAATAAGAAGTTAGGGTTTATTCTTATTTTTAGGCTATATTAATAAAATAAAGACTTTTCTTAATTAAACTAATGCTAATTTATTACTTATCTAACTGTTTTTACTATAGCTAAACTCCTAGTTATTTAAGAAGTCTAAATCTTTAGGGAAATATTATTATTAAACTATTTTCCCCTTAAAGATAACTATAAGTCTTAGGACTTTCTTAATTACTAAAATATACTTAAGTATTATAATCTAAGACCTAGAACCAGGTTAATAAATAAGTACTGACTTTTTATCCTTATAACTAAAGAATAGACTGTTTATTTCTATTCTTTTTATTATTCTAACTTTATTAATATTATATCTATTCTTCTGCTTAATTATTTATATTGCTAGTATTATTAGTAATATAAAAAACGCCTTTATTAGTTCAGAAGATGCTCTATTATATCGCTTAGAATTAATTTTCTTGCCTTTTAAAGTCCTAATATTAGAATTTTATCCTAGAAAGCCCTATAACCAGTTCCTTCCGATGCCTTCTAGGAAGCTATTGCAGATGGCAATCTTGCTAGCAAACTCTCTGACTTACTAATGCGATACAGGGCATCCTAGATTAGCCTAGATAATAATCCAGTCTTATAGATGCTTTTCCTAAACATCAGAGAGCTTTTACTATAGTTTTTAGGCTTTTCTTAATATTATACTTCCTTTAATCCGACCTTATAGAGTAGAATAGTTAATACTATAAGCTTTAGCTGCTTTATTTACTAAAATTCTATCTATAACTATCTAAAGCGCGGCGCTTATATCTTTTTTAGTAAAAGAAGGTATTCTAAATTAATTAGTATTAGTTTAAAATTAATTGGAATTAAATTTGTAGAGTTATAGCCGTTTAAAGTATATACAAATTAGGTAGCTAGGTAAGAAATGAGGTGGCCAGTCTGTAGGGGTGGCCGGTCTGTGGGTGACGGACGTTAGTGCAAAGGATCACTTCGTCTCATGTGTTGCCAATGATATCATTATTCATTAATCTCAGCCTTAAAATGATGTCCTGGTCAAGTCATCCATCTTGCATTGTATCGAACAAGTAAACATCTTGTCGTGCTTTCTCCCGATTTTTGGTTAGCCCAAGCATCTAATAAAGCCATGTTGTTGTCACGAAATGTGCGATCTTGAACAGAACATTGATCGTCAAGCTGAACCACCTGTTGGCAAGCTTGATCTAAAGCCTAAAGGCTGACCACAAGATTAAGTGTTTGGAGAAAACCAACCAAGTGATGCCATGCTTCACCGTCGTTTTTGCATTGTTTTCCAAATATATCATTACAATATACTGTACTTGATCAGCTAATAAATTGCACGTTTTTATTTTAGGTCGTGACTACTACCTATGTCTTCATTTCAACTCTTAACTCTGATTGAACTGCTGGTTGTTGGCTCGATCGACATCTAGCATGAGTTAACAAACTCCGCAATCTCCTTGTTGAACCTCTCTGGTTCCTCGTAAAAAAGCCAATGCCCAGAGTCAAATACCGATGACCTTGCTAACCCTGGCCGTGACTTCTCTACACGTCTCACGCTCTCGAGCATTCCTTCGAGTGGAAAGCAGCTTGATCGTCGACCGGCCATAACCAGCACCGGAACCGTGATCGTTTCGATGGATTCTCGGTGATCGTAGCGAGTATGATCTGCCAGTAGTCGTGCTAGCCATGTCTGGTCGCATTTCGCACTGATGTCTGTAAAGAAGGCTTCATCCTTGGCTTGTTGCTCAACTGAAATCCCGTCTTCCTCCTTCGGGGCATGTCGATATCCTAGGCAGCCTATTACTAGGTCGATATGCGCCTTCTTCGAGTCATTGATCCAGCTGTGTTGTGCTGCGAGCATGGTCTTCTCGTCATAACATCCAGTATGTGCCTTGAATTCGTCCCATTTGTCGAATGCTGAGCGGTCTTGTAGAGGCGCCTGATCAACAAAGACAAGCCCCACAAAGTCGTTGCATCCAAAGAGCTCGGTGTAAGTCCAGAGCACGGCGGCGCCAATTGAACATCCAACAGGCACAATACTAACAGCTGCCGTCTTGCGTATATGAGCAACAAGACCTGCAAGATCAGCTGCCAAGCGAGCAACGTGATAACCACCACGAGTTTGATTGGAGTCTCCATGTCCTCGCATGTCTGGGGCAACAACCCAGTAGGATTTGCTCAGAGATGCAAAGTTGCGGATGAAGTAATCGCTAGAGCCACTGAAGCCATGCATGAGCAGGACACATTTCTCAGCTGCGACTCCTGCAACTTCCTTCAGTGGTAAGGAAGACTGAAAGGCGATTTTGCATCCATCGTTAGTGATGAAATATTCTTTGTGCATCTTTTTTGGAGGATTTGGTGGCCGTCTCTCTATGTAGGTTGTCTATTTGGCGAGTTGTGGTTGATGATGATGAGAGGGGATTATATCCATGGGATGCTCTTGTGGAGTTTTCCACGCCATCTTGAATCAAAAGCATCCCGGCTACATTGGGCTCGGAAACATTGCCCTCCTGAGTCGCTCTACCTATTTTATCCCATTGTACGACAAATCGAAACGGGATATAAGTATTGTCGAGTTCCAAATAGATAAAGTTATTTCATATATTTGATTCCGATCATTACGGTGTTGGGATGCACGCAAATTCAAGTCAAACAGCTCGTAAGTCTTGGTGTCGTGCATTTGTCTTTCAAAACCTTAAGATATATTCAATTTTACTCGATTTTCGAACATTTCTTTAATCATGGCCACACCATTAGTATGAAAACCAGATATTTTTCGGATTGTCTAGGCAATGTTGGTCAAGGGTAGGTACCAAGATAAGCTTAAGCTGCAACAAAGTCACTGACCAGGCAACGCTTACGTAATGACCCGCCTAGAAAATTCTCTCCATGTCAACCTCAGCAATTTCGATCAACTTATTTCATCCCTTCGATAACATGTCTCAAGACCCAACAGACCCAAAAGGCCCAGAGCTCGCTGTCGATGCTCATGTGAAGTATGTTCAGAGCCTGGACACAAGAAAAGATGAGCTCGACTACTGGCTTACCGAGCATTTGCGACTCAACGGCTTGTACTGGGGATTAAACGCACTCTTCCTGCTGGGTCGGCCAGATGCTCTCCCTCGACAGGATGTCATCGACTTCATTCTCTCTTGTCAGCATGAGAATGGTGGGTTCGGTGCAGCGCCCGGCCATGATGCTCACATGCTGTCCACAGTAAGTGCTGTGCAGATTCTCGCCATGACGGATGCTCTCGACCAGCTGGAAACAAAAGGCAAAGGCAAGAACCAGGTTGGCAAGTGTAGGTATTTTGCAAGGTCCACAGTGCCTTCCATGCACCCACTGACCACAAACAGTCATCGCAGGACTGCAGAATCAAGAGACTGGTACATTTGCTGGGGATGAATGGGGCGAGGAGGATACCCGCTTCTTGTACGGCGCTTTCAATGCCCTCTCCTTACTCGGTCTTATGTCTCTTGTCAATGTCGACAAAGCCGTCTCACACCTTATCGCTTGTGCCAACTTTGATGGTGGCTATGGAACGGGGCCTGGTGCGGAGTCGCATTCGGGTCAGATCTTCACTTGCGTTGCCGCCCTCGCAATAGTTGGCCGGCTTGATCTCGTCGACAAAGAGAAGCTTGGCCGATGGCTGAGCGAGAGACAAGTTCCCTGTGGTGGCCTTAACGGTCGACCTGAAAAAGACGAGGATGTCTGCTACAGCTGGTGGGTATTGAGTAGTCTCGCTATGATCGAGCGCACACATTGGATCGACCGCGATGCGCTCATCGCTTTCATTCTCAAGTGTCAAGATACCGAAATTGGTGGTATCTCTGATCGACCTGGTAATATGGTCGATGTTTGGCATACCCAATTCGGCCTGTGTGGTCTTAGTCTTTTGGGCTATCCAGGTCTCGAGGCAGTCGATCCAGTGTATTGCATGCCCAAGACGATAACAAACAGACTTCTCGGCTGATCGCCTATACGTCATGAGCTTTTCTTTCCTTCATACACTTTATTCAATTGTGCTAGCCACCACCCTCTGACCATTCATAGCATATGCTTACGACGTTGTTCAGTGATAGCATGTGAATATGGTTGAGGGAAGAGGAACTGTTGGTTTTTTCAGGGACATCGCTTGCTATTCCGTGGTGTTCGTCCCGTGAAGTCCTTCAAACATTTATCGACACTGAGCTTGTCAAAGCATGTGCTCATCACAGAATTTGGACGGATGTGGTCTTATCCCTTTGAACTTGGTCATGCCGGACCAATAGTGTATTATCTAAATGATACACCATAGTATCTTTCAATGTCAATACAAAATTTCTCTGTTAATATACCTAAACATGATCGCTTGGTTCACCCTTGGGCTCTCCTGGTGCTGCAAATGTTTGCGCCTTTGCCACAATTATCACGCGCATCCTTGTTATCGCACATTTCTCAGGTAGCGTTCAATACTGGCACACGAAGAGCAGTGCATACCTGTCTTCTCCGGCATAAGACGTTGTTGGCCTCCTGTTTCCTGCGCCATTCGGCCGAAACCAGTGCTTGCCCTTCATGCCTCAGAATATTATCCTGAGGCTCACAGGGCTATCAGGGCACCTGCCTGCCCGGACCCGACGCGCTCCTTCCCCCTGAACGCCCGACCTGGCAAGCCCCTCCTCCCAACACCCCTCATCTCCTTCCCCAGACTTCTGGTCTTCTATTGACTTATACCTTAAGGCAGGTATGTATCCAATTCATCCGAATCACCTGCTCCTCCTCTTCCTCTGATATTCTATCGTCCTCAACTATACCACCCTGTCTACCTATTCCCAATCACGCCCTTAAGCACACCTTTGAGGAGTCTTTCAATCCCTACTTTTCGGCTCCGACTGTGCTGGCATTTTCTCGTATCTGGTTTCGTCGCTGTAGGGAAGTTATACTTTACAGCATTGTTTCGGGAGCTCTTGCTGCTGAAAGGACAGCTCCTACCAGGATACGGTGAGTTTGAAATGGTTCTTTTTTACAGCTTGCATGACAAGAATTGGGAAGGGTCGTGGTGTCTTTTCTTGAGTGCAAACAAGAAGTTCTGGGCCATGGGATCAGGAACGACCGGACTAATTGCTTCCACTACAGTATGCCAAGGACACCCGATTCTTTCCCAAGAATCTTGGACTTTCAACCAAGACTGAAGCAACAACAAGCAATCCGACAAGCAAGAAGCGGGCTTTCACCTAGGCGCAATAAGAAGCGAGGTCTAGGAGGTATGGGAGGCTTTTGAACCCTTTCTGCATACTGTCCTCCATTCACTTTGTCGAGATATTCGCCTTTCCCTCGAGGTCTCCTCCTAGAACTGTTTCTTTCCAGGGATGCCATTCGAGGCAAACAAGGCAGGTGACTTCTGATCTCGCAGGAGATAGCACTTTCCAAGTTCGAAGACGTTGCAACTTCTTCTTGACCTGCGGCCTTCACGCATTCGATCCGGAAAGACTCCAAGTCGAGCATTCCTTCCCTTCCACTCTGCCATCAACCGTCTGTTATTCATGAGGAGCAACAAGGAGCCGATCCTGCATTATCAGTACAATAGTTCAGCTTCTACTGTTATAAATCGCAATCATGGCTCGAAGCAGGAAGTCTACCAAGCCGCCACTGGTAAGCAACTTTCCTTCGTATTGTTACATTAGTTACTTGTCTCCCCTTCTTCTTGATCCCAGACTTTACCTATCTTCACATGCACAAGACCTGCTATTTTCGACCCAGAACTTGATACCTCCCTTAGCACCCCAGCCCACTCAATCTGTTGAAAACTCACCCTTAGTCGTTACTGAATAACGGGTTACTGATAATTCCGTTGCGGTTCAGGTCATGGCTACTACAGTGATACCAGGAGACAATGCAGTTAGCTCTATCAGTCGACATATCCCACTCTTTTGTTCCGTGTGCCCTGAGAATCCTCGTTTTTCAGATGTCTCACATCTTCTCACTCACATCGCTTCGAAAGGACACCTTCATCACGAAACCCAAACGAAGCTCAAGGCTCACCAGGACATCACCGCTGCGGTCAAGCTTCAACATTACGAGGAGTAGTACTCTCAAAATGGCATCGAGGCACTGCTGGTTGATCGAATGAGAACAAAACAGTTGAAGGAAGAGGCTCGTAGCAGGCGCAATCAAGGAAATCAATTTGCCTCTGCCAAGGTAGTGATATCCTCTTCTGATCGTTGTTGCTATTTCTGACAGTCGAAAGCAAAACAAGCGGAAAATTAAACAGGAGACATCAATGAGCCCTGCCATCAAGCTCGAAGGAGACGAACTTCTAGAAGATTTCCCACTCTTCCCGGGCTTCTTTGACCATGACCAAGATCACGATGTTCAAGAAGAATTCTCTCTGGGAGCCGAATCAATGTCTCTGAAGGGCCAAGTGTGGCCAGGAATGGGGAAAATGGATCTCGCCGACGACGAGATGAGGCGAACTCGGAACCAAAAGAAGCCCAAGTCCGTGATCGATAGAATGAAAAGGGCTTCAGAACGTATCGAACCTACTCAAGTCATCATGACATCTGAACTAGAGGTTGAAAGGACGAAGGATGTGTATGATGATACGTCCTCTCCTGCTCCTGGCCAGGAAGAATCAGTATGTGCAATGAGAACAAGTCCCTTTTAAACGCTAACATTGTCAGACACCACCACGAAAAGCTCCAAAAACAAAGCGCAAAAAGGCTACACCTCTTGCTGAAATCTCGGCCAACGCTCCCAAGCAACGCCGTAGTACTGCTCGTGGCCCAAAATCTGGTACGGGAAAGAAGACAAACCCTGCAAAGAAACAAAGTCGCGAGAAAGAACCCAAGACATATCCTCCATCAGAACACCTGCAAGATATCCAAGATGTTTTCCGTGATGAAAAGGAACGGCCAGGTAGGTATTGCGCGAACTGAAACAGGAAAATCGCTAATAGTCAATGAAAGCTTCCATCAGCGAACCTCCACTTCCTGCCACTCGGAGTGATAGACGGTAAGATTTTGCGCCGCTTCTGTATCAAAAACTGACTCCGAAATTAGATTCGATCTTCGCACGAAGCATGGAGCTCGAAGCATCGACAACTTTCTTCATTCGAATTTTGTTTCTCCCACGCCACAGTCGAGAGATCTAGCACCACGACAACTCCTAGGCCGAGAGACGTCTAACTCACTTCGGCCTGAATCATTCCCCCCAGGTAAGTTTGAGGAATATTTGAGCCGTCCTTTTTCACGACTGAACTCTGAAATTGTACTTACACACAAACAGGCACATTCAGCCACGTCGAAGCTTCGTATGCGTTGAAAGACGCTACGATCTACAATGCTTCGTCACGCCTTCCATTCGTCTCTCCAAATTTCGATCAATTTCGAGGACTTGACCCAGATCAGTTTCGATTGGCCGCAGACTATGGATTCCAGCTGAAGCATGAAGACTACACGGGATCAATCACGGGAGATACAACACAAGGGACAAACAACAGTCCTTTCATGGGGGTACCTGGAACCAACCCTCTTTTTTCTCATGACAGGTCATTCTTGAATCCTTACAGCCGAGCTACACCAAATGCAACATTCTCTCCATTGTCATTTTCGTCTGTCAACCGACAGCAAGATCACTTACACAACGATGGAGGAATGAAACCGCAGACACAAATTTGTGAGCCAAACGAGAACAATGGTGGCATTGGAGAGGAGCAAGAGTTAAGCATCAACGCATCCTGGAACCTGCATGGTACAGAAAATGACCTGGATTTCCCCCACGGCCTTGCAGTGGACGACTCACAAATGTGACTGGCAAGATGAGCACCGAGGAAGAAGGCCGCTGTCGACAATAGCTCCAGTCATATGCCTGGTGGCCCTGCGGTCACCCAAGGCAGAAACGAGCATTGAAAAATTCACATGCATAAATGGAGTTCGACAATCTCCAAAGTCATGGCGAGTCGTGTTACATCAATGGTTCTCAACTCTCATGACAGCCACCAAAGTAAGCATTTGGCTGACAGCCATCATCGTCCTGACTAAAAAGAAAATGCTAACTTTCCCAGATGACTTGAACATGCTGTACATAGTACATACGACTTCCTACGCCTATTCTTTTTTACCCACTCACGTTTTTGACATTCTATTCTTCTTTTTGCACTTTTCACAAAATGGGACCCGAGGGGAAACAATCAGGAGTTTCGATTAACTTGGGACAATGTTTAGCGGCGCTCAGATGATCAGCAAGGAAAACCTGGGGCTTCATGGAGGCATATAAAATGGTGTTGTGAGAAAAGAGTAATTCGGGGTACTTTGGCGTCTGGGGAGACGGGCATATCATTTGATATTGGAGTTATGGGGTTCCAAGACAGAAGACATTTTAAGCATCTTATGGGAAGCTAGTCATTCTGACATTGGGTTTTTATTTCTTCTACCAAATCCCCCAAACAGTAATTAGTATAGTTGCGATGTTATTTACAATTGTTCGATGCCCGCTACGAGCTGGTCAAGTTGATCCGACCCGTTATCTATTACGTCTGACAGGGCACGGCAAACACCCCTGAAACGGCGCATCTTCATTTCTTGCTCCATTTGCCCCGACTTCAGAGCAGCAACGTCAATGACCTTCTTAGGAATACGAGCGAGTCTCGCAACGTTCAAGCCATAGGAGCGATGAGCAACACCTTCGCCAACTTCGTACAAGAACGTGATCTGTTCCTCACCGTCCTCTCCATTCTCTGCCTTAAATTTCATGTGAACGTTCTTGACACTATCAAGACCTTCAGCTACCCGCGCTAGATTTTGATAGTGCGTGATGAAGAGCGTTAGGCAGCGTGTTTCAGTGACGACATGCTGCAACACAGCCTGAGCGATGGCGGCACCATCGTGAGTACTGGTACCACGGCCTAGCTCATCGAGAATGACCAGGCTGCGAGGGCCGGCTGAGCGAAGGATACGAGCCGTTTCAGAGACCTCAACCATAAAGGTAGATTCACCGGCGAAGAGATTATCACGGGCCCCTGTTCGCGTATGAATACCATCACAGAGTGTGAGAGACAAGGCATCGGCTGGGACATAGGAGCCCACTTGAGAAAGGAGAACGATGAGGGCAAGGGCGCGGACGAATGAAGATTTACCACCCATGTTGGGGCCAGTTATGAGATGAGCGAGAGGTGAAGGATGCGTGAGGGTGGTAGAGAAGGGGATGTAGCCGCCGTCAAGAGTATGCTCAGCGATGGCGTGACGACCGTTAGTAATAGAGATAGTTGGGTCGGCGGTTGGTGGGAGAAAGGAAGGTCGAGAGTAACCTGGCTGAGCGGCAACTTTAGAGAGGGAGAGAGTGCAATCAAGGGTCGCGAGAGCAGATACGGCATCGCGGAGAGGCTGGTAATCAGCAGAAATGGAGGCGAGCAGATCTTTGAAAGCCTTGTCACACGCGGCAGCTAGGGCCTCACGGTGTTGGTCGCGTTCTGTGATTAGGCGAAGTACCTCGGGGGTATGAAAGCGTGAGAGTTTCTTCGTTCCAGAAATCTTGGCCCAGGAAGCAGGGACGTTTTTGATATCTGTGTTGGGCACCTCGATAAGATACTCGATGCCAGCAACAGTGACATAATCGACAGTCTTCTTCTTGATCTTTTCAGCGGCGACAGCACGGTGTCCGTCTAGCTCGTGCTCAACATGAGCGATACCAAGTTGATGATCTTGCATATCTTCTGTCTGAAATTCGTCACGGAAAAAGCCATATTTGTCATCTTTCCGCGCTGCGATAAGGTTAATACGCTCGAGATAGGACACAACAGTGTCAAGAATTTGTGGAAGTGCACAGATAGCATCGTTTAGGAGAGAGGAAGAGAAGGGGGCGTCAGAGGGACTTTTGACGGTTGAGTAGTAGCTCGCAACCCCTTGGAGGGCCTGAAGCACCGAGAGGAGCTCCGGACGTGTGCATTTGCCGTAGTATATGCGTATAAGACTGCGTTCAAGATCGGTTTTGGTGTTGGCCAAAAGTGACTCAAGCTGGGATACGGGAGCGGTTGATTGTTTCTGGAGAAGCTCCTCAACGGCATTGAGACGGGCCTCGAGAAGTTGCTGATCGAGCAGGGGACGTCCTACCCATTTTCGGAGTAGACGGTGCCCTGGGCGCGTGAGTGTCTTGTCGAGTGCCCAGAACAGACTGCCCTTTTCGGAGTGATCTGTAGAATTACGGTACACTTCGAGGCTTTCGAGGGCCGTACCATTGATGAGCATATGCGAGCGTGTGCTGAAGCTCTGGAAGTACTTTGTAAGGTCAAAGATGTGCTCGAGACCGTATTCTTGGAGGTGGTTGATCATAGCTGAGAGGCAGATGGTGACAGACTCGGGAAGCTTTAAGACTTTGTCGAGAAGGGCGGCTGCAGTTCCGTCTTGGGCATTATCTTTGAGCTTGTCCGCGTAGAATTGAGTAACGTGGGAGTACGCCTCGGCCGCCATAGTCTTACTCTTGGGAACGCGCTCAACTCGACTCCGGTCACCAAAAACATTCGTGCTGCTGCCTGATAAATGCTGCACGAGTTTATCGGTACCCTTGGTTAGATCCCCCACGATCAAGAACTCGCAAGGGGATATGTGCAAGAGCCGCGTCTCAATCTCACTCCGCATGAAGCCATCCTCGAAATTGTCGTATATGATGTCCCCAGTTGCTGGCTGTACGGCAATGATGCCAACATCAACTTTTTCATCAGTGCCCCATCCCTTGGCCTTGGATTCCGTGATACATAATAGGTAGCCGCCCGAGGGAGCTCCCGAACCACCGCTTTGGTCGAGCTCACCATTCTCATCGATGTATGTGCCTTTTGTGTAGAGATTGGTGAGCTTGCGGACGAATGGAGTGTTGCGGTTGTCTCCAGCCTTCTTCAACGCTGCAGTCTCGATTTGGCGAACGACACCGACTTTGTGTCCGGCAGCTACCAGGCGCTTTGCATGTACCGGAAGACGGTGCACTGGGATACTCGCTGAGGCAAAGCGATCTAAATGGGCCTCTGATGGATCTGTAGAGGTTAGAGTTATGCGCTTAGAGCTGCATCAATGACAACTTACGCTCATCATAACGCATCTTGCCCGGAATGCAGACTATACTCAGCTCCTTGGCCGCTATACGAGCATCCTCGCCAAGGAATCGGAATTTATAACCAACCTCCATGATGAGGATGGTGTCCATGTGTTTTCTTTTGATGTCAAGGAACTGAATCTCCATAGGGGTGAGTTTGCCTGTCTTAGAACCCTTCTTCTTCGTCCTCGCAGGGGCTGGAGCATCCTCTTCATCAGCGTCGGCATCTTCATCTTCACCCGCCGGTGCAGCATCTTGGAGATTGCGACGCCATGCGAGTGCATCTGGGTGACCGAGTTTCTTGACGAATCTTTTATGTAGCTCCTGGTGTTGTCGCCTCTCTTCTGCATCTTCATCCTCATTCTGGATCGATTCTGTGTTCTTGTCACCATCTTGGGTGGTCGGCGCACTCGAGCCGTCATATCGGTATCTTTCTGTCCGTGTCCCTATGGTCTCTTGATCGCCAGCTTTCGATCTGGAGAAAAATGTGCTTGTGTCTGCATCGGCGGGAGTGTCATTGACTCTAGCTCTTTTCAGAGCCTTTTCTGGCTTCTCATTCTCCTTTCCTGCATCTTTTAATGTTCGTTTCCGCGACGTCGACTCGTTATCTTTGCTGGATGAATGTGGCTGCGACTGCGACTTGGCTGCTTGTGCTCGGCTTTCCTTCTCAAAGACTGCTGCCAGGCCATTGACGGTCTTTGGTGTGAAAAATGAAGTCAGTGACTGTTGCTTCTTCTCGCTCGATTTCGGAGTGGGAGCCATGTTGGATATTAGGACTTGGAGGTGTTGCGAATGGCTTCAGCTTTAGGGGGCGTTCACATTTGATACCCTTAATCTAGTCCCTTGAATTTCGAGGTGGTGACGTTGGAGAAGCGCGTCTCGGAAGCTGAGACGCGTTGAGTGGCTGGCTGATGACCCACATGTCTCTCATCTGAACTTATACCTTGCCAAAGTACCTCAGGTAGTTCGACCTGAACTTTACTTGACGGAAATTTGTTTGTAACGCAGAGTAAAACTCCTCGTATGGGTTTCGCTCTTGAGTTAATGTAAGAGGCAAATTATTGTAGCAATCTAATCATGAGATCTCAAGCTGATTCAACTTTCATTTAAATGCCGATAGAAGCAAATGGTATAAGGTAAGTACCTAAGTCAGTAAACCACCTTGCAATACAGGTATACAAGGTGAAGGACTACAAACATTACTTAGCTACTCCGGAGATTCATGCATAGATAGGTATGTAATGGATATAATGGACAGGTTATTACTTATGAAGGAACTCACCGCAGCTTTTCCTAATAAATAGGCAATTACAGCATTGAGAAGTAATCACTTGCATATCCGCCATCCTTTATACAGTACCTATTCCTCCACTCGATAACGATCATCTAAACCCCGGTAATAGGAGCCTAGGCCACTGGTTGATCAAAGCGTGGTTTATTGACACAAGCCTCACGAAAGTCATGATGGGTGTCTTTCCAATATTTGACTTGGTTATGCTATAGTCGTTGACATTTGGAGCGCCCAAGCATGACTCAAATTGCCTTCATGTCAGCCACACAATTAGTTTCGTACTATGATTGTAGGTATTTATTATCACGGCATCGAGGGACAGTCGCTAAAACTCACAATCTCGGTGTCACATAATTCTTTGATGTGCCGCCTGAAATTCAACACGTTTAGTGGTCACATGCATTTCTTGGCTTCAAAGGCTGGCGCTTGCATCGAGGCTATGTTGCTGCCCATGATGAGCTTCAGAGCTCTCATGATCCATGATTTTACCCCAAATGCCCCACCCTCCCGTTATTCTTTGGCCCCCAAACCTTGAAAGGCTCTTCCCGAGGCCCCGTTTTTGATGGCTTCCAAGCTTTAGCTCGAGTCCTCGGGCGCTTACAGCGTCTTCGAGGGAGCCAATCAGAGTTTGTCATCATTCATGGTGTCTTTGAAACAAAGACTCTGAGTCTTGTATTATCTGGGCTCGATATCTTGTGAGAGTGACGCATTTCATGCCCCTGAAGCTGTTGCCGCCAGATGAGAAAGTTGTTTCTTGTTGGGTTGACTCGGGCGGTTACATCCATTATACTAGGGAGAATAGTAGGTACTCTTGATGATAGTAATAACAAGACGCAAGCACTCTGTACCATCACTTCATAGGTACTATAGTATTCTCAATGAAGTACCGAAGTTCCAGTCATAACTTTGAACCCCCTGCACTTACAAGCTTCCTCTAGTTCCTTACGATTGAAGGCCACGCCACGCCACCATTTTAACGAGCTGCCTCCCAGCTGTATTGCTATTGGAAGCTCCTCATGATCTGTATGATCCAGCAGGGCACGGCGCTTGAGCAGAGGAGACCCTCTTTCCCTCTTGCTTATCCTTCCTTTCCCCCCTTTCTCTTTTTATTTTTTCTCTCATGCCTTTTTGTTCTCTACAAAGTATTCCCCTAGGTTTTATCACTTTTTCACCCTTCTGAAACCAACATCAGAGTTTTGTACCTGACGCGGCCGTTTCTGCGACCTACCTAACTGGGGCCCCTCAATCAGGTACAAACAAGCACAACCAACGCCACGGCAGACGAAAGGCACTAACTACCTAGGTACCTATCTATACCTACAAGCCCACGCCACTTCAGTCGATACAGCCCAAACGGTCGAACCCCGCTCAACCAACAACCTAAACAAGATAAACCCGGACGGCACATCACCCAAGAGCTTCCTTGACCTCTCCAGCCTGTACTTGTTGATCAAGAACAGGCCAACTGCTGCGGCCTCCTTTCCGCCTCGTCATCTTCTTCGTCTTGCAACTCGAAACATCTGCGTCATCAAGCTCAAACAGGACGTTCTGTTGCTCGCTCACTTACCCCGCCATCGTTGGAGAACTCCCATATCGCATACCGTCGCACATTTCACATCCGTATCTTCCGTCGCCTGTTAGAGGCGCCATCGTATCTCAAGATGGAGCGTAGTCGTGGTGTTCCGGATGAGGAGATGTTCCTCAGCAAGCCTGCCCCTGAAGACTGCGACAGCCCAACCGTTGAACCTTTGCGCATATTCAAGCCTCAGAGCCCCCAACCCGCAAAAGACGGTAGATCCTCTGCTTTCAGATATCCTGCGCCTCCTTCGTCCACATCTCCCGCCTCTAAGCACTCATTTCCTCTGCCTCCTGGCGCCTCCAGCTCTGCGGCTCCCTTGCCGTTCCCTGACGACGACGACGTTCGCAAACCAACTCCTGCGAAGCCCTTCGGCTCTGCATACAATGACACCAGCCCTCGACTAGAAACAAGTCCGCCAGGAAAAAAACCTGGTCTTGCTGAGCGAAGAGGAGCTGTTCCAAAACCTATCAGTTCTCCCACAAGCCCTGACGCCGACAACGATCTTTTTCAACGTCCTCTGGCCGATAGCCACCGCCCTGGCTCCTCTAACCACAATTATCCCAGCTATCAAAAAACGTACTACCCGCCACCTGGTGCTGCGTCTGGCTCATCAAGCAATGCACCTGCGCAGCCTGCCGCTGTCCAACAACTCAAGATGAACGACCAAGGAGTAAATCGCTTTGCTTCAACTGCCTCAACTTCAACGACCCGTGCAAGCCGTGGCTCGCCTCCCCCTCCCGAAACCCCGATTGTGGAGCCTGGGCAGGCGCCGGCTGATGCTATCGAGGCCCGTTATGCCGCCGCTGGTATCTCCGGAACTGCCACCCTCAATAGCCTAGGCGCCCCCAGTGCGGCCGCTTCCCAGAGACTCGCGCAATATGGAAACCAACCTCCTCCTCAGCGACCATGGACACCCACCGAGACCCCAGACCAGGCGCCATCGGGTCCCCCTACTGTGTACCAGGGCATGAATGCTATTTCGAGTCCGGCGCAATCACATCAGTCGTTTAGTCCTCCTCCACAACCCGAACAGCAACAACAGCCAAAGCCACAGCAACAAGGGCAAGCGCAGGGTCAAGCGCAAGTCAGTGTGTTGGAGCAAGACTTCCAGCGTATGAACACCAACTCGCCTCCTCCTGCATACTCGAGTGTAAATCCTGGTGGAAACTCGTCCTACCCCAACGAGAAGCAACGGCCCCAGCAAGCTGGCTCAAGTTCGGCTGCTGCTCAACCTCAACAGCAGGCAACTACGTCGACAGCGGCGACAAAAGCCGCCGCGGTAGCTGCAGCCTCAACCGTTGCTGGTGGACTTGCTTCGCCCGCTCTTCAACACCCAGGTCATCCTGCGTTTGCCAACGACCCTCACCCTGCGTTTGCGAATGAAGCCCATCCCGAGCAGAATGGGCAACCGTCTCAGCAGCAAGTCGTTGCCCCTGCCCAGGCCTTTGAACCTCAAAACCCAGCCTCACCTCCACCCCTGCCTGAAGGATGGATCGCCCATTTGGATCAAAATTCCGGACAATACTATTATATTCACTTGGCCTCTCAAGCTACACAGTGGGAGTTCCCGAAGGGACCAAACCCCATGACTCACGAACAAGCTCCTCTCTCGCCAACCGCATCAACTTATGGAAACCCTTTGGCATCGCCTATGTTTGGCAAGCAAGCCATGGCCTCTCCGATGTTTCCACCGCATACTCCTGGTTATGCTGAGAGTATCATGAGCGTGGCGGCTTCAGCGACACCCACAGCTGCCGGATTTACAGGACCTCCACCAAGCGCCGGTGTCGATATGTACAGGATTCAGCCTACGAATGGCGTCTACTTTGGCCCCTACCTACGATATGTCAACATGGATATTGAGAAAGGCCTTTGGCTGGGTAGTATTCTGATTGTGACAGATGCTCCTCAGCCACCCACAATCCATATTCACCTGAGCCACGACCTAGCACCCAATCCACGACAAGCCGAGCCTCGCCCAATCTTCACACACCAAAGGTGGAAGTTCTATAAATATGACTTGGAACTGCCTATGTCTGAGGCTGGTACTGAGCGTTGGACATACGCAGTTACCTCTCACCTTGGCTGCACACGTTATGAGTTCGTTGTGGCTGGGCGTCAAGAGACTAGCTGGCGCTTCATTGCACACTCCGGCAACGACTTCGCTGCAGGCACTTCACAGAACGAGCGAGCTAAGCTTGGCGGGGTTGGATTCATGTGGAAGGACGTCCTTCAGAAGAATGTCGACTGTGGTGGCTTTCACGTTCAGCTAGGCTTGGGAGACCAGATCTATGGTGATCGTTTGTGGAAAGAAGTCCCTCTCCTCAAGCAGTGGCTGGCCATGAGCGGACGTGATAACAAGAAGAACGTTCAATGGACAGCGCGGCATGAAGAGGATGTCGCACACGCTTACTTCCACTACTATACCAGCCACTTTGATCAACCATTCCTTCGTGAGGCCTTTGCGCAAATCCCCCACGTCCTGCAGATTGACGACCACGATATGTGAGTGCAATGTTACCATTATGTTTGTTACATATACTGACCCTAATAGTTTTGATGGGTATGGCTCATACCCAGACTATATGCAATCTTCACCCATGTTTAAGAACATTGGGCGAATTGCGACAGAGATGTACCTGTTGTTTCAGCATCATACCACTGTCGAGATGCTACGGAACGTCAGCACCGATCACGATATTTTCACCATCACAGGGACTGGTTGGCATTTCGTGAAGTACCTTGGACCGGCTGTGGTGGTCGTTGGTCCTGACTGCCGATCCGAGCGCACCCAAGCCCAGGTTATGGCAGGCCCAACATACCAAGGGATTTTCCCTAAAGTTGCTACACTTCCTCCAAGTGTACAGCACTGTATCTGGATGATCTCGGTACCACTGGTGTATCCACGCCTGGACACTGTGGAAAGTCTTGCCAACACGATGGCTGCGGGTAAAAAGGCAGTCAACACAACGTACAACATTCTGGGCAAGGTCACGAGCTCAGTTGCAGGCGTAGTCGGCGGTAAAGATGTAGTTGCACAGGGCTTCTCGCAGGTGAAGAAGGCGGTCGGAAAGACTGGTCTCATGGGTAATGTCCTGAACCAGTTTGGCGAACTTGACATTCAAGAAGTGCTCAAGGATATGTGGACTCACGACACTAAGGACCTAGAGAGAACCTACCTAATTCGAACTCTGCAAGGCATTGCGCAACAGAAGGGAATTAGAATGACCTTCCTCTCTGGAGGTAAGTTGACAATCACATATCAGTTTTGGGGAATCGCGCTAATATTACTGCAGACGTCAATGCCTCGGGAGCTGGTTTGGTTCACGACCCCACACACCCTGGTGATCACAAGACCATGTACCAGATCATCTCATCCCCTATCGTCGCGGCGCCTCAGAGCAACTATGTGCTCAAGATGCTGCACAACCAAAAGACGCTTTACGTACCCCAGAACGGCAAGAAGTCAACGCACGAGGTGTCAGACACGAAAGAAGATATGATGGAGATCTTCCATTCCGATGCTAGTGGTGCCGCGAGAGAGCTCAAAAAGCTTATGGGCCGTCGAAACTACGTCGCCTTTGTTTCATACGACCAAGACGCCGCGGCAACAGTGCCCCAGACCCCCTTCAGCCCTAACCCCAGCTTGAACGGCTCACAACAGGGCCTATCCAAGGTGAGCCTGGCCGTCGACTTTGTTGTTCAGGGCGACGGAGCGTTCACGGCGCCAACTAAATATGGTCCTGTCATCATCCCTCACTTGGAATATGGACGATGAGCCAGTTAGTTCTAGTTGGATTTTGAGATAAAGGCGCCGATGGGATTTTGCCATTTATATTGCACATATAGCGTTTCCACGATATTACGAAGACTTATATACATCGAAGATACCTTGTTGATTATCGGTTTGTCGAGCTTAGTAGCCTCATAGTTTGAGACGGATCAATTTTAAACATGTTTGGGAGGATATTCATGAAAACATTGGATCTGTCTTGGTCTCATTTCTATTGTGTGTATATGCTTTTGAATCTCATTCCAACGCCCAAACATGTATTTAGAGATCAAAGAGTTCCTTGAGGATACGCATGGTGTCCTCAGGTCCGGTGACGGAGTGTCCAGTTGTCCTGGAGTCGGTGTAGATCTCGTAGTCGTTGCCACCCTCGAATGTCTTGTCACCAAAGAAGTGAATGGTCTTGTAGGCAATACCGTCAGGCTTCTTGGACTCGTTCTCAAGGTGCTGGAGGCAGTAAGTCTTGTCCCACCCGGTGGGGAACACATCGAAGGAGATCTGGCCACCAATGGAAAAGCTTTTCAGAGGATGTTAGCAACTAGGGCGTATTATAACGGATTAAGGATCACAACGTACGTGAGGCCGAGGTGGCCGAATCGCTCCTTGAGAACAGCGACAAACTTCTCTCGGACCTTAGCGTCCTTGTCGAACGCCTCAAAGTCGTTTCGCTCCTGGGTGCTGGCGTTACGACCGACGGGGCTGATGTTGATCATGCCATTGCGGAATTCAATGAAGGTGCCGCGCTTGACGGGGATGTCGAGATCGGCGATGTAGTGGAGGACGAAGTTGGCAAGCTCCTTGTACTGCTCCTCGCCAATGAACTTGATGAATGAGTTCGACTCGAGAGGCTCGCCGAGCTTGAAGGCTGTCAGGCCGTTCTCGGAGAAGCAGAAGTCAAAGAGGGCGGTGACGGGCTGTCCGGCGGGCTTGCCCAGCTGCTCCTGTTGCTTGGCGAAGTCAGAGCCACCAACGTATCCGATAGCGCACTTTGAGCGAAGTTTCTGAAGGATCTCGAGAATCTCGGGCGAGGCGTCCTGTATGAGCATGAGCGACTGGCAGTGATTCAGGGCAGGGTGTTTGAGCGTACCAGGCGCGCAGGTGTGAGTGTGCCGTCAACGTCGAAGAGGCAGATGGTGTCCTTGAGAGGACGCTCCTGGAGAGGAGTGTACGAGGGGGGGGACGCGAGAGCCATTGTGAATGTTGTTGTGGTTTGGGAGTGGTTGAAAAAGAGAGAATGGAATGGGAACTGTACGATACAGTAATAAGGCGAGATAGGGGAGTTCCTTGGTGTTGAGGAGGGGACTACTAGACTACCTAAACAAATGGGAGAATGTGGGGCAGAGATGGGGAGCTACTATGTACGACGAAATTCAATGCGGGGCAGACTTGACGACGAACTGTACCTTATTAAGTAACTAACCTTAAGGTACGTCTTTCGAGGGATTGGCTGCTCTTCGTGGTTCAAAAAGGCTGACTTGTGATATAGATCTTGACCGAGTCAATGAAACAACAATACAAGGCCAACAATTGATGTATCGGACCCTCAATGAAGCCTACAGTCACAAAGAGGAGCATTGCTGTGGTTTCTCAAATATCTTCTATCCCTTGGGCCACGTTTACCGCTAAAGATTCAGGGGTCGGTCTACTATTGACATCCATGCAATTGGGATTGAAGACAAGGATTTCTGAGTACCGTGTCAGATGATAAATGATGGTGTTAATCATCACCGAGGAGAAACAGGAATACACGAAGGATTGGCTATATCTTGTTTTGAAAGCTCTGGACCGACAATTAGTTGGTGCTCTATTCTTCTTCTTCTTGTTACCCCTCTAACCCCCCTTGTACGCTACCCCTCCACCAAAAGATCTTCACAAGCGCAAGGAAACTTTTTAGTGGGTCAGCCTCTCCCGCCCAGTCTCACCGCTAAATAGCTCGCAGCAACCAGTGGGTCCCGTCGTTAAGTCGAGGTGAGCTCGGTGAACGACTGAACAGGCATTGAACTTGGGATGGATGAATCGTTAATACCTGATCGATATCCATATATACACTTGAGTCAGGCAAGACTTCTTAAAACACTTCTCATTCATGAAATGTCAAGTCGTGTTATTGCTTGGTCTAAACAATCGCTCAAAGAATGTATGAATAAGACAAAAACGCCTTTATGTACCCAGCCAAGTTCATGGCAGGCTATGCCATTTCACCCCAAGCTCCAGTGAGCTCGACGATGACATTTACGATTGTACTCACTGCCCACAGCGTGATCAGTCCCCATCCAATCTTGCGACTCAAGATCCATTTGTTCATGGGCACAACAATAAGCAAGCCCACGAGCGTGACGAGTAGTGTGATAGCTGAGATCATCAACGTCCCACCGACTTGAATGCGGTAAGGCTTGTACTTGATGGGATGGCTCGGGTTCTTGCGGTGCTTCTTGTTTGCCTTCTGGATCGTCATCATGGCACCGCCGATACCGATGCCTAGCAGGATGTTCAACATAGGGCCACCGAAGCAAGCAGATCTAGACAAGAGGTTAGCTCAAGTGCTCCAAGGAAGCCCGTCTGTACTTACAAAGCCATAACGGGATACCCAAGTCGTGCTACTGTAATATCAGCAACTAGATCTCCCACACTGTTGCCCGCAGCAAATATGGTGAGACCTAATAGCGCTTCCGAGATATTCAAAATGACACCGACTGTCTTGAGGACCCCTACAACCTCGCCTGCGATAGTTGAGATCCAAGCAATACTAATAATGAACCCCATGAAGCAAAGCATGTAATGATAACGAGGGGGCCTGTCCTCTGACGTAAAAACGACCAAGATACCAAGAAGAATGAGAGATGCAAGGAGTGTGTACAACATCATACGGACCAACGCTTTATGAGGGTTCTCCCAGTCCTCCAAGGTATTGGCCCACAATACAAGGACAGCAAACTGAGGACCAGTAAAGAGTTGCAGCGCCACGAGCCATCGGTTCCAGCCTGTGCAGTCATTCTTGACACTACTGGAGGAATGGAAATCTGAAGCAGGCTTTGCCACTATGGCTGGTGGACCCAGGGAGAACTGCGAGGCGGCCAGATTCTCTCTATCTGCAGCGTGTGCTGTAGAAGGTGTGGTTGCAGGCCCAACATGACTGTTGCCACGACTTGTGATGGTGTGTCTACGATAGCGCTCCCATTCTGACTCTCCTTCTGGCTCAATCGCCGAGTGCTCAATTGATATGGGCGGAGCCATGTGCCCAACAACTTGATGATCGTGGTGATAATGATCGGTGTGGTCGTTGAGTGCCTCGAGGATAGATGATTCGCCGTCTGTTGTTTCTGAGTCAACGACGGGCAAAGTCACCACCAACAGAAAGATACTTGGGACAGAGATGGCACTGACAAACTTATCCCATGCCGTCTTCTCTTTCCAGCCTTGCAATGTAGGGAACAAGGTTGCCCACAAGACATGGGGAGCTGGTAGCACGGCATAAGGCCACCATCTAACAGGGCGTGATGGTGTATCGACTGTCAGTTGCAAGTCGGCAAAGGGTGTCTCACGACTTGCTGGACCCGGCGCAACGGTACTCGGTGATACTCCTCCTGGCGAGACGAACTCAATTGGGTCATTCTGGTAATTGGGTGTAAGCAGTGCTGGCGAATCGCTGTACACGGGGAAAGGCGTGTTAGGCGAGGAGCGGTCACTGTAACTGCTACGGCGGCTGGAAGGTATTTGCAGGCGAAGCTCGGGAGTCAGCAGCTGTCCTTTCTGACCTTCTGGAGGAGCATCGTGGGTGGTCCCACTAGGACCGACCGGAGGCGCTGCCAAGTTTCCTCCTACAGTGTAAGACGGGCTGGGGCTTGATGCCCTTGTTCCACTGGCTGTTGAGCCAGGAACGGACAAGGTTGGTTCAGATCCATTGCGGCGTGGAATGTGTAGGTCCGGGTGAGCAGGCACACCGACTGGAAGGTCTCCAGAAGAGAGCGCTCTGTTCCTTATGGGCGCGTGCTCGCCAGCGTTCGGGTCCAACTGACCATCAGACCGAGCCGATTCTGCGACTGTTGCGGTGGTCTGCCTGCGCCTGTGCACATGATAATCCGAGTAGCTTCTTCCTGGGATAGTGGACAACTGTAGATTACCCTCGCGTTGTAGCTGCGCCAAAGCAGACCGAAATTCCAGTGCACCTACAAGACTGGGTCGGATGGGTGTCATTGTGTTTCTTCTAACTCCACGACCTCGTAGAACTCGCATGCTGCTGGCAACCTCGGCTGCAACCATGCGGTCATGGTCTTCACTGGACGTGTCGCTTTCAGCTCGCTGAGGCGACCCATCAACCTCAATCCTAGGCCCGGCTTCAAGGAGTGAAATATCAGGCGGCGTAGCGTGCGCAGTGCCCGGACCCGAACCAACATCATCTGGGTCGTCTCTATATGGCTCGCCGGCCAACTCATCCCCCGAGTGACCCAGGGCTGCATATACATGGCTGCGTGCTTCGCCTTCTCTGCGCTGTCTAGCTTTGCGCCTTGTGGAGTACCAGTGCCATGTTACAACAGTAACGACATACACTCCATAGTACCCTATCATCACCCAACACTCCCACAGGTGCAGGTGACCATCAGCTAGGAAGATCATGGTGAAGACGACCGCAAGAATGAAGAAGCAAATATCGCGGGTGTATGATTTCCGATCGACACGAAACTCCCTCACCAGTGCCATAGAACCAGCAACGACACCTGTGATAAAGCTTGCCGCGCCGATGAGCTCTCCAACGGCCATGCTGGCGCTGTTAGAGCCCATGGCTGCAAAAGTACTGAACACATCGGGAGACCCATTGCCAAAGGCGAGAAATGTGACGCCTGCCAAACTCTCGCTAAGGCCAAGGACTGCCGCGATCGTGCTTAGGTTGACGCTGAAGAAATCACTCGCAGCGATACCGATGGTGGTGAAGAGGAGGCCCAGCCAAAGCACGAGAACTGTGAATGCGATAGGTCTGACGTTGCCGAAAGAGCAATAATACAGTTCAATATAGTGTATGAGCCCGGCGTCGTCGTCGCTGCAGTATTTGCGCACAAAGGCGCATTTGTCCTCAGCGTTGTGGACTTGATTACACTCGGGTGTTTCGACCGCAGCGGAACCGCGCTTGAAAAGCTGATCGGGATCTGTCGCGCGATTTGAGACGGACTGCGCGAAGGTTGTATGCGACAGAAACGAATATGCAGTCAAAACTGATAGAAGGAGGATCGTAGTATAGAAAGGACGAGACTGTAAGCGGCTGCCTCTCGGGAACCGTTTCGGAGTCGCATTGGGACTTTTGACAGTCTCGTTAATGGGGCAGAGGAGCCCACGAGGGGTGGTATTCGTCATGTTGGAATTGGTATCGTCATGTCACGAAGTAGCTTCTTTGAATGCCATTATGATCGTAAAAACAATGAGCAAGAACGTGTCTAATGAGGCTAAAGAATATAAATCGAGATGCGATTCAGTGAGGGGAGTAGGAAAGATGCAGAGGGAATGTTTGGAGAACAGGAATTGGATTCAGTACTAGATAAGGTAAGGTTTAAAGGTTTAAAGTATCCGTCGTATCTTGACGTTACATGCTCCCAAGTCTGTGGCATGCCCCATTCCCACGTTAACTTAACCGAGGAGGGAATCGTGGATCGGTGATCGAGAATCTTAATATCCCCCATTATGCATCGACTTTCCCTTTTGAAGCATGCAGAAATCCAGTTTCCAGCATTTTAGCGTCTCTTTGCGACGGGTTTGTTACAACCTAGTTTGGTGATGGTGACGAAGACGAAGGGAGGCCGCCTGTTGTTCAAAGATACTACAGAGTCTCTGCCACAATTAGTGTATGAGCGAGGTGTGGCTAGCTCCAAGAGATTGGCAGGAACCACCAAGACGCAGCGGATCCAGTTCAGAGCTCCCAGTGACAGACTGATGGCTAAGATATGTTACTTCGTTGATACAGTACACCGACTCTGTCACTCATATAACGTCTCTTGGTTAAGCTTCTCATCTTCAACGTGCTTGCCTTAGGCTGCGCCACGTGCTTACTAGAAACTTGGTGATCAGATACATCAGCAGGGGTACATTGGGTTGTTTTGACTGTTCCTTCCTTGGCAGCGTCCCCCCGCCGTCTTGTGTCCGTGATGTTCCGTTTCAGACGGAGAGTACCTCCGTCGCTAAGGTACACACTGTGGCTGTGATCTCCAGCCACAGTTGAGGCCTAAGGTTAAACAACAACAGACATTGAGGTTACCCCACACACCGCCCCTCGTGCTACCTCCATAGCAGTTAGCATTTATTTTGTTTACTTTGGCCAGGGGGGGTCCGCAACACGACGACGACGACGACGACGCGATAGGCCTCGTCCAAACACACCCTTTTTATTCCCCAAAAACCCACACAAACAAATTGAAAATGCCTCGAGTTGCTCAAGTTCCCCGGACGGGGAGTGCCAGGAACAACGCGGGCTCCAGTACAGCCTCACCATACATAACGCAGTCACCCGTCAAGTCAGTTATCCATTCCCCGGCAACAACTGCGGTGTGCTAATGCAACTGTCCAGAATCCCCCTCAACGATGATGTGTCAGAAAAAGGGCAGCGCATGAGCTCCAGGAGAGCTCTCCACGAAAGACAGTTTAACGAAATCAAGAAGGCCGCAACTCCTCGCAAGGTTGGTCTTCGTCTTGACGACATGGAGAACGGTGAGCCGCAGACTCCCCGTGGCGGTCGCGCCAGCAATATCGAAGATGATGAGGGCTTTGTGGTCGGAGGTTCTGCGGTCACGCCTATGAAACGTGTACCACTTCTCGCCAATTTCGAAGAATGGATGAAGATGGCGACCGACAACAAAATCAATGCGACAAATTCATGGAATTTCGCACTCATCGACTACTTTCACGATATGTCACTTCTGAAGGAAGGCGACGGTGTCAACTTCCAAAAGGCCAGTTGTACCTTGGATGGATGCGTTAAGATTTACACAAACCGTGTGGACAGCGTCGCAACGGAAACAGGCAAGCTACTGAGTGGCCTTGCCGACAGCAACAACGCCAAGAAGAAAGACAAGGATGGCGAGGATGCCGACGAGAGCGACGAAGAGGAACTGGATGAGGATGGCAACGTCAAAAAGAAGCCCAAGAAGAAGGTATAGCAGAGATCCATGTACTCCTCAAAGGTTCAAACTAACACTTGCTAGACACAACGGTCATCTGAAGCAACACTTGCCCCCTCGTTCAACTCGCTGCAGCTCAAAAAGTTCGAGCTGGAATTCGCAGTCGATCCCTTGTTCAAAAAGGCATCTGCCGATTTTGATGAGGGCGGTGCCAAGGGACTGCTTCTGAACCATCTCATGATCGATTCACAAGGACGTATCGTCTTTGACAGTAGCGACGATACTGGTGATGCAACCACCCTTGGAAAAACGAAATCCGACGACGAAGAGGGCGGTGGAGAAGACGAGGAAGCCGAGAACGACCCAGAGGAGGAGGAGGAGGAGCTGGAAGATGAGGAGGAAGCCGACGACGTCGAAATCGATGTTGGAGTCCTTGGTGCCAAGTTCATTCCCGACTTACACCGACTCGATGAGCTTGATATTTGTCCTTCTCTGAAGACGTTTGACCTTGGCGATCCTTCGGGATCCATGGATATTCCATTCTTGAAGGCACCCGAAGATTGGAGACAGGACCAGGACAAGGATAAGACACCAGGAGCGCTGGGCGACTTCTCCGGTCTCGTAATTGATGGTGACGAAGCAGCAGGCTTCGACGATGATGACCTCGCCCTGGGAGCTTTCGATGCCGTCGATAATGTCGCTTTCGGTGAGGGTGGCGAAGCCTGGGCTCGAGAAGCCGCCCTGGAACCACAGATGCGAGTGTACGACGCTGGCCTCGGTGAAGAGGGTGGTGACGGGGATGAGAACGACGGCAACGGTGAGTACGTTGTTTCAATGACCAGCGCGCAGAAGGTGGACAAGATGCACGAGGATATCCTTGGATTTTTCGACCAGGCGTTGCAGAAGAATTGGGCGAGCGCAGAGCACTGGAGGATCAGGAAGATCAAAGATGTCAATAAGCCTGCAACAGAGACAAAGAAGCGCAAAGAGAAAGAGCCCTTTGAGATCGATTTTGCGGCACCTCTGGATTCGCACACTTCGGATATCATTCATACACAGGCTACCAACAATTCGGCCATTAGCATGCCCAAGAAGGATTGGAAGTCCAAGTCACGCAATCTACTCCCCGACGACAAGCACTTTAACTCCAAGTCTCTGCTAAGCCTGTTCCTCAAGCCAAGGGCACGGATGAGCAAACGACGCACAGGCTTCAACTCTCGCGGTGGGAGTGGCTTTGGCAATACCGGTGCAGATAATCAACCTGATGGGGAAATGGATGAAGCATTTTGGGCCAACCAAAAGGCTCCGCAACATACAGACGAGACAGCGTTGCCTGAAGGTGACTATGATGCCAACTTCTTCCAAGACGATGTTATGCCATTTCCCGGCGGTGGTGACTTGGACGACGACGACGATCTAGAGTTTGCGGACGCAAGAGAGCATTTCTCACCAGGGCTTGATGGGCAGGCTGGACTCACTGATGGCGGAGGGCTCACGGCTCTACTCAATGGAGAGACAGTGACGAATACTGGAGCATTCGGAACGACGCTGGTTACCCAAACGAGGCGCGTACGACCCGAGTATGTGCAATATGCTAGAGTAGCCAAGAAGGTGGATGTTCGAAGGTTGAAGGAAGAGTTGTGGAAGGGTATGGATGTTGACATTCTTCAAGTAAGTTATTATGCACAGACAAAACGAAGACGTTGCATTATGCTAATAACGTCTAACTACAGAAACAACCTGAACCCCAAGCAGTGGATGTCGGCGAGCCAAAGCAAGAAGAGACGCTCAAGTTCACAGAGATCATGAACAATCTGCAAACAGTGTATCCTAAGCCGGTGATGGATGATATCTCAACATCATTCTGCTTCATCTGTCTCTTGCACTTGGCCAATGAGAAGGGTCTTGTGATTGACAACACACCTGGCCTGTCGGAACTCGAGATTCGCAGGGATTGGTCAGCGGAGATTGTCGAGGGTGAATAGCGGGAGCGGTTTTGAACTATGTAACCACTTGTCGTGAGTATGTATGTTTTGGAGTGGCCATGTACTTGTTTGTTTGACGAGTTATGCATGAGATGCTCGCGGAATTCGTTCGAAAGAGACACTAACAAGGCATGGTATGGCGTGGCATGGAAGATAACGTGATATCCTGGCGTTGGAGGGAGAAGTAATCAGTAGCTACATCTAGAGTACTTGTTTTGAATGAAGGACACGACTGAATGATTGATTGGTCATATTCATAAGCCTTGTTTTATACCTACCATGTGGATGCTGGCTGGAAGATGGTTCTTGAATTTACTAGTACAGCCGCTTTCTGCGGGGTTCCATTTTTTAAATTGAAGAAAGCAAGTTTGAAGACTTCATTGATTGAGTGAGAGTTTTTATACCTTAGTAGTTACTTGGGTCATGTCCAAGTTTTTTCAATGATAGTAGTCAGTCAATGGTAGCCCGATATCTGATTCTCATAGCTGCTTCTCGTTGCTGCTGGAAAATTAGTAACTGAAATTCGTCATTCTATCTATCATCTTATTCAATACGGGAATGCTACAGTGATATTCATCACATCACACTCGTCTCATAGTTGACTGACAATGTCCTGTTCCTATGTACATCAAGGGAATTAGCCGCCACCTTATCCTGAGGATTACAGAGAGACGAGGTTTAATAACGCTCATGCGAGACGAGAGCAATACAAACTAACACGTATAGGGAGCATCATCATCACCCCTAGAGCAAGTTCTTCCAACTAATGCGTTCAGGACCAGGACCAGGTCCTGATTACCTCACCTTACCTTACCTCATACAGACAGGTATTGTAGGTACTACCTTAAGGTAGGGACTTATACAAGGGAAGTACTGCCCAGGTCACCCTCGAGTCAGGTACGTACCTCAGGTCCCAGTCTCAGACCCACTTGTGGGCTATTGTGGCTGCGCCATGACGTTGAAACCGGTTACGAACTGGACCCTTATGACGATGTTGATAAGTTGTGGGGGGCAAAACAGAAGAGAGAACAAAGCAACCTGCGGAAGTAGATAAGTCTGAATAAGGAAGGACCCTTGATATCGTCGTCCTCTTCATTTCGTTCTTTCTCCTTTTTCTCATCTTTGACCTCATCATATTGCTTCAACTTACTACTACCTACACATGTAGATAGCAGTTATCCAGCCACATCTCCTATATGTTTGTAATATATACAATACACACATCAATCGACAACCTTCCTTGTTTTCCGACTATTAAGATCGTTACCCCTCTCTCGCCGCAATCATCTGGTGGTGGTCTCACACTTACAAAACTTCTTGAATCAGAACACTAATCTGGTCTTCCAATGTGGACATGCAGTCGTATACAACATGTCATGACTTGGCATTGGTATTGGCATTTTCATACTACCTTAACTTGTCTCCTGGTCATTTTCTTGTAACACCTAATTTATTCCAGACCGGCAAACCAAAGGGTATATGCCCCCAAATCCAGTTACGACACGGATAACCTCCCAACTATACACCAGTCAAATCCCTCATGACTTCGAATGCTATTTTTGGATCCTTTCAAACCTCTTTTCAACCCAAAACTCAAGTCCATAACGCCAGAATCCGCGACTGCGACCCGATATTACCACAGCAGTCATTATAGGTACTCATACATGTGTACCACCATCCACCTAAAGACCGAATCATGAAATGGAAAAGACTTGACATCATCATGCGTGGGTATCCAACAAGATAAGAAACAAAAGGGGTCCTCGGGGGTGAGTAAGCTGTATCTCGACACATCTGGGCACAAGCGTTTCGGTGTCGAATATAGCAACAGTATGCTACGGGCATAAGTCCATTGTCGTCGCTCCTCATCTTCGTTCGTCTCGTTCGTGTTTTTCGACAAGTTCACCAGCTCTTAGCAGGACGCTCATGCCATCGAGGCGAGTCTTGAAGGGGCGATTGTCGATTGGGGTGATCAAATCAGGTGCCGGCGTCATTGGCACATCGCTGTCCACCATATATTCGTCATTCCTGGCTGGGGGGCCAGTGGGTGGCAATGGTTGAGAGCCTTGAAAGCCGAGTTAGCTTGGACTTCCTAACGAAGCCTCCAGAGATTCAAGTACCATATCCCCTGGGCACAACGCCATGGCCGAAATGTGGCCTTACAAGTGGCACAGGGTCTGTTGGGCTTGGAGTCGTCGTACCAGTACCCAACCCGGAAACAGGAGAACCTCGTTCGAACATGGCCGCGTTGGCAGCAACAACTGGTGTCGGCAGCGTCTGATGGTGGGAAAGGAGAGCGTGGATTGGGAGTGGTCCTTCACCGGGAGTCCGTGCAAAGCCCGCTGCTGGACTTACTGAACCAATACTGCTGCTGGAAGACGGTTCGTGTCGGAGGAGAGGGGGCTTAGGCGGCGCCGATGGAAGCACGTTGGGAACTTCGGGCACCGATCTAGGATGGTTTGCGGCAACGAAACCACTCGAATAAGGATTTCCTTCCGACCCGGATGAGATAGGCATCCCTTTCCTTCCATCCTCGAGCATGTTGGACAACGACGGCAGATGTTGATGTGAAACTTCTACCCCGCGACCTCCTTCTCGCCAGGACTGCTGGCGTTTGGGAGCTTGGTAATGAGGTTCCCGTGGGCTTCCAGCATCGAAGTGGGTGTCCTGGGGCGATGACACGGTCTCGTCGTTCGAGTTGGCCTGGGACAAAAGCGTTGGCGTAGTCGATGAAAGCTGTGATTCAGCTATCGATGCAATCGAATTCAACCTTTCCCGCCGACAAGGCGGTGGCTCACTACCCTGCAACCTTTCGCTACCACTGCCGCTCGAAGTGTTGCCTCCCGGTGTCATGGTGCTGCTGCTGCTGCTGCTGTGTCGTAGTCGAACAGGATCCAGTTTTGTCCTCTTAGAGACATCGGCTAGCCAACGGTGGGATGTCAGTTTTACTGTTATGCCAACGTTTGATGGATTTAATGCCGTCTGGCTACAAACCTTGAGTCCGTTTGGCCTGCTTTTCCTTGAACTCGTGGAGATATTGCATATACTTCCGATAGTCGGGCGTTTTCTTGTACTCCATCAAGTCACGGTGGTACTTCTCTTTATCGGCATTTGCTTGGCTTTCATATGCCTCCTTTTCGCTTGCATTCAGATTTTGCCAATTCTCTCCAACGAGTTTTGCAATTTCTGTGAACGTGAGATTTTGGCTTTTTAGGTCTTCTCTCATTTCTTTTCATCATTTGTCAGTAACCTATTCGCCAAAACCGAGCGTGTGAGCCAGAGCAAGCGCTTACTGTTGGAAAACAATACATATGCGGACGGAGGTCTCTCAGGGGCATTCTCATCGGGCTAGTACCTTGTTAACCCTCAAGTCGCCATCTGAGAAATGCAAAAGGTTCAACTCACCTTAGGATGACGTCGATACTTTCGTTTGGCAACACCTTGTCCCTCGGGCGGTAGTTCCGTCCGACTGGGCTCAGGTTGCACACTATCCGACTTTGCATCCTCACTGGTAGGCCTGACAGGAGTCACCAATGACACTGATGGGGAAATGCCTCGGGCATTAGCTATCCTTCTCTGGAGCTTCTAAATGACATTACATTAGCGGCTGCCTGAGTAGGCGGTGACAGTAACCATACCCTCCGGTGGCCTAATTTGACACCCAATGCATCTCTGAAGAAGGCTGTTAGTGCAAGTGTTGCAATCAGTCAAGTAAAAAGGAAACATACAGATCTGACTCCTGGATGTCAAGAATGATATCCCACTCATCGAAACCTTGCTCAACGAATGCACCAAGATACTGGGACAATCCCAACTCGGCAAAAGTTGACTCAAGATCGGGAGACATACAGCCCAGCTGGAAAGTTCCGGGGAACCTCCCTCTAAAGACAAACGGTTTTCTTGGAGTAATTGGTGCCAGTGTGACAGCTTAACTTCGTCCCAGGTACAAGTGGCCAGAGTGCACTGCAATTTGCAGGAGGAAACAAGTAACGCTGTTAAGTGACCGAAGCTTGTTTAATGAGTTGAGATTGTGTCTAGTGAGCGTTTGGTTTTCTGTTCGGGCAGTCTTGTACACAAGTGTGTCAAGCACTGGTATATGAGGCCTTTTGATGATCCTTCTTGTTGGTTGGTTGTGTTGATGTATGGATACAACTGAAAATGAGTGGGTTTTGAAACGCGGGGTTTGGCACTGAGCTATGGTGAACTGATGATGTCGATTCAAGCTGGAGGACTCAAGAAGAAGCTATTGTGAGAGTAGTGTTAGGCAAAAATCTGGGGCTGATGAGGACGTTGTGCTACATTCGAAAAGTTTCAACAAGCGGATGAGGCTCTGGACCTTCGGTGAGTAGTGATGGAATGTGATGAGTGAGGAGGTTCGGACGTTGAACGAAGATCTTGGGCAAAGAAGGAGTGATAAACTCAAGGATCAAGAGGCAGAGGGTCTGATGATTGGATTGAAGTGCATGAAGTCCTTGGAGAATGTGCAGAGGGTGAGGGGAGGGGGTGTAAGAGAATGACGAAAGAAACAGGAGGCACGTACAAGCAAGATGGAATGATATTGGGCCGAGACAGTTGATGAGCAGCGGACCTTGGACAAGAAAAGAGTTTGGACATATGGTGAAGTGTTGTTATTCTTTGCCAATTGACATGCCACAACCATGAGCAGAAGAGTTTTTCTGAGGCAGAAGTTGGAGACTCAAAGAAAGGGAAACAACTGAAGGCGAGCAAGAAGGATGGATAGGTGAGATGAGTTCGTAAGGGAGTGAAGTGCAGTTACGAGCACCCCCAGAGACAACAGGCGGATTCGGATATCTCGATTGCAAAGAGCAAGTGCTGGGCTGTGGTGGATTGAGGGAAGTGTATTGTGTCCAACCGCGATGAGGGAAGAATGAAAGCCCACGGTCTGTCAGCGGCGCAAGACCTCGTCTAGGATAGATGTCGAGGATAGTGACGAGACGTGGATCGGCAGGTGATCTTCGGACTGAAACTTATGAGGCGACTGTAAGGTGACAGATCCAAGGGGACAGGCCCCGGGCTAGGTTTGGCTGCAGGTCGGTTGAGGATAAAATGTTCTGGACCTAGGCTCCTGTTGGCGTGTGCGCAGCGTGAGAGTCAAAAGACAGGCAAGGCAAGGCAAGGCAGGACGAATATAAGAATTAGATTGTAGGGGACGGGACTTCAGTCGTCGACATACGGGAGGGGGTGTGAGGGTTGTCGAAGAAAGACAGGTCCAAGTTGAGTTGCTCTGTGGGGAGCCGGTGTTAGAGCCAATATTGAGATGGGGGATTCTTGTTCAGGGCATCGTGGGATCCAGATGCTGTATGTAGATGGAGGGTAGAGACAGGGTCCAGGGGAAAACGGGGCAGAGTCGGGGGTGCCGCAGCCACCGGCAAAAGAATAAATACGATTAGTTGAATGGGAATAGGCAAAGCAGGGTTTCGGAAGCGATGATAGAATCGTGAGAGTTCAAGTGGCAGAAAAAGAGCAGAAACATCAGATTCCTACATGGCACTCGCTTCGGGGGGTGGTCTTGCTGTTCAGAGGCTCCAAGAGAACTAGGAGGGCATGGTCTAGCCCAGTCAGTTCACAACTCAACCTAAAGGGGGCGTGGATGTGTATGGAAGAAGGGGTGTATGTCTACAATCTTCCGTCAAGGGCACACAGCCTTGGCACGCTTGTCTTAAAATCTGGGCTGGCTGTTGATCCGCAGTTTCTTTCTTTTTCTGTTGGAGGGCGTATGAAGTTTTGACGTTCGAGAAAGATGAATGATGCAAGGGCCGGTTTTTTCGCCGGAGCATTATCATCATCGTCCATCATCCATCATATTAGGTACTGGGAGTTATGGACAATTGGCACGAACATTGCTGAGCAACGTACGTACAGAAATGCAGTTCAAACTCGAGATGGGTCGAAAACAAGAAGCGTGGACCCCTGAGGCCCTGTCATCGACTACGTATACGATAGGGCGGCACCTGGACAACATCGAGATGCCCCAACTTGGTCCAATTGACGCATTTATAAACGATATCTGGGACCATGGGCATATTGATGTCGCTTCAACGCAACACAACGCAACGCTACTGGTGCCCGTGACTGGGTGTTCTAGCAGAGACGTCCATGAATGAATGGGTGGACGGATGTGTCGAAGAGGAAAAATGCGACGCGGTGCTTGAGATGGAATCACCAAATCGAAAGTCGGAGGCAAATCGACACTCATCGAAAAGATACACACCATCGCTGCTACTGCTGATGCTGATGCTGATACTGATGCTGCTGGTGTTTGTTTGATGTTCCACAGAGCGTGCGGTCCCCGTCATGATGTTCCAAGGACGTGGGCAGGCCTGTTATGGGGTTTGGCGCATCGCATCCTCTATTCAGAAAGAGGCAATTGGGCATGGCGATCAACCATCAATTTGATTGATTGATTTGCCCCGACACGGCAAGATGACAGCCATTGGCTAGATGCGTCACCCGTCCACACCAGGCCTGCCAGCCCTCGAACTCAGGAGCATGTCGGTAGCGCAGCAGCTCACAAACTGTAACGGGTAAGATCTCGATCCCAATTCGTGAAACGGTCGTGGCCTCCCGTACGGTACTACGGGATGACTGGGTGATGGGGTGAGAATGTCACGCTCTTGGACGTGGTCTCCCCATCCTCCTCTGCGGCTGGCTCCAAGATCTTCGAAACTCGCCGAGACGGTGCACACCAGCCAGCTAAAAGAAGTGTGACAGACGGACGGTCAGGGTTGAAGTTGAGCTTGTTCTACAAATGGCAACGCTCGTCGGTAGCCAGGTGGTTGTGGGTTAACTAAAATGGAGTTTCTGGGTCGAATTCTGATGGTCGGAGCTATTGCGAGCCGGGGGTGTGGAGCCGGTATAAGTGACGCACGCCCTGGGCTGTCCACAATCCGCTTGTGGGTTGTTCCTGATCGCCATCGAGCCATGCCCATTGTTGAAATCGAGGTTTGGCTTACTGATCGCACAACGCCAGAACTCCAACTTCACCATGATCGAGCAGGCCATTGATTGAATCGCCCATGGTAACGCGCCAACAGGTGATCTGCTTGCTCAGAAATGCCCCAGGTCCCCTTTTCACGGGCCACATGGTACGGCCACCGACGTCTTTGGGAAGTCCGTCCGTGCAGCAACAGAGGGATGCAGCCACTAGAATTCGTCATGTTGCGCTGATGGTTGGTGCCTCAAGTCGAATGGTGCATATTGGAACTCGTTCCAAGGCATCAGATGTTTTCCCATTCTAACATGATGGGGCAGTGTTATCTAGAGTGAAAGCGCACGACCGACGTCCGGCAGTCCTCTTTGATTCTGCTTCTTCGGTGCTCTGATAGTCTAATTCTATTTGGGCCATTTGGGTATTTGCTGCGTTGACGAGCCGAAGCTGAGGAAGATAGTTAGTTCTATTAGGCATAGTGGCTAAGAGTGGGTATGCGATAGTTCACAGGTAGTTAATGGCTACCAACAATCGAGATGTGCAAGATGGGATTATTCATCGTCCGGCCATTCAGATAGCATTGTAAACATTCGATAACCGCAATACGTAGTGTCGGTAATTGTGAATCGAAAGCTGGTGGTAAAATCGCCATGAGCGGGATGGGAATTCAACAAAGGGTCTAGAATCTCGATCCCTAGTGGCCTGGGATTGGTGAACACCAACGGATTGAGTGACCGGCTCCCCGTTTAATGTAACGCCTCCCCCTTTAGCCATTCAGCCATGCATTTTTCGTTTCGATCCCAGAGGCTTATTCGGACTGTGCCACCTTGGCCATTTCCACCAAGTGTTGAGCTTGAGTTGGCGATATCTTGACGGCTGACCCTGATCGTGAAGTTGATGATGGCCTGGTATTCAGGTGGGTCACGGAGCATAGTCTGTATCGATGAGCCAATAAGCTATAAGCTCGCGGAATCCAAAAATTTCCGATTTCCTCGGGAGAAGCGAAACACTATGTGCTATGCTGCTATGATAGTAGCCTCACAAGGTGCCTGTAGGGTTGAGAGGCTGAGCGACCTGGGCTGGCTGGCTGCACCTGTACCGTCCGCCTCCAAAGGCTGGCGGCTTCTACACATAGGCAGATAGAGATTAAGACTCCATTGCCCGAAACCTTTCGGGCATTGTAGTTTCTGATGTTGAAAAAAAACGCTCATGACCGACTCCCCGACGTTGTGTAAAGCGCATCAAAGCGAATATTTCTCCACGATGTCGAGTCTAGAACGTTGATGAGGGTAGGTAACGGAAGTGTAGGTGATGGGATTATGTTAGGGTCACTGAGCACAGGGCAATGGGCATATGTGACCTTTGGAGGAAAGGGTGTACACAAACTGGTTGGTCAAGGTAGGTACCTAGCTAGGTAGGCAGGCAGTTGGTTTGTTCCTGTCCAAACCCTGCATAGGGCGCATGGAAGGGGCCGCTTTCAGGCTGCTTTCCTAAACTATTATTCCCGGATGTTTTGTTCCATCTTCCTCTGTGCCTGCCTATAAATCCCACTATACCTTGGTATCGGTTCCAGCTAGCTGTTGCTGTATCTGGTTGGCCGGGCTAAAGAATAAGTGTTTTTATGCTTCTTCACATCCGATACATATGCACAAGGTACTATTATTATAAAACCAAGGTACCTCAGATATATATATGTTTTGGTTCAGATTATGAGTGTATACATGAATTCTTGAGCCCTGAATTTCAATACTTGAACACAGAATCCATCTGATAAGACATAGGAAATGATCAGCAGCTAACTTGGCCCGAGCAGCCAAGCCAGGTTTATGTAAATCGATGGATCCTATCGAAAGAAATCTCCGTAGCCTGTTTTGCACCAGCCGGGGGTTGTACGCCGTCAAACTGGCCTTCTTAATCGACCTGTCTACCTAGCCATTGTTGGTTAACTTGCTACGCTCACTGCTGCTGTGCTCACCTCCGCATGCAACACTGCGAATGGAGCTGACCGATTTACGGCACTGATCGTGCTGGGGCATTCTGATACCCGGGCTGGTAGGTCGCAGTCGAATCTAGAACCCCAGCCATAGACATGGATGCGAGCGCCGAGTTTGATCGATGGGCAAAGGCAGGCTTGTCACCGCACTCCACCGGTTTGTGCCAGTCAGCCCAGTTGATCGGAGAGTTTCAGAGACACTTTGACTATTTCCTATTAGCGGAGTGGATAAAGATAGATCGACTACATCCCATGAAATGTAAGCACGTATTTATAGCATACACCAAGAATTCCTCTTCACGAAGTACATTCCCTTTTTAGAGACTGGGTGGCAATGCAGCTGCACCTTGAGATCTGGCATGTTGGTTTGCCATCGACTTTGATGCGTATGTAAATGCGGAGCAAAGGAGATTTGTTGGGTGCGAGTTGTCTGTTTCAGCCTCGATCCATATTGGACAAGAGATGCATATCATGGTCGGACGCACGCCTGTGCAGCTTTCACAACAGTATCAGTTATCTGTCCCTTAATCTCAGAGGCCCAACGCCTTGACACAGTAGATTGGACGCTTTGCTCCGGCCTGACAACACTATTGAGAGCCACTTCCTCCCTCGTTGATACGAAACCCTCAGCTGTGGTTGTCTTGAGGCGACCCGCAATGGCCGAGATCTTGTTGTGACCGCCACCCGTCGTGGTCTAGGCCAGTGGCGCATGTGTCTAGACTAATCGATCGATGCCCATGGATCCGCCATAGCACTTATACCTTTAATAATAAAAAAACTATGGAAAACTATCTATTTCAATCTTTATTTTCGGATAATATCTTCCTGTGTTTGCTTATCACGGGTGCCTAAGAATGGGGTGATTACGAGAGTTTCCTGCAGATTTAAGGCACATTACTACTTTTTTCGGGATATCTCCTTAACGAAGCATTGAGGCAAGTAAGCCACAACTAACCAACTCACATATCATACATATATATATCCGTGAGAGAAACATCAGCTTCCAATATATGCCTGGTTCATGTGAGAAGAGTTTGTAAAAGCCGGTTAATGAGCTTTGCGCTCACCAGATGGCATAAGATGTGTCTATAACTTATTGTCGATAACAGATGGCAATAGCTGTAAAAAAATAAAAAAAAATAAAAAAAGACCACATCCTCCTCGACTATTTGGACCAATGTGATTAGTGTTGTCTGTGCTCTTGAATAGAGTCGAGGCTCAGCTACCCCTTGTTCAGTGTCTCTCGTGATTGATATTGACAGGCCACCCCTTTCTCTCCTCTCTATGGACATACTCGATGGCCCGTGTTCGCGCCCGTCAAAATCGGGATCTAGATAGAGTTCTAGACACAAATTTACCATATCCCCACCACTGTCGGCATTGCCCACTTTGCGATACGTGAATGAGTTGTGACTTGAGAGATACTGTAATCTCTGGTATTCTCCTTTCCGGGCAATTAGTAGCATGATCACTCGGCGCTGTGCGGACTGGGATTAGCAGGATGTGCTACGGAGAAGTGCTGTCACTGCCCTTGACACCAACCTACTTAGGTAGGTAGTGTATTGATTAGCTCTCCACGAGAGGACCACTGTAGCTACAGTGTAGTTATTGACCCTTAGGCAATTGCCCACGCGAGACCCCCACCACTACCAAGCGCATCTGTTGGTAGTGAACCGAAATTCAGCCCACTCCTTCAGTACAACCTTAGTTTCTCCATTCTCTTACAACAAACAGCGCAAACGATATCATCCACGGCCACAAAGAGACGAGATAATTGCTTCGTTCCACTCAACCAATCATCGAATTAACGACCTACCTATTCCTTCTCGTTGACTTCTCCTCTGTCTGGCAACGGCAAAAAAGAAATTAAACACCATGGCCCCATCTGACACAAACAACCGAGCCACAAAGCCTTCGGCCTCGGGTTCAAGTTCGGGGGATGCCGATTTGGCCCAGGTGAGTCAAGTCACGACCTTTTTTCTGCTCTCCCATGTTGCTCCAATATCATTTTGCCACTCCAAAAAGAACAAACAATAACGTATGGGAATGGCACACTTTGCCATCTCTCCAAATTACGGAATAGCAGCAAAACACAATCATAATCACCTAGATAATCATCGATATATTCATTTGATCTGACAACAACCAAGCATCAAAACGGATGCTCTTCCTGCTCCCCATTCCCCATTCCCCATTCCCCATTGCCGTCCCCAATCTCAATCCCATTCCTCAACATACCATTCATTCCCTGTCTATTCCCACTCCAAAAAGTCTAGACCCGGCCTGTCCGTGGAACGTTTTATACCTTAGCTAGACCCAGCCAGTTAGTTGGTCGAGACCTTCTCGCTTCCCTTGGCTGCCACGAGTCGAACCCTCCTGATTTATTACATCTGCATTCACATTGGCATCCTGCATTCTGCATCTCTGATCCCTGGATCCTGGGGTTAGACCTTGGGGGAATACCGGTATCATATCACTATTTTGTTGTCAGCATTCTTCTGCTCACACACCCTCCCGCTTTACTCTCATTGTCATTCTGTCCCTCACTCTCGCCATTGCATTGCATTGCATTGCGTCGCATTATATTGTATGTCCGTTCACTGACAATTTTCTGTTTCAGGCCTATCGAGACCTTGCCAGGTATGCTATTCCAAAGTTCATCGTCATTCTCCAACTCATCTCACTGTTAATCACATTCACACTCCCTCTCATACTCCAAGTTCTCTTTGCCTTATCTCGATCTATCCTCCCCATCCATTGTCTTCACACTCTCGTATTTCTATTATACACTTTCTCGTTGCCACCATTTGCTATCACGTCACCGGGGTTTCTTCCGCGAAACCTTTGGCTAGGACCCTACATGCAATGAAGAACTCCATAACCTCTACATCCCTTGACTCCCATGGGTCTCAGTTCATAAATCTATTTACCTACCGGCGTGCCCGACACTTAATTATGGCCAAAGCGTTTGGCGATTTTCAGAATGCCATTTTTTTCAAAATCTGAATCTCAAGAACCTCAGCTGAACAAGGTCCTCGGGAGATCGGCATCTATCAGAACCGATAATCAGCCCATCACTATCCTTGCCTCTCCCGAATTGTTCAGACAGTCTCTTCATCGGTAAAGGAAGTTTCCGATTGCCTCTCCTGATCCTTGTAATACTACGTTCTTGTGTCGCTCGCCATGCATTTCATTGGTTATATAAGTTCTTGAACTGTATTAGTGGCTTGCAAGCGAGGCGATGTGCATCCCTAACATAGACGTATCACGATATCTTCACAACTTGCATGACGCAGTCGTTCCTGTTCCAACACACCTCACTACCCCTGACATGGCCTTCGCCTCCCTGATCTTTGGCTTCAAATTTTAAGAGCGATTTCTTAAAAACTGCAACTGACACAAAGGATCCATAGAGGCGAACAAGCGGCCACGGCCCTTGAGAATAATCTTTCAAGCCTTGAGAGCAGGCTCGATGCCATCCTCGCTGCTCTAGAAGCCAGAGAGAACCCACAAACGTCCGCCACCGCAGCCAAGGCTAACAACTCCCCCAGAGCTGCAGATAGAGAAGATCAGAAGGGCGGATCATTGGACGGTGCTAATGGCGACGCAGAAAAGATTGAGAAGGATGCAGCCTAAGTGAACAAGCAGTTTGAGCAGTGGCTACAGATCATTTCACGTAGTAGACTAGACAATGGAGAGCAGGGTGTCAAGCCATTCATGGGTCTCTTTCCCAAAGAGTTTCTTTTGCCTGAATTATCTGAACAGTAGCGGCCATTTGATAATCATTCCTTATTTCGTTGAAAAGACATCCCTATTCTCTCACCTATCTTTCGATCCCACGTACTCCCTGAGCTCAGTTGCTCATGTCCCGCCCCTTATAGAAGGGCAAAATGAAAATAATAAACATGAACGAACAGAGAGAAACCGGACAAAACGCAATGGACAAACCCGTAGAGCAAAAGATTAAACAACGATCCATGCGAAACCCCCACCCCCGAGTGACCCTTCTCCAGTCGTCCCTTCCTTATTCTAACTGTGGTAGCCGACATGTATCGTATACTTATGTTTTTGTTGTCGGATCATGTTCATCTAAATCGATATACGTCGTTGTAACGAGCAACTGGATCAATAAACGTCCTTCTCTGCAGGAAGTTTGACGTAATCGTCCTCCCATGAAAACCCCAGAAACGCCAACATGACAAATATAATGCGATAAAAAGAAATTATGTCCTTCTCCAGCCTTAAAGCAAATGGAATGTGAGGAACGCCGAGACATAGTCTTTTGGACCCTGCCAGGTATCAAAATTCGCAGTCTCTTGGTCAACCAGTGCCTCGAATTCATTATCTTCATGCGAGTCGGTCGTGGCCAGTTTAAGCGCCAGATCCCAAGGTAAATAGTTGGTGTTGTCATAAGATCCACGATGAGTACAGGAGTGGTGTGGTGACCAAAAGAAGACCCTGCGGTGAGTCCTAACTCATTGACTCACGATATGGAGTAGTATTTCGCAATTGTGGGACGTAGACATGTGATCCATCGTCATCTCGTTACTGACTGAGCGATCTCATGAAAGCCTGAGGATGCGAGAACCAGTTAGTTGGTAAGACTCCGCATATCAGAGAGGTCAAGACGTGCTCTTGCCAGGGGATCCTCATCAGTTGCCAGAATGGCAGGGCTCTCCTTGCCATTTCCTAACAGAGGTTCTCGACTCGTGAATGAGCGGCTCTCGAGCGTGGGTCGTAGCAGACCCTGTCCCCCCTCCTTGTGCTTCGATTTCGTCTCGGCGTGGAGTGCCAGTTCCCGTTCACGGTTCTTTTCAAGCAAAGGGCCGCCGAGCGTCGCGCACTTGAGGATCGTCTGGATGAGATGGTTTTGCTGCAGAGGTTTGGACAGATACTCGTCCATCTGAGCTTGGATACACTTCTCTCGGTCACCCATCATGGCGTGGGCGGTTAGGGCAATGATAGGTGTGCGGTGGCTCCCTATGCCACGTTCGTACTCTCGAATCTTGCCTGTGGCTTCGAAGCCTCCCTGCAATCAATAGCGTTAGTTAATCTGTCTGCGTGATGATTGCGAGGAACTAGTTTGACGATGCTGATACTTACCATGATCGGCATTTGCACATCCATAAGAATGACATCGAATTTCTTGCTTTGGACGGCCTTGACAGCTTCCCAGCCGTTGCCAACAACTGTTACCACATGGTGATACTTCTCGAGAATTTTCACTGCTAATCGTTGGTTGACGGTGTTGTCTTCGGCGAGCAGAATTTCGAAAGATTTCGTGTTGTCGGCGAGCGAAGGTGTCGCCCGGTTCTCGAGAGCTGGAATCATGCCATTCCCTAGATCAATAAGCTTGCACGGCGTTGTCATATATGACGTGATTCCCAGATCCAAGCACGACTTCAGGCTAACGTGAACAACTGGTGCCAGCAAAACGATAGGAAGGTACTTGAAATCGTCCACAGCTCTTAACCTCCTAGCAGTGTCGATGGAATCGACGAGGATAGCATCATAGGGGAGAGAGCCACCGCTTTGAAGACGAGTCAGCGCAGGACTCTTCTCCGAATCCACAACAACGGGCTTCAAGCCGATCTTTTCTAGCATAGGCTTGATTGAAGTGGCGTTCTGCGACTGGGCCTTGTCGACGAATAGCACTTGGTGACCTCGGTAGGGGCGGATCTGTTGCTCGATCAGAGCGGCGTCGTCAGGAGCAAGCTTGACCAAGCAAGTGAAGTGGAATTCACTGCCCTTGCCATGTTCACTGTTTACCCAGAGATCACCACCCATAAGATTGACGAGTCGTTTCGAAATAGATAGACCTAGACCAGTTCCGCCAAACTTGCGCGTCATGGAACCATCCGCTTGTTGGAACGTGTCGAAGATCAAATCCAGTTTATCTTGGGCGATTCCTATGCCCGTGTCCTCCACGACAAACTCAACCGCATACTCTCCAGGTCGGACATTATTTTGCCCCATGCTCTCCTTGATCGTTAGGCTGACCTCACCATGCTCTGTGAACTTGATAGCATTGCCAACAAGGTTGAGGATAATTTGTCTAAGACGGAAAGAATCGCCAATAACGTAGTCAGGCACGGAGCTGTCGACCTTGTAGGTGAGGTCCAAGAACTTCTCATTTGCCTTGACGGCGAGAGTCTTGAGGGCGTTGAAGACGGTCCCACGCAGTGTATAGGGAATCTCTTCAATGACCATTCTCCGAGCTTCAATCTTGGAAAGATCCAAGATATCGTCAATTATCGTCAAGAGGCTATTGGCAAGATTATTGACAATGTTAAGCATCTCCCTCTGATATTGAGTCAGATCGGTGTCTAATGTCAGCTGAGTCATTCCGATGATACCGTTCATCGGCGTTCGGATTTCATGGGACATGTTGGCGAGGAACTCTGACTTGGTCTTGTTGGCAAGTTCGGCAGCTTCCCTGGCCTGAGTATTACGCTGAATAGAATCACGCAGATTCGAAATCATCTGGTTGATCTTGCGCTTGAGTTCGTCCATCTCACCTGATGCTTCAACGTCCACTAGCTTGGTGAAATCCCCATCGGTGGCTAAGTTAGTTATATCTGAGAAGGCGCGCACTTGTGTAGTCTGTATGCGTTAGAAAATGGGTTTCCCGCGAGATCATCAAAGACTACTTACCAGGTTACTGGCCATTGTGTTGACATCTGTGGTAATCTCTTTCCAGCGGCCATCTAGACCACCTACGTCGGCTTGGGCACCCATCTTTCCATCAACACCCACATCCTTGGCAACTCGCTGCACTTCGTAACAGAAGCTAGACAAACGGTCAACCATGTTGTTAATGGTTTCTTTCAACACCTGTATCTCTCCATTTGCTTCGACCTTGATCTTCTGGCTCATGTCGCCGTTCGCAATGGCTTGAGTAACTGTTGAGATACTTCTGACCTAGAATTTGGTTAGTGGGTATGCCAAGTATGAGCTTTTGAGTCGAGACTTGAGCCTTACCTGGACTGTGAGATTTGACGCCATTGTGTTGACGTTTTCTGTGAGATCCTTCCATTTACCTTCGACATTGGCAACTTGAGCCTGTCCACCCAATGTTCCATCTGTGCCTACTTCCCTAGCCACCTTGCTCACTTCAACGGCAAACGTACCAAGACGATCCACCATCTGGTTGATGGTGTTCTTTAGTTCTGCAATTTCACCCTTGACCTCAACCCCAATCTTCTTTGTCAAGTCACCTTTGGCGACAGCTGTTGTGACCTTTGCAATTTCTCGCACTTGAGTGGTCAAGTTCATGGCCATGCCGTTCACATTCTCCGTCAGATCCCTCCAGGTGCCCTCAACATCATGCACAGTGGCCTGACCTCCCAGACGTCCTTCGGTTCCGACTTCACGGGCAATCTTGGTAACCTCGCGGGCGAACTGTTGCAGTTGGTCAACCATGGAGTTGATGGTTGACTTGAGCTCAAATATCTCTCCCCTGCAATCGGCTTGAACCTTTTGTGTAAGATCTCCCTTGGCGACAGCTGTGGTAACCTTGATAATGTCGCGCACTTGAGTCGTCAAGTTGTTGGCCATGGCATTGACGTTGACGGTGAGATCGTTCCACATTCCCTGCACTCCCCCAACGTCAGCTTGTCCGCCTAACATGCCTTCGGTCCCGACATCTCTCGCTACACGTGTGACTTCAGAAGCAAATGTTCGTAATTGATCCACCATGGTGTTAATGGTCTGTTGTAATTGCAATATCTCGCCCCTGGCAGGTCGTTCGATCTTTTTGGTCAGATCGCCGTGAGCCACGGCGGTTGTAACCGATGCTATCTCCCTCACTAGAGACTTGTTAGTCACAGAACATCACTTTCGTAATCTGGGCAAGGCTACAAACCTTGATCGGTAAGATTCTGGGCCATAACGTTGACTATGTGTGCGATTAGCAATTTGTCACACGAAAGACATTGAGGAATGTGAATATACCGTTGTCAGTCAATTCCTTCCATGTTCCATCGACACCGCCGATACGGGCTTGGCCACCCAGCAATCCTTCGGTACCGACTTCACGAGCCACTCGCGAGACTTCGCTAGCAAATATTTGCAGCTGGTCCATCATAGCGTTGATAGTGCGCTTGAATGTTGTGATTTCAGGGTCCATTTCAACAGTGTTCATGCGAACCTTCATAGTCAAATCACCGCGAGCAACGGCGGTAACAATTTCTCCAATTTCTCGTAGAGCCTTTTGGAAAGCCTCGTTGGCCTTCTGATGCTTCCAAAGCTCGCGCTCCAGAGTAGCAATACGTTCCTGCTCGAGGATCTCGAGGGCTCGCTCTTGTAGCTGCTTCTGCTCCAGGAGCTGAGCATTTACACCAGCGAGCTCCTGGCGCTGACTATCGAGTAACTTGGATTGGTCGTCCACATGTTCTCGAAGTCCTTCAAGGGCTTCTTCGGTCAGCTGATAGGTTGGCAGATGCGGAGAGTGCAGGCTACCTTGGGCGTGAAAGACTTTGGGCTTGGGGCGAACCGCCACCGCCTGAGCCTCTTCGCCAAAAAGAGTGTCAATAACCTCGTTGGGCGTTTCTGGGAATGGGGAGGTAGCTGAGGCCTGGCTCTCGAGCTTTCCAACACGTAGAGCAAGATTCTGAAGCTCGAGTTCGAGCTTGCGCTTGGCGGGAGTATCTGGCCCTGGAAGTTGCACCTGAGAAGCTACACCAACCGGTATCGAATTGGGCAGTCGGGGATCTGGAGCAATCGAGGCGACAATCGAAGCCGCAGCGGCGAGTGCCGCGTCGTCAACCATGGTGATGCAGGTAGACTGCTAATTCGCAGCGAGTAATAGAAAAAGCTTTCGTGGGTTTCTTTTGTTTTGTATATAAATATTTTCTGGCTGCGTCGAGTAGAACGTCTAAAGTGGGTTGATGGGTATAGATTGCAGATTTGTGTCGATGACAAAGCGCCGAGTCGATGGATTGTAGAGAATATTCGAAAAAGTTATGACACAAGGTAGGACGATGACCAAACTAGGGACGCAACAGCAGTCGACTGCGCAGCATCCTCGATTGTCGAGAGTTCGGATACGGTCACAGTACAATATACAAGGTGACAGCGGGCGATGGCCCTGTAGAGCAGAAACGTGCGAAGATGAGACAGAATACAAGCAAAGCGGTCGTGAACTTGAAACCAAACAACAGATAAGACGAAGGAGGATATTGTCGAGACTAATCCGAGCCTGTTTCGTAGAGGTGAGAGGTCGGGTGGCAACGTCGCGACAGGTTTGAGGAGGAAAAGATTAGGCTGAAAGTTCAACGGGAGCCCTTTACGAGTTGACTGAAGCGGGCGTAGTGCACTGTAAATGGTAAATGGGGTGAGGGATTGGATTGGGATAAGGGACGGAGCAAAGTACTTCAAGGCAGCTGGAGAGGGGGACAAACCCAGTCCAAAAGGTGGTCCCAGCTGCAGCGGTGGCAGCAAGCACTGGACCGCAACACCGGTGTGGGGGGTCTAGCACGCCTAGGTACCTCTTAGTCTTCCACTGACAGGAGAGCCCTTGACTTCCTTCCTTGGGTATGAGGGGTACCTCTGGTTGTTTAGAGAGCTCGCGAGGACACCATGTATCTCCGAGTTAGGTCGGTGCTGGGTAGATCCCTCGGTTGCTACCACAGAACAGCACGGCGCACGCACGGCAACATCAGTACGAAGTGAAAAGGAGGGCGACAAAAGAGATAAAAGGCGGAGCCAACCAAGCGGTGCTAATGTCTGATCAGGTCTAGCGAGGTTTCCCTTTTCGGATCGAAGTGGTGTTTGACTCTGTTACTGTACATACCATAAGAATCTCTCTCACCATACTGCGTACAGAGAGGTACGGTATTGGCTGGCATCCATTGCAGTTCGAATTACGTTGACTGAGTATGACTTCGGCTGTTGAGAGGAAAACTGAACCCTGCTCGGGAAAGTTATTAGTTAGAGAATCAATCGCTGCTCCATACGTCCAACGATGCTACTCTACTACTAGCTGTCAACGAAGTGAAATTGGACTGTGATGTGATCTAGTCGAAGCCTGAAACTTGGGGGATGAAACCATATCTATCAAGAGTGGAGTGGAAGCCCTGAAAGTAGTAGGGAAACGAGTGATCATAGCAGGGAACTGTGAGTAGGGGGCGGTTGACTCTGGCCTTTGAGCGAACAAACATTTGCTGTAGTACCTTACCTAAAGTTTTTTACGGTATGGTAGGTCTGCCTCCTAAAATCACGTGTAAATTCCAGTATTCTTGTTGTAGAAAGATGGCATTTTCTATAATAAATGCATCTCCTGTCCCTCATACTATTACGGATAGGTGGTTGTATATACAGTTTAACTCTTGTGTATAACATTGACACCAGTCAGTTTTTCGTCTCTTGGGCTTAGTACTTTCTTTGCTTGGAGTTCCAAGGGGCATGTTTTATAGGTACTTACCTAACGTTACTCAAGTGAAGGAGACCCCAAATCCCCTGAAAAGACACCCATGTTCCAGTACTTCGACCCCAAACCAATTCCCATAAATTGATAGTGACAGGCTGCCTCGCAAACGGAGCCTGCGAGCAATGTCACTTTTTAACCAGGGCCCTTCTGGGGAAATCTGAGGCTTGATAGCCAATGGTAGCATGCCCAGAGGCTCTCCCCGCCCCTAATGCAGGCTAGCGGCTGCACGAACGAATCGATCGACATTATTACTGTCCGCTAATGTCTGCGCGTTGTGGTTACGGGCACTACAATCTATAAGGCGGCTGAGATATTGGATTAGATTGAACGAAATGCGATGGAGGATGGGCTGTCACTTTCCATGAATATATCTCTCCTACTCCTCTCCGGCAGGCTCTTACTGCTACGTGTGCCCATAGAGCCAAACAACCTCTCATCTCATATCAATCTCTCCAAACCCATCAACATCATATCGTCAAGTAGAGAGCAAGTTCTCCGCTGAAGCAAGGGGCGATCTAAGAAATACCTATCGTGCCATGCCGCAGCCGTTTTAGACGTATTCATCAATTTCCCACTTTTTACGTTTCCCCTCTACTGGCTTTTGTCGTTGTCCCGCAAAGCGGTCAAATGACGGTTACGAGTGGCGTGCACCCTTTCATCAGAAGAAGTCCCAGGGTTTAATTACCACCAAACTCAAAGGCATCTGAGATACCTAGGTCACGTATAGTTTCTTGTTCCTTTGGAGTTGAGATCAATTAGCCTACTCACTGACTAGGATGAATACATAGCTGGCAAAGAAATGTCGCAATAAACGACTCGATGCTGGTCCACTATCGCATCTTGGCCAGAACTATTTTCTCCATGCTGTTTGAAGGATGTCCACCGCCAACAGTCACGAGTATTTATCAGTACAAGCCCTGGCTGCCAAGGGCCAAGGCCGTTGATGTGGGGTGGTACTATGCTGGATACTCGCACAGTGACGATACTTCCCTTAACCGAGTAAGAATTGGAGACTTCCTCCCAGGGCTTTAAGGACAACCCAGTATGCTCAGTGCTGTTCGTGTTAAAGAAGGCAGTCACGGCCACACGTAAAGGACGTGTTCTCGTGCTGGGAGATTTTGCGAACGGATTCATTTAGTGCGATATCGAGACGCGGCTCCGTTGTCATTTGTTGGAACGTCTCTCGAGCTGTCAACAAGTGGCATCCTTGTGGCTCGTACGGGTCCCCTTGCTTAGTACGAAGATGAACTTGGTATTTCCACCGCGATCTTTATCCGAATTCTTGTCCCGAGTTCTCATGCACGATCACTCACCTATTTGTCCTATCGGTCTTCCGAGTGCACTAGAAAGGTGCTCGCAGCAAATATTCTGGGCCACACCAAAAACTAGCTCCATCTTCAGCTTACAGCACGATACTGCACAAGGAAGTACGTTGATATCACCGTCTAAAAATGAAAATAGACATCCGAAGATTGGGGTGTCTAGGCACCGTGCGGTTTTCAACAGATGCTTACTGTTTCCGGACTGACTTAGTCCCCGCAGGTTGCAAATGAGAGCTGAGCAGCTGGGCGTTTGGCCACGAGGGAGCGTGCCATCGCCGCGTATGGTACGTGATGTTTGTTCAATACCACCAATGACGAGCAACAGGGTTAGGACATACGCCATGAGACGGGCATTGTGATGGACAGTGTCTTGTGTTTCAGGCAAGGCTGGCCAAGTGTCGCTCAATCCGCACCACGCATGCTGCTAATAATTACTCCTGGGACACTCTCAAAAACCACACAGCAGCCTTGGTGCCACTGCAATCGGATATGGCTGGTAGAAGGGCCGTCTGCAAACCACAAGACCACATATACAAGCGAGGAGGTTTAGACCCATCACTCACTGCTCCCTTGTCAGAAAGAATGGTAGGAGATATCCAATTGTTTTGCGGGTAGTGGTACAATTATCGAGAGTTCAGGGGTCGTTCAATGGGTGGGTCGAGGTCAAAATCGAGTCAGCCATCCACGTCATGATGCAGCTGCGGACGTCGGTTTCTTATTCACCGACAGGGGTGCCCTTGATTTAACTCCCAATTTGTGTGGACGACGTTTTTGAAGTCCCATGTTTGGCAAATCAAATTCGAGCTTGGCAATTGCTCGTGTCGTTGCCGCTTGAACAAAAAGCCCCTCAGTTGAGGATCTGCGCAAGGCGCTCTGTAGTCCGCACGGTATGGTTTGGGCACAAGAGCCTCTTTCTAATTGGTATTTTGACCATTGTTACTGTCTTGGACATCTTGACATGCTGTACGTGGGGTTGGCCCGTCCTCCTTCAAGATTGGTGGTTGGCACTCCACGTGAGATATGTTTCGAATCCATTCAGTCACAGAAGCACGTGTACGACTTGGCTTTGATTTCGAGATCGACCATCGGGTCATCAGAGACATTGCACGAAGGGATAGGGACACAATGAAGGGGTTAGAGAGGCAAAAGCAACGCATTCAGACAGAATACGACGGCACTTGACAACTAGTCGCTCACACACAGTTTGGCTGGTACCCATGCGAATACCAAGAGCAGCCTCATATTTTCAAGTCTACGGGTGTTCTGGGTGCCGTTGTGTATAGCACAACCATGACATCTCCCAATATTATCCATGGGCTTCTCTCAACCAAGTGCCTTGGGCTTTCTCTTATTTGACGACGCTGAAGCCGTTGAGCCATTATCAACACCGGCGGTTTCGGTCGTTCCAAACGAGGTACTCCGAAAGCCATCCAACTGATAATCACCACCAGAATAGTCCAAGGCCCCTCAAGGCAATGTCGAGTCGCTCTCATAACAATTGAATCCGCCACTGGCTTGGCCTGGGTGACATTTCCTTCTAGAACCAAAACCAAGGGCTCAAAAACGTCGGCCCATCTCCACTCAGTGAACTGCCTCGTATGATGAGTGGCCCTGCAAGCTTTCAGGCTTTTTACCTAACAACTCACATTGATTTTGAGGGTGACGAGGGGGTAAAAGGATCCCTTGTTGATACATACTGGGAGTTTCTAGACATGTGTTGGTCTCATACTCCAGAAAACACCAAGGACTACCTAATTCCAAATGCCCTGGTCTGTTGAAACCGTCGGTTCATCAGCAAGGGAAGATCATCGTTCCAAATCTCATCAAGCAGGGGCTCAATGCAGCACGGCGCACAACTGCACTGCCAAATTACATGTCGCACTCGTGTCAACCAGGGCAGAGGTCAGTCAATATGAACAAAAGCGAGTGTGGTTTCTCCTCTTCCTTTCCCCCCTCATCGAAGGCCCTATCTACAATAGAGAATGGATTGACCAAGTGCTCCGCCCTTCTTTGCGACGGACAAGCCGGCTCAACTTCAGAGGAGTCTCTAGAAGTTGAATTGGACCCTCAAGAAAAGGACCCTGGAAATGCTGTCATCTTTCCCCACCTCGGCGGCCGTGTTTCTCAGTGGGCAGGGTCCAGCAGACCACCGAGCTAGGATTAGCTTGCATTTTAAACGGTTTAACCCCTGTATCGCCCGTATCCCTTTGGCTCCAGGGCTGTTGCAAACTGGGCCAACACGCCTCTCCTCCGCCTTTCGCTCGGTTTTCAAATACAAATAGTGGGCAAACCGTGGACCATTGCTTCTATCTTAGTCGGATCTCGGTATTGGCGACAAAGTGGCCCTGATTCATGCTTGCGTGCTAGGGGACCCCTATCTCTCTCCAGCTCCGTTTACGTGGGAGGCGTCTTTGTGGGATGCTGATAACCGGCCTCAAACCTCCTCTCCAAGACAACTTGACCCTGAATTAAACCAATGCAGGTATGGCCACATTGTGTTACGCGCCACTTTTGCTCGGCCGAGTCACACATGGCATGTACTTTTTGCATGTCTCGAAAAGAAAAGACAAAGCAAAAGTCAAGGGATGATTTGTTCTGGTAGACGTTGTTGGCAACTGGCTTTGCGATTGACCAAGTTTCCAACTCGTTCCACTCCTGATCTTAAACAACTCGGAGATCGGCAACAAGCATTGATCGCTGTTGGGTTGTGCTCACAGTATTAGGCTGAATTTCATGCTTGCTTGCATCAGGTTAAGCCACTTTTCTGCGACCAGATCGGAAGTTACATCCAGATATAGGGTAGTGAAGGTGAGTCTGAGTTGGACATGGAGAAACGAGATCTGGATGTGGATTGACGATCTGGAAACTTACTACCATTCATTTTTTGCCTTACTCGAGTTTCCCGTTGCGTCTTCTGCGTATAAGCGCACCGGAGTTTAAATGTGGGTAAGTCACACCAATCGAGTCGCTTGTTTAGTCTCATATTGAGACAACCATGTGAGTTCCACACAGAATATATGTCTATCAATTTCGGTTTATAACCAACATCCCCCTTTATTAATTATCCCAACAGCTTCTGGTAGAATTGAAAATGTCCGTGTCCAATAAATTCGCTACAAGCAACTTCCTGCATACACGAGTGAGGGTATCTGATGCTTTGTCTTCCTGCCAGATAAATAGATAGATATCAACGAAAACACAAACCAAACTACATCATCAAAATCTTCTTCGGCCTTCCAAACCAGTCATGATGTCCGTCTTATCACCGAGAAATATGTCCATGATCCCCCTCTTGCCTCCTACCACCCTTTATCGCCTCGGCAAGTTATTACGCCCAAAGTTACCACTGAAAGCAGGGCCCGCAGAAGAGTTCCAACCCTGCGTTACACTATTCTTGACAATCAGAGCCGCAGCAGCAGTGGCAGCCTGTCTCTCCTTCTGGCGATGTCGGTCCTTGAGATAGTGCGCTGCTTCTGGCCGCATACGGAGGATACGTAGGATCATATCGTCGCTCGGATCCGCCTGCGCCTCGCGGCGCTTTGCCTCCTTAGCCTTGCGCATAGTGCCCAGATTACGACTCATCATGATGCTCTTGCCACGTCTGATGGTACCCATGCTTGCGAACGACCCTGCGCCGCCTAGCGAGGCTCCAAGGGCAGCTGGAGCTGACAGACGGTTACTCTGTGAGTTCTGCTGCTGAAGAGCTAAGCGTGCGCGTTCTGTTGTCGCAGCTGCCATTCTTTCCGACTCACGTATCAAACTGTTAGTATCCTCGAAATAGAAGAAGTTCAGCGATGCCAACTCGTGCCACTTAGGCGACTTGAGGGTCTCTGCTGGAACACCTAGTTGCTCTCCCGAATCGTCTCTGGCATTGAAGAATTGGAAAAGCAAGTCCAGCCAATGGTAGACAATGTCCAACTCTTTACGTGTAAGGGGTCGCTGTTGTGAAGGCTTCTCAGACAGAGGTGGCACTAAGAGATTCTCAATCACCATCAAGACCTCCTTCCATAGTCGTGCCATGACAGCATCCATGGTGGCCTTCGTCAATGTCTGTTTCATGATAGCAAAGTTCTCATCAAAGTATGCAAACAGGGGTGCAAGAGCCGCCTCAACTTGCGCTGGAGTTGCAGTCTGCACTGTCGAAGCGCGCTTCTTCCAGAGATTTGTTACAGAGGCGCCAATACCACCAGTACCAAGCAGGTGTCTAAGAGTCTCCAAAGACAATGTGTGGTTGATCTGAGAAGTGAGCTATTCGATATTAGCAGGTTTGTCTTTTAGTTTGTACAGGAGTCGAATCCTTACCTTATCCGTGACCTTTCGGACCATATCTCTCTCAGTGCGCTTCAAATGACGGAAGGCCTTTCCGAAATGAAACTGAATATCGTCTCTCTCACCCTCCATGCTAACCCTGATAAGCAGTCGACCCTGTGAGTCCAGGTCCAACCAGAATTCGCGAGGCAAATAGTCGCTGAAATGAACGGGGTCGAGTTTGAGTGATGTGCGTCCGACATAGTCGTGATCACCGAAAGTATCGTAGTCCCAAATAGTTGCGATCATGTTGACTGGACCCTGAACTGTGATGTCGAAGGTCTCGTCCCAACGCGGGTTAAGACTCCTCTGAATGATCCGTGTCTTGTGAAGTCTCTTCTGGTATTCGTCGCCAAACACCACGTAAGGATCACTATAGCCGTTGGCGTCACACGCCTTGAGATCCTCAGCCTCGACTACTTTGATCGTGAATGTGTACTTGTTAGGTCGACGGGTCTTCTTCTTGGGCCCGTCAATTCTTTCCAGCAGTGCAGCGCAAGCATCAGGATCCATAGTCCGTTCCAACTTGTCAAGCTCCTGCATGGCGTATTCGATATTGTTGAGTTTGACAAAGGACTGTAAGCGTTAGCCATGTTCATAAAAAGACATCTCGTGCCGACTGTTTACCTCTGAGTAAAATTGGAAAGGTTCAACACGATCTCTATTGTTCCAGGCATCCTTGGCATATCTCATCCACTTCTCTTGAGTGGTCTGGGTCTGTGCCGCCAATTCCTCAGCTGAAGGACGGTCCATCTCCTTCGCGAATTTTTGATCAACGAGTTCGCAGTATTTGCCAATACCAGCGGCGAATGCCTTCGAAAGGGATGTCATGAATCTGGCATGATGTTCATCGTTGCCCCAGTTGAGGTTAAAAACAGTATCAAGGGTCTGGTTGAATAACATAAATATGTCGATGATAGAAACACTGTGCCTCTCCGAATCTCGTGGGATATCTTCCGGGTTCTCAGTACGCACTTGGAACTGATCCTGCTTGACAGCCTGCTCAACGTACTCCTCGACTCTGCTTTCGGCAGCACGAACCCATCGCCATACGAAATCGACTAAAAGGTCCTCTACATTGAAAGCAAAGGGCCGATCAGGTAAAGAATCGTTGTGGATGCGGCGGATTGCAACCAACTCTCTGTATAGTTCGAAGCCATCTTGTATGTCGAGTTCGGTGCCAGTCTCTTGAGCCATCTCCAAAATGGACTCGATGATGGCGTTCGCATCCTCTTCGAAACGAGGGAACACTTCTTCGACTAAGATCTGGAAGGGATTCACGCCCATGATCTCGGGATTCTTGTTATA